CCATGTCAGGCTCCAGCACGTCTGGAGGCCGTCTTTGGGTTGCGAGGAAGCGCGTAGGTTTGAGGAAGCGTTTTGAGAGAGGTTTGAGAGACGTCCGTCGGAGCGGAGCGAAAGCTTTGGTGGTGTCTTGAGGTCAATTGAACCAGCTGCGGTCGGCAAGCATTCACAGTGACCAGACCAGGTGCACCGTTAGAATAGCTGTAGAGTCGCTCAATCCCGAGGATAGGGAAAGTCACAAGAGAGCAGAGCACACAGGAGAGCAAGGGGAAGACAGAATGGCAGAGGGCTTGACGTACCTGCGGTCGGCAAGCATTCACAGTGACCAGACCAGGTGCACCGTTAGAATAGCTGTAGAGTCGCTCAATCCCGAGGATAGGGAAAGTGCAACTCGTGCCCGACCGCAGGTGTCACAACAAAGGGAAACAACAGTAGCCACAAGCTTATTGCCCCAGGGCAGCTGCCCAGGCATCGTGGGGACCGCGTCACACGCGGTGTTTACTCATGTGACTGCCACGAGGAGGATCAAGCCCAGGGGGTCCAAAAGTAGGTGTCAATGTGTGAGGTCGTCGTAGCTATGGAATACCAATAGGAAGACCCATAGCGACCGATGCTGAGTGTGTGCGAAAGCAGTGGGAGTGTTCAAATGCGTGGAAGCACGGATTTGACGCTAACAGATATCGATAAATTTCTGCGGGCGCTAAGCGTGTTATTGATCATTTAAACAGGCAAAGACTGATTGCGAGGTCAACAACTGTGGTTGGCAAACCAAGAGACACCACGAACGGCATGCGCACTCGTGCCAGTGCATCCGCCTCCTCCCCACGCGTTAGGATCGACTTGTTTTTCCTCCATACCGACGATCAACCGGCGACGTTCATATGGGCGCAGAACACCGCCGAATGTCAGACATTTCGACTCGCGCCCACACACGCGAACATTCGACAAAGGGCCAGTAGTCGTATATTCCCACACCTACACCAGGATCAAATTTGGATGTTTTTTGAGGGTTTTTTTTTCAATTTTTTTTCTCTGTGCTTGCGACCGCTGGCTTTGCTGGACCATCGCACAGATTCTTTCCGTTCGAGCCTGAAGGCCTGGCTGGCTGGCTGGCTGGCTGGTTTGCTGGCTGGCTGGCTGGAGTAAAGCGGCAGGGCACGGGTTGGGCTAGCGTGGAATCTGTATTGGCAAGGTACGGGTAGGTCAGCGTTTGCCTTGAACGCTGACTGTTTTACGCGGCGCGCTGAGCGCTCGCCTGCTTGGGCACCTTTCTGGCTCAAGATAAAACCTTTGCGTGCTGCATAGTCTGAAGGTGCTTGGCCCACCAGCGCCGCTGCCGCCATCCACGAGTACAAGCCCTTGCCTCTAAGCTAGGTCAAAGACTCGCATCCAGGAGTGCTGATGGCCATTCAGGCTTCATCATCGACGAGACCGACCACCGGTGGACAGCGCAACGAGCGTTATGTCGAGTCGTCGCCTCCCCGGAGGTCTGTCGTACACATCCGCCAAATGCCGGCTTAAAGACAGCGTTGGGGCTAATCTTTCTCATACATCCGAGTCTGTGTGCACCCTGGCGCAGGTGCTGTGCCCGAGTCCAATGGCCGTGCCTCTGCTGAGGTGCGTAGGCGCATCTCCTGGCTTCTAACAACATTTTTGGTTTTTGCAGTTGCCCACATCTGGCATGTTATCTGGTCGGTGGGCATATGTAGGCACCAGCAGCCACAGCAGTCCGCGGCCTGCGCAACTTGGGCAATACGTGTTTTTATAACGCTGTTATTCAGGTAAACTGGGCCAGCTGCCGCCAGCTCCTGCTTTTGAGTCTACACGTGGCGCAAAATGGCTCCACAGATGGCCGTTCTCTCACGCAGTTGCGGTGCGCTGCTCGTCTTTAAATTTTGAACCACCTTTGAATCGTGTTCCTATGCCAGAGTCTTGCGCGCCTGCATACACTCCGCACCGATCTGCGCCTGCGAGCTGACAAGGCCAAGCAGGCTGATGATGTTGATGCAGAAGACAAGGCGACAGGAGACCAGCCGGTCCTGCTGGTGCCGGCCCCGGCGCATTGCCTAGATGCTGAATTGGTGTGCTTTGCTTTATTTCTGCAATCTTCAAACCGACCCTGTTCGGGGCAGGCCATGCTGTGGTCAGGCGCTCGCTCACACCCCACCCATGCATAGAACGCAACGCTTCGTTCTATCAGCCTGGATGTCATACCGCATATGGGCCAACTGGCGCATTCTCTGCTGGAGCTTCTCGAGAATCTCACAGCAGCCAGTGGAAACCAGTATGTCAGCGTCCCTACAGGCTCCACAAGCTTCATGCCCCGCAGCTCATCAGCAATTCATCCTCTTACCAGCCCTCCGGACCCCAAGCCGCTCTTCAACGCCATCGTGATGAAGTGCGAACCCCTTGCTTTTTTGCTTTTCTTTTGCACGTGGAGTCTTCTTCTTTGGTTATCTTTGTTCTTGGGTCGGGCGGCAGATGACTTTGTCTTCAGCATCCAGCGCTCTCACACTTGCCTTATTCACGTGGCAATGTCCAGGGCACCACGCTTCCGTGGTTACCAGCAGCAAGATAGTCAAGAGCTACTTCGGCACTTGCTCGATTTGATGGATGACGAAGACCGGACGGTATGCATGGCCACACAGTTTGCCAATTCGTGTCTGCAGATTCCCCTTCACGCGTTTGGCCCACTGGGCGCTTGTGGCCAATATGCATGTCTGAACACAACGCCTTCCTTGCCAATAGCATATTGCACACGCCCTGTTGAGCAAGTTTGGACTTTTCATGCAGCCAAAACAGAGTTTTGGTGCATGCATTGCTCAACTCGAAGACAAGGAGGTGCAAAAAGCCCTGCGAGGTAATGAGCTTGTGCCGTTGTTCAAGTGTGTCGACTCGAAGGACCGAAACTGTCGAGCTCAAGACCCCTGTTTGAAAGACTCACCCTACTACCGCTCGCCCGACCTATCGAATCAGTCTACTACCGCACTATCCGTACGCCCATCCAGGCTGTATTTGGCGGCAAGCTCGCCTCTACCATCATTTGTCACGGCTGTCATCAGGTATGTACCACCTTGCTTCGGCTGCTGCCAGTGCGGTGGCATGACCACACCCACAGGCTTGCACTTGCATCGTGTTGCATGCGCGCACGTCCAAATCACGCAAATCTTGCTGCGCCCAAAGGTATCTCGCATTCGGGAAGACTTCCTCGATCTCTCTCTACCCATTGGGCCCAGCCCTGCCTCGTACGTGATTCGAAGCATCAACGGTGAACTTTTTGAGCTTCAACTCTGAAGCGGCTTGTTCTGCGTGCCATCACACGTGCATGGTTTGCCACAGAGGTCGTTTGCAAGCTGACAAGCGTGGGATGAAAGGCTCAGTGGCTGTATCTATCAACGAAGGCCTGACAACGCTCAAGGGCAGCAACGCGTCCAACAAGGCAAGTTTTTGTCCCAAGCGCGAACCTATTTGTCATCCCATCACGCTGATGCATTGCCGACCTGCTTGCCGCTGATGACGCAGGCCTTGTCCAAGAAGCAAAAGCGCAAGCTCGAAGCTCAAGCGAAGCGGGAGGAGAAGCAGCGGCGAAAAGCTGAGCGGAAGCAAAAGAAGTCGGATCGTGGCAGCAGCTCAGCCGTTGCACCTACTCGTGGCGATGCTGGTGCCCAGAAAAAAGCTCGGCGAGCCACTGCCGCTGCCGCAACCGCGATAGAAGCAGATGCAGGTTTGCACGAGTCAAACTTCAACGAGCAGGATGAGGAAAATTCCATGGCATCGCCTCAACCTTTGCAGGGCAGCCCGTCTCCAGCAGAGCTTTCTTCCAGGCCGAACAGCAGCGATGACGCCGAGCATGCTCAAGGCAATGGGGACAGAGGCTCGGGCGAGGAGCACGGCGGTCATCATGCTGAGACAGACTGTGAGAGCAAAGTGGTTTCAAGCTTCGTACAGAGCCCATGCTCGGATGGCATCATGCAACGGCGCTCTGTATTTAGGCTCAGCGATGGGGTGGGCCTTGCATCGGAATCGAGTGATTGGCCTGATGATGCTGACGCGGACGAAATCGACCGCTCAAGTGAGCCGAGGATGACAATGCTGTCGGGCCTGGCCACTCAGCTGGTGCAAGCTGCAGTGGCGGCAGGAATGGTTCAAGTGACTAGCTATGGCAAAGCAACGACTAGTACGGCTGGTCCCGGAGAAGCATCATCACTTCCCCGGGGTGCACTGTTTACAGAGTCGACGATGGATCACGACTCGTACAAGGGCGGTCAAGCCAGAACCAACGGCTGTGATACACCGGTTCACGGGCAAACAGATGCGCGGCCACACCGCAATCGGTATGGGACTCAAAGCTTGCCGGCGACGCGAACGCACTCCAGAACCAGCTCGGTGGTATCGGTTGGTACGGTATCATTGGATTCTATGATCATGTCAGACAACGTCTTAACTCTTCCCCCGCGTTGTGGTACCTTGGCTCCCATGTACGTTCCAAGTCCCAACGAAAGCTCGGTGGCTTCGTGTTTGGCTGCTTTCTGTGCCAAAGAGGAACTGCGCGGCACCAATGCCTTCCTTTGTCAAGAATGCGGACGCCGTGCAGCAGCGGACGCGGCCGTACAGGACGCAGCTAGTGCTCTGTGTCCACCTCCTCATGGACGCCTTCAAATGGAAACTCAACAGGGACAATCTTCCGAAACCTTGACTGCAGTGGTGGGGCACAGCGACCTTGTCGCTTCCAATGCGTGCTTGGACGATTCTGACGATATGTCTGGTGAGCCGGGACTCAAGCATGCATTCGAAGATACATCGCCTGTCAATGAGGCAAACGGCTTTGCGAGCAATGTTGGCAGTGTTCGGGCCTTTGCCAAAGGCGGCGTCAGCGATGTCTCATCAGGGACGGACGGCACATGCTCTTCGCCGTCCATGAAATCGACGCCCTCTCCTTCAAAGCCCATCCCACCAGTGGCACGCGAGGCTAGTAAGCAACTGCTGATTGAGTTGCCTCCCACGGTCCTGACTCTGCATCTTAAACGCTTTGAGCAACACGGTGCGTGCTGTCGCGAAATCGTGCCTAAAAGTTTTCAGCGCCTCAGTGGCCCTCGGACGTATGGTGCATCCTACCACTGATGCTCAGCGTGTGGCGGGTCCGGTTCATTTGTATGCAGGTACACGCCTCAGCAAGAGCTCTCGCCATGTGAGCTTCCCGTTGGTGTTGGACATTGCTCCTTTTTGTAGCACTGAGTGAGTTGAATAGCTTTGTGTCGAAGGGTCCACCTATCTTTTGCTCCCGTGCTTGGTCGACGTGTGGGTGTTCACGATCAAAGGGCACGCGTAGGTGCTCGATGACGGTATACTCGGGCAAGGAATGCGGGGTGCGCTACGAGCTAAGATCGGTGGTTGTACACCAAGGTCGACTCACAGGAGGGCACTATGTTGCCTACGTACGGGTACGAGCCGCCTAAATGCTCTCTGCGTGCGTCAAATGAAAAGCCAGCAAGACATTGCTGGACGGAATTTCACCGGGTCTTGTGTACAGACGGATATGGAAGCTTCAACGAAGGATACAGCGGCTGCCCAAGGCCCGAGTCAGACGTCAGGCTCACCATCGTCATGGTACTGTGTCTCTGATGCAAGTGTGCGCAAGGTACGAAAGTATGGCGCATTCGTAGTGATGGCCACGGTGACAGCTCGTTCCATGCCTTCCTTCACTCATAGCCCTCGCGGTTTGTGTACTTCGTGCAACAAGGTCGCAGAGAAGGAAGTCCTCGCGGCAGAAGCATACATTTTGTTCTACGAGCGTTTGGGTTAGAAGGGCTTAGCTGAGCTAGGCCACTTGTGACATGTGTCTGATCACATCGAGTGTGGTAGAAGAACATGAAACTCACACCGCTACGCGCGAGCCCTCGTTGGACCGAGTTGAGGTATAATCAATGTGTGACATTGGTGAGAGGACACCTGAATTGGGAGTTTGCGGTGTGATAAACAATTTCGTGCAAGTATTTTGGTTTGAAAGAAGGACATGCTCGAAAAAAAGACAAGCAAGAGAGAGAGAGAGAGAAAAAAAAAAAAAAACAACAACAAGGAAAGAGGGAAAAGTTGGCAGAGGCGACCAAAACCAAACGAAGCAGGCTTCGGGCGGCTTCTGATGTGGGCCCGCACACGCACATGGTTCAATCAGCAGCCCAAGGGTGAAAGTCAAGATAATGCACGATTCCTAATACAGAGATGACGAGACAAAGAAATCAAGGAGAGAGGGCGGACGTTGGCTCGAAACAAAGAGATGCAACACTGAGCACAGCATCAACATCAAACAGCCGGCCAGATGCCTGCCCAAGAAGGTCATCTACAGCTAGTTTTAGGCATCGATGCGCTCGTACTCGGACGTGCGGCAACGCCTGGATGAGCAATGGAGGATCACGCACGGAGGTGAGACGGTGCAACGTTTGGGTGAAGAAGCAGTGAGACCATTTGGGACCTGGCAGCAAACGTACGAGATGGCAAAGGCAAGGATGCCGAAGAGAGCAAGGGCCGTGATGACAGAGCCAACGATCAGGCCGATCGTTTTGGAGCCTGTGAGGCGGGTCAAGTGTAAGTCAAGGCTCAAGAGGGCAGGCTTGAAAGCGTACAAGCACTGCAATACGGGGACAACAAAAGGTGGTATTTGGGCACCGAGCGAGCAGAAGGGGCGTACGCTTCGAGTCGGCCGAGGCTGGGCAGTAGGCATCGTTGTCCAAGGCGGCAAAGTTGCCCTCCTTGGTCAAGGAGCCGACCTGGACCTGCACGTCGGTGACGTTGAGCGTGGCGTGATGGGTCGAGTTGAGAAGGGCCTTATCACCCGAGTAGGAGAAGGTGTAGTTGCAGCCGTAAGAGTGGTTGGCCTGGGCGGACAGAGCCGTGTGCGCGGACACGTTGAGCGGGAAGATGATGGGCATTGCGCCGAGGAAGGTTTCCAGGCTCACGTCTATGGGAGGCCGTGGTGAGTCGGGGGCGAACCAACTGACATGCCGTGGTCGATATGGGCACGAGGGCGCCTGGAAGACAGGGTGCAGAGAGTGTCAATTCACCTTGCAGGTTAACGTAGCCGGACGCATTCTGGTGGAAGGTGAGGGTGACGCTGGCAGAGCCGTTGGGGGTGTTGGAGACCAACATGAGGAGAGAGATGTTCTTGGCGTTCTGGCAGCTGCCCTGGGCCGAGGAGAAGTTGGAAAGATCCATAGTAATGCCATCTAACAACACGTGGCGTTGCTGCATGAGAATTTGATGCACATGTGGGTCCTAATTTGGCAAACCCAGGGAGGTGGCAAGCCAAGTGCAGACAGGATGGATGGCTATCGCGCACCAATGGTGACAGTCAAATTATCGTAGTCAAAGCGGACGCAGGGGGCGCCACCGTCGCCCTTAATGGTAACGCTGTGCTTGTAGTCGGTGGCAGGAGTCGGGGCAGAAGTGGGACCTGCAGAAGGTTCGAAACGTGAGGTGCCACCAGAGAAAAATTTCTCAATTGGAAGGAGACGATTCGTGCGCGACGATCGTACCGTGAGTGGTGGTGGGGCCAGCCGTGGTAGCAGCCGGAGTGGTGGTGCCGTTGGACGCCGCGGGAGTGGTGGTGGTGGTGTCGTTGGATGCGGCAGGGGTGGTGGTGGTGGTGGTGGGAGCTGCGGTGGTGGTGTTGACAGCGGCAGGGGTGGTGGTGGTGGTGGGAGCTGCGGTGGTGGTGTTGACAGCGGCAGGGGTGGTGGTGGTGGTGGGAGCCGCGGTGGTGGTGTTGACAGCGGCAGGGGTGGTGGTGGTGGTGGGAGCCGCAGTGGTGGTGTTGACAGCAGCAGGGGCTGTGGTCGTCGTCGCGTTCTTGGCGGCCGACACACTCATAGCCACGAGCGCTGTAACAAGTACATCCATCAGACAGAGCAGTGAGACAACCTCTGGATCGAGCATGCACGGCCAGATTTCTTTTTGGTACCAAGCCCTCTGGCCCAGCAGCTGCCCTTCCACCCGGTCCGCACAACTTTGGGATCGTGTTTGCGCCCGAATGAACATTCCTGACTCTGATCGTGACACCTGGCACTCACCCAAAACGGCGAGGAGAATGAGGGATCGCGCCATCTTCGAGGAGCTTGGTGCGTCTACGTCAAAGGCCAATCAATGTCCGTCCGACCACATCCCAACCCGGCACAAGTGTGTGAGGGAATTCAACAGCCGAATCCCAAATGACCCGTGCGAACAAGCAGCAAGCAGCCCGCCTTCCACTCATCTCCGAGACCACGAACATACCTCTTGACTGGAGCAAAGCGCCAAACGCCAGGCATGAGACAAGAACAGGATGACATGAGGTAGGTGAGGTAGGATGAGGCGAGAATGCAAACAATGATAGGGGTCGTGAGGCAACACGACCGGCGCCATCGACCAGACGACGGTGATGTGCCATGACCGACCGACTGACCCTGACGCTGACTGGCTGCTTGCTGCTTGCTGCTTGCTGCTGTTGAATGACGAGAGAGAGAGAGAGAGAGAGAGAGAGAGAGAGAGAGAGAGAGACGTGAGGGGCCAATAACAGCTGGTAGCAGATCAGCCGGGATGATCTGACAATGAGTTACACATGTAGCGAGCGATTTGGAGGCGGCAGCGGTGGGGTGGGTAAAAAACAATCGAGTTTTGGAGATCTACATTGTCTAAGGAGTGTAACCCTTTGTCCGAGCGTCTTCATTCCGTCTTACAAAATAAATCAAAGCCGAGAACAAAAGCTCGCCTCAACAAACAACAACAACAACAACAAAGCACCTTTACGTTTAACGTTACTCCTTGGCTTGTGCCTTACTGTCCAAGCAAAAGAAAAAGAGAGAGAGAGAGAGAGGGAACAAAAGGATTTTTCTCATTGATTTGTTTGGCAGCGCCTCTTGTCTGGACGCTTGGTGATCGTTTCGGCGCCCGCTCTTCCGCTGCTGTGCTTGCCCGTCCACGACGAGGCAGCGAACTGGGGTTGCTTCTTGCTCAAACGCCAGCTTCCCACTGCTGTTTGCCTCTGCATTTTTCCTTTTCCTACCTTGTGGCCTTTGACTGCCTTTTCTTTTCGTTGGATCTCAATCGGACAAGATGCTGGCCGGCCGATCTATCCTTGCTGTGCTGCTGGCGGCACAATGTACGTCTGGGCTTAGGCCCACACCTGGTGCAGCCCTTTTGGATTGCTCTTTTCCCCTTCCGCCCCTCGGGGGAGGGTTTTTTTTTTTTTTTTTTAATTTGTGGATCGCAGCTCACGGTTTGCATCAACATTTCCAATAGGCGCCATGGCTGTGGTCAAGACGCTGCGCGAGCCCATGGATGAGTACGCGGCTGCTTTGCAAGCGACGCATCGCGAGTGCACAGCCATTTATCAAGTAGACTTTGAAGCCCGCTATACCACCCAGGGTAACGATCTGGGTATGCTGCCTGCGCAAGGCGTTGACACGACCGTCGTGTCCACCGACCCTGAGTATGCCAACTTTGCCGACATTATGGCGAGCAACCCGGACGACTATCCTGCTGGCGAAGCCATCGGTGCCAATCTTATTGGCGAGCCCAAGAAGAATGATGTGGTTGCTCAGGCTTACGCTGCGTCGCAGTATTCAGTCACTGCCCTCACCGAGGTCAACACGGCCACTCCCATTGGCTATCAACGCGACATGATTCACATTTATCATTCAGTCTGTGTCAACTTTACAAACGTGGGCAAGCGTTGGGTGGAGATTATGGCACAATCCCTGCAGTCGGATCAGCAGATCTGCGTGGCCGACTGGAACCGTCCCAATCTGGCGGAGAACCCCATCCAGGTCGCCTGTGGAAACGGCGAGCTCTTTGTGTGCCGTGACTCTGCCAACAGCATCAACGCAGATGGCTCTTACGCTGATGAAATGGGCATCAAGTTCTTCTGCCAAGACTCGTGCGATGATCCCTACTTTGAGTTTTATTGGCGCGTGGTAGCCAGCCAGATTCGTCCCTACCGCAATTCCAACGGCCGATGGGAGCAGGGTGATGGCGAGAACTGGTGCGGTATGCGCGGCGGTGACGATTACCCTCAAAGCCTCCTCCAGCCCTACCCTGAAAACTACGATGCCCCTGCCGTCTTTCAAAAGTCGGTGTCCGGCGCTTCATCCGTTTTCGTCTCGACGCTGCTGGCAGCGTCTCTTGCTCTTATCGCCGCCGCCCTCTATTAAAGTGGCTCGTGGCCCCTTTGCATACCCGAGGGTGGTGGGAAAGAGTCTGAAGAGCCACGTCGTGGTTGTCGGCTCCTTCTCCTCCTTCTTTTAAACGGAGAACACTTGATGGGTCTTTTCCTTTTGACTTTGTTCTCACTTGTCTGCTTTGTTGCCGATCCGGCCGTGGGGTTGTTCCTCTTGTGTGTAATCTGTATTGGTAATGTGTGCTGGTGGCGGTCGCACCATGGCCATTGGGCTTGTTTCCCCCAATGGAGTACCTCGAGACTTGCTGGACGAGTCTCCGAGTGCCCTGGAAATTTTGCATCGTATGATCTGTATCTTATGAGCATGCAGAGGTTTCTTTCCCCATGGGCTTTCCGCCTGTCACACATCATCATGCCTGCTCGGTTTCTGGTCATTTTGTCATGCGCGGTGCTCTTCTTCCCTCTCAGAAAAGGGGTTAGCATCTGCTCTGGTTCTTCTGTGTCTCCAGTCATCCGATGTTCTGGCCTTCTTTGTGATGAAATGAAATTGAACCCCCATTCGTGCTTGCCAGATTGACGCTTGCCATTTTGTTAACTGACGATAGTGCAAAAGATCTCGTCCGTTGTCCCAACGAAGAAGGTTAGCTAGCGAGGCTCAAGAAACAGCAGAGGCAGCATGTTCATTTCACTTGTCAATTTGAAAACGCAAACTCACACGACAACGCTTGATGAGATTGACATTATTTTTTATTTACACAGCTTACTTGCCAGCTGCATCATTGGCAGTGGCATGGCTCTTCATCATCGTCGTCGTCATCGTCGCAGAAGGCATCTTATGATAACAAGAGGGGGCATGGGGAAGGACGGCACAGGTCAGCTATTTGAGATAAGAACTTTGAATACAGCGCCACATGGCAACAATGAGCTCCTGACAAGGAGGCAGCGTAGATATAAGGAAAGCCCCAGCAACACAAAATTCCGAGCGTTGGAAAGACAAAGAAAAAAAAAAAAAAAAAAAGCACCAGGCGTCCTGCAGCCGGATCAGTTTGGACGAGTGGGAGGGCTGAATGCAATCAATCAGGGTGCTTTTGTCAACAGAACAACCCACGGGTGCACTCGTGCTTCACTTAGTTGCTGGCAAGGGCCTGTTGCAAGGCTGAATCGACGGAATGCCACTTTTCGTGGGGCACGCGCAGCGTTGATACGGATTGCCGCAGTTGTGCCTCAATATCTTCCCAAGCGACGTTTGGAGTGGATGCTGGGATACTGCGCCGAATAGGACGAGAGGGCGAAGTCGGAGTCTGCGTCTTTGCAGGCGTGACCACGGCTTCTTGAGAGCGACTTGAAGCAAAGGGATTTGTGCTTACTCCTGTCGTCACTGCAGGCGTGACCACGGCTTCTTGAGAGCGACTTGAAGCAAAGGGATTCGTGCTTACTCTTGTCGTCGCGGGCGCAGTATTTTCGTCGACACTGGAGGTTGTCTCTTTCCTGAGCTCCGTCTCTAGGTCGTGGTCCATCTTGGTATCATCTGTCACATCAGCTTCTGCCTCGAGTTCGCCTTCACCCACAGCTTGCTGTACCGCGTGTGATTGGGAATCGGGTTCGGTCACCGTTTCCTGCACATTCGCAGGTTCGGGCTCAGCCTCGACCTCAGGCTCAGCAGCAACTTCAGATGAAGGTCCAGGCACAGCCTCAGCCACGTTGGGTTCAGGCTCGGCGTCAGGTTGGTCTTCAGCAGCAACTTGAGCTTCAGCCGTAGGTTCAGGCACCACAAGTTTTGGTTCAGCCCCGTCAGCCTCAGAGTTGGACTCGAAATTGGGTGCAACTTGAGCCTCGGCTTTAGGTTCAAACTCAGACTCAGTTGCTTCGGGCTCAGTTGCTTCGGGCTCAGTTGCTTCGGGCTCAGTCGCTTCGGGCTCAGTCGCTTCGGGCTCAGTCGCTTCGGGCTCAGTCGCTTCGGGCTCAGTCGCTTCGGGCTCGGTTGCTTCGGGCTCGGTTGCTTCGGGCTCAGTTGCTTCGGGCTCAGTTGCTTCGGGCTCAGTTGCTTCGGGCTCAGTTGCTTCAGGCTCAGTCGCTTCAGGCTCAGCAGCTTCAGGCTCAGTCGCTTCAGGCTCAGTCGCTTCAGGCTCAGTCGCTTCGGGCTCAGCAGCTTCAGGTTCAGCAGCTTCAGGTTCAGCAGCTTCAGGCTCAGTCGCTTCGGGCTCAGTCGTTTGGGGATCCACTTCAGGCTCCGCTTCGGGCTCAGTAGCTTCGGGTTCCGTTGCTTCAACCTCAGTCGCTTCAGGCTCAGTCGCTTCAACCTCAGTCGCTGCAGGCCCAGTCGCTTCAGGCTCAGTCGCTTCAGGCTCTGCTTCAGGCTCAGTCGCTTCAGGCTTTGCTTCAGGCTCAGTCGCTTCAGGTTCCGCTTCGAGCTCCGCTTCGGGCTCCGCTTCGGGCTCCGCTTCAAGCTCCGCTTCGGGCTCAGTCGCTTCGGGCTCAGTCGCTTCAACTTCAGCAGCTTCGGGCTTCGCGTCAGCTTCGAATGCCGCCTGGGACTCATTGTTTGCATGGGCCTCAGGCTTAAAGCCTGAGGCAGCAGAGGCAGCAGACCCTGATCGGGGCTGAGGGCGAGCGATGGTGGATGGAGAGGCAACAGCGGCGGTCTTGTCGCTATCGCCGGAAAGTTCCAGGTTGGTGGGTTCAGCTCCACTCTCGACCAAAGCTGGGGACATGCGGCGAGGGCTAGATGTGCCCGTGCGGGCTGTCATCACACGAGCGCGAAGGCTGGCTAGCTTTTCTTTACGAGCCAAGCGCTCGGCCTTTTTCTGTTCTGCCTTCTTGCGGTCCTCAGACTTTTTAGCCTCGACCTCTTCCAAAGCTTGCTTCTCAAGCTCCCGGCGGTATTGCTGGCGCTGCTCTGCAGATTGTTGACGCAGCAATTCGCGCTTTGTGGCTGAGCGCTGGGCTTCCTCAGCCTTGCGTAGGAACTCAGCTTCCTCCTCGGCCGCCCGACGCTCAGCCTCGGCCAAGCGACGCTCGCGCTCCTGCTCCTCAATTAATTCGAGGCGGCGCTGTTCTTGCTCAGCCTGCTCAATCTCCACCCGCTTTGCGGCATCGACCCATGATTCACCTTCCATGGGCTGTGCAACCGCTGGGACGTCCGAGCCCACATCAGAGCCGTCCTCGGCGCTTCCAGCCTGCATGCGACGGCGGGCAGAGCGATCGACGGCCTTGCGTGATGGAAGCTGGGCGGTGTCCGGTGCAGGCGATGCTTCGGTACCCTCAGCAGCATGTGCCTCTGCTGCGCCGTCCCCGGCGTCACTGTGGTCATCCTGGTCCGCTTGATTGGCGTCGTCCTGAGCATCGTGGTCCTGTTCATGATCCTCGCTGTCATGGTCACCGGGCTCACTGCCTTCGTCATCTGAGACTTGCATTAAGGGGGCGTCGTCGCGGGCGTCAGTTTTCGTCTCCGGCTCGAGCTGTGCCTGTTCGTCAAGCTCTGCTTCTTCTTCATGGGCGGGCTTGGCTGATGCTTTGGTGGAACGTGTGGTTGCATCTCGTTTAGATACGGTTTTGCTGCCGGTCTTCGATCCGGTTGTTTTGGCCGGGCTGGTCTTGTTAGGCGATGCTTTGGATGCAGCCTTGGTACCCAGGGATTTGGTGCCAGACTTGCTGGAGGTGGCGCCCGCTGTTTTTTTGGTGCCAGTCTTGGTAGTGGTGGTGGTAGCACCACTCGCAGTGGTTCGAGTCGTGCGCGGGGAGCTGGCAGCTGAAGTTTGGCGCGAGGTGCGCGGAATGGCGCTGGCCGACTTGCTAGCGGCTGACGAGGCCGAGGGTTTGGCCTTTGCAGTTGGAGGCCGCGTTGCGGCCGCAGATGGCGCACTGCACAGCAGAATGCCACGGGGCACGGTGAGCATTGTCAACCTGGGATTCAATTCTGGCTTTGAGAGCTTGATCATCGAGGGTGCAGACTGACCTGCGAGGTTTTAGGCGGCCGGCGGGATCGGCGCGGGCCGTGCTTTTGGTGGAGATGGAGCTTTTGCGTCGCTCCTTCATCTGCTTCAGACGCTCCTCCTGGGCGCAAGGATGGAGACCAGATGCGCGGGGCGAAAGAGCAGAACAAGGGGTGGGGGTTGTTGGTGAGTTGAATGGCACGGACTCGGTTGGTGTTCAGTGTCTGGGTTGGCTGGGCCGAAAAGGCAATGTGCACACCTTTTCCTTCATTTTGCGCTTCAGGGCTTCTTTCTGAGCTTCCATCTGTTCCGAGCGGCGCTTGGCCACTGTCATGGAGTGCGGGGAAAGCAAAAGCAGATGAGTTGGGTGTGTGAGGCCTGTTGGGTGCATGGGACCAAGAGCACGAGGATTCGATCCGCGATCGTTGTCTTGTCGAACTCGGCCAACATACCAGCCGAGGCATGCGACTTTTCGCTCATGGTGTTGGAATGGTCGAGGGGCCACGGAAATGTCGCAACTGGGGCACGGCGCCGACGGCCGAGCTGGTGTTGATGTCGTCACTCGAAGCGTCAGCGTTCGGTGGCACGATTCTCGGGGGGTGGTGGTGGTGGTGCGTGTTGTGGGGAGCGATGAGCCGGTCCCCAACACAGCCTCAGTGAGACCGTTGGTTTTCTTCCAAGCAAGGACAACTGCCGAGTTGCCAGTAAAAGCGAGGACTTGGTCCGATCTGAAAGCAGGCAATGCAATCCAAGAAACAATTGCAACAGCAGTACGCTCTCAATGTGCCTCGGTCGGTTCGTCGGCACACACACATACACACACACACACACACAAGGCGCGCACAGTAAATGCGAGAGAGAAATAAAAGAGAGAGAGAGAGAGAGTGAGTGAGAGAGAGAGAGAGAGAGAGAGAGAGAGAGTTTGAGAGAGTTTGAGAGAGAGAGAGAGAGAGAGAGTTTGAGAGAGTTTGAGAGAGTTTGAGAGAGAGAGAGAGCTTGATTGATTTAGCATTGGGGATGTGAATTTGAAGATCAAAAATCAAAAATCAAATGGAGAGAGAGAGATCAAGACTGAGTGAGGATCAAAGAGAGAGACTGAGGTCGAGGGATCGAGAGAGTTGCTGATGGGCCGTGTGTGTGCTTCACGGCCAGTGAGAGGCTGGCCAAGTCACGGGATGAGGTCAGGAGCGCCTGGGAGGCTTGAGCGCCTCTTGGAATGTGTGGGAACGCCAAAGCACTTGTCACCTAGCGCCGTGCTCTGCGCGCACCGTAGAAAGCAGACACGCACGTCAAAAATTTTGCACTTTTTGGACTACTGACTGTCCGGCCCACATTGGCAGTTGAAACCTGGGTTCGTTCAACAGCGAGGCTTCAGCACCTTCGCCGCACACCATGAACAGGGCGGGCGCTACCCTTCATACCTCCCACCCACTGCCAGCACTGCCAGCACTGCCACAACAAGGGCCGCCACAGGCAAAGCAACACCAATACATTCATACGAGCCCAGCAACAGGGCGAGAGGGTCACTCGTTCAGTTTCAGGTGACTCCCATACATTCCTTACGGAGCCCTGCTTGCTACCAACCGTCAGACAGGCGGTGTTGGTGTTGTGGCCACTGCCTTTGAAGCGTGATGGAAGACACACTTTGTGACGGTGTTTGTTGTGGGTGTCCGCTGGAAAGAAGCTGACATCGCCCACATGCCAGTATGCAAAAGCCAACGACCCAGGTTTAATTCAAAGGGGTATATTTGAGTTTAGCATTCACCCGAATTTTCGTGTACGTGTCCGGATGGTTTGTAGATGACAAAGGCTAAACCCATCCTGAATTGTCCATGCCTTTGCCAATCTGTACAAGTACGACCCTTGGTGTCCGTTTTCGCGTGTACGGCCTTGCAACCACACACAATGTCGTGTGCTAATGCACAATCAAGCAGATGGCAATAGGGCGAAATAACATACACGTGGGGGCCTCAGTCGACCACCAAATCTTTCTAGATGCAACGCACATGGTATGACGGGTTGTGGCCCCCTTCGTTGTTGTTGGCGTGCCCTCCCCGGTTTGTGACGGGAACTGGTGGTTGGCCACTGACATGCCGCTTCGGTGGTTTTGATCGCTGCGTGACATGCGTTCTTGAAAAGGGCTTGCGATCAAGCTTGGGAGTGCGAGAAACAGTGAGCAAGAGAGGAATTTTAAAGCTTGATTGATTTGGGGAGGGGTGATGGAAGAGTGCGATGGCAGTCTCAAGATTTGAAACGGCCATGAAAAGCGGAGAGAAACGCTGGGAAGGAAAAGATCACATCTGCTCAGCAAGTGTCATCATGGAGATACAATCTCCGAGCGGCATATGTGCACAGCACCCAGGCAACAAGGGACACACACGGGGGAAAAACGAGGCGAACGAGAATGAACAAGATTGCAATAGATCGATCTTCTCTTATGCGTCCAGACGACCACACCAGACAACATCAAATCGCCGCAGCGAAAGAGCCCTTTTGAGACTTTTTATGAACAAACAGATGCCATGACGAGCATGGTATATTACGCCACAATCGGGCAACAGGCAGGCTCGACACATTTGTCGTCACGGACGACACACCAAACAGGCCATTACTTGCGCGGGGGCGCTGCGGTTGCGTTCTTGGCGTGCAACACATCGCCACAACGACTGCAGGCCTTGTTGTCGCGCTCTGACTTGCACGGGACGTAGTGGCACGAGCTGCAAATCTTGTTGTACTTCTTGTAGCGGATACCACAGGCGTTGCACAAAGGCAGATCGGGCTGAACGTCACGCCACAACGGGGTGTTGGAAGTGCCGCAGCACGCACACGTCTTGGTACGACGCACGCCACCTCCGGTGGTGCTCGATGAGCTGGGACCATGCGTGTGGCCGTTGTGTTGGTGACCGTTGTGGGCGGGCATGCGGTGGGCCTTCTTGGGCTGGGGCGAGACGGCGTTGCTGCGGACCTTGTGCTGAGCGCGAGCGGCCTTGGGGGCGCCAGTCGCAGCACTGGCCTTGGACGAGGAGAGAACAAACGCAGCGGCGGCATCAGCATCGTCATTGTCATCATCCTCGTGATCGCTGTGGTAGTCGGTTACATAGTTGGGGCGCTTGACGCGAGTGCGACGACGGTTGCCGTTGACCACATCACCCGAGGCAGCTGGGGCCTCGGGCGCGGCGGCAGACACCACCTGGTGAAAGAGAACACTGTTGTAGTTGCGGCATGTGGGGAGGGAAATGGCACCCGAGCCAATGACGAGAAAGGAGACACCAGAATCAAGGCGTTCCGGGGCCTTGAGGGGTTTGGGATCAAAGCGGAATCGACGACGCGGTGTAGCCGATGCCCGATCATGGGCGAGCTGAATGCGGATGGCATCTGCCGAGGACAACGACGTGCTGGCGTTGGTGGGGGTCATGTTGGAGGTCGCCGGCTTGCTGGCGGGTTGGAATGCCAGTGGGGATTGGCTGGCCTCGTTGGCGGGAACATGCACGTGGGAATCCCGCGAGGCGTCGGAATCGAGATCGTCACTGTCGGAGAGGGCGGGAACGCGGCCGTCATCAAAATCGCTGACGGGGGAGTGCGATGCCATCGAGCTGGCCTCGGGTTCAGTAATGTCTTGCATGGTGGTGTTGGCATGCAACAGGTCGTAGGTCTTGGGCATCACGCCGTGATGGTGATCATGGCCCAGCACGGGCATTCTGGGTAGAGGGGTTTCGTACATGTTGGCAGCGGCGGCAAGGGTTGCCAGTGATGACGGATGCAACAGGGCGGCGGTCGAGGCGAGGGGTCAAGCAGACTATGTGCTCAAAAGATCAAAGGCTCAGCCAGTGGCTGAGACGGTGATGCTGGCGAGGACTGGAAGGAGGAAAAAGGCAAGTTGGAGGCCTGCACAGACAATGAGGCAGCAATGCATGAAAATTTCAAGATCAGTTCATGAGCTGGCGGCATGTGGGTGGGAGCGTGTGTATGTGATGTGGGGTGATTTGTGACGCGTGGTGTGGGAGTCAAAAGCAAGTCGGAGAAAAAAAATGGATGAATGCGCGCCAACGGACATGACCACGCGACATGCGAGTGTGGATGTGGCAGCAGCGCAAACGACTGACAACCAATCCAGGGTGGCGCGTAAAGGACCAGTAGCAGAAGAAAAGACAAGAAAGGCATGGAAAGCAACAGAAACCCAAAAGACAAGATCCCACACACACGAGCAGCGAAAACAACGAATCGAAAAAAATTGAAGAAGGATGACGAGGAAGAAAGAACAAAAAGGAGGAGGAGTGATGCACAGAAGGGGAGGAGGAGGCGTGGGCACACGGGATCAAAAGCACACCAAAGAGAACATGACATTCGAGCAAAGCCAAGTGGAATGGGGGGAGAAGATCTTCATGATGGTGGGTCCCAAAAAGCAGGGTGAGTCAACGTGCATCACTTTTGACACCCAATGTGGAGCACAATTGAGGCAGCTGCGGCGCCACACCTTTCCATCAAGAAAGAGGATAATCACGTCACACACAACCGGATCAATGGAAAGCGCAACAAACTGGTCAGGCACGCGCAGACCGTGATGGTGACCCGAAAACCCACATGCCACTCCAAATCCACGAGAATGTCCCCCCATCAGAATGGTGCCACGCGCTCTGTTTTGTCACCACCATCAGCACCAGCACACGCCCAGACATGTGTCCGCTCTCACACCATCTTCAACCACCAGCAAATTATGGGATTCAAAGCAGAAAGTGTAACAGACATCACACACCAAACCAAAAAGCGGCATGCGCCGACCCCCGACACCGTGAAAAATAGATGTGTTTGGGTGTGTCAAAAATCACACATTGAGGCGTCAACCTCCTCGTCACGTAAAAAACGCACCACGTCATATGGAACAATAACGCACATGTAACCATATGTGTTGCGTTGGGGGAACCAGTACGCAACACCAGACAAAACCAAAGAGAGATTTGGTGACACCCACCAATGCCTTGGAACTGAGCAGGAAATGGGTAAGGACAAAGGGGAAGGGTGACAAGGCACACAACCAACCGCCTCGTCACCCAACCGATGCAGCCATCATCAGCCAATCAATCACACGGGATACACGATCAGATCAGCCCCGATCGTGCTCGCAGCCGCCCACCCAGCCACCCAGCCGGAAACGTGCATCAACACTCAGCAACAACCATCAACAACCACAAGAACCACGAGAACCTCGCCAACATACCACAAGACTAAGAAAAAAAAAGGTGATTGGAGCCCAACATGGATCACCAAATGGCAGCGCGCCAAAATCGGAACTCAACACGAAACAACAGGACACGGTGGTTGGATTTGGATCGATGTCTGCACAAGTGTGTGCGCGCGTGTGTACGTGCGGGCGATGAAACGTACCCAGCCAGTGGTTGTCAAGTTGCACGGCAGTTGGACGGCAGTGGTTGTCTGAGCTTGGTTACGAAACAGGCTGGAGCCGTGGATCAAAGATTCCAGTTCAGACACCATGCGCAAATCATCAAGACAAGGCGGGAGAATGGCAGGCAGGCAGGCGCGACAAGAAAAGAGAGGGCATCAACGTGAGTATAAAGTGCTAGATCGACCGATCGACCGATCAATCGCTGATCACGATCAAAGGACAAGTCACACTGTCGGATGGCAGCGACCATGTAGATCCGGAACCAACATCAATCAAGAAAGAAAAAACAACAACAACAACCTAGAACATGGTTTTGGCAGCGGATCAGATCCGCACACCATCCACCTGTAACATACCGGCCAAGAATCAGACGAGTCGTCAAGGAAATGGCAGTGGCCAGTACGATTGAGTTGCAGCAGGTGTGGAGCACAACAGGTCCAGGTGAAAAATGCGCGTCTGACGTTTCAGGGCACGCTATGTCAGCCGACGCCACACAACGCACCCGCAAGGTTTCTCTTACGTCGTCGAGCATCCGCCAGCGCACGAAACCTCAACGTTGAAGGTGTGTAAAACCGGACGTCGGCAAGGAGAGAAACATCCAGTGGTTTGCTTGCGATAATAAGCTTGGGCTCGGCTTGGCTTGGGGCACTTGGGATGGGTGAGTGAGGTGTGTGGGGTGTGTTTCTGGTTGGCGTTTTCATGGTGGGGGTTCTTGATTGGTTTGACCATCTTTTTTGTTGCTTGTGTCGTTGTCGTTGTTGGACCTTGATGTGTGTGTGTGTGATTTCAGGCCATGGAGCGTGTTGAATTCCTCCTTATCCTCTGTTCCTAGTGGACGATTTCGGGAAGAGGGGGGTTCAGGTTGGCGAATTCTGTTGTTTTACACTCGATTAACTTCAGTCATGGTGGTGAATGTGAGTAAGTGACCTGCAAGTTCAAGATTGCACTCTTCCGCTACGCTACGCTACGCTCGGGGCAGTTGGGAGTCCTCGTCCCTCATCCGATAGATTGTTGGGCATGGCGTTGCGGTGATCGCGGTAATTGCTCTCACCCTTCTGATACACAATTGCGAGATCGCGTACTCAGACAAGCAGCCATGCTCAGGGAATACAACTCCAGCCCACCCGTCATCATCATGGCCTCCAGGCAACTGCAACACCAAAGCTGCGATCAATGGTGGTCAATGGTATTGCTGTGCAGTGAGCAAGTCGGTCGATCGCGTCGGGTATCACTGGAATGGCCGAACAATTGTCAAGACCACAAGTCCAGCTGTTCTGCTCGAAGAAGCCTTGGAGTCGATCCTGGGCACAGGGTTCACTGGCAGTGTCTTGGGCGATCTGTCCCGTCGATGGCTGACTCGCTTTGCATGTGTGCGATCGCCGACGTGATCAAGTCGCGCTGCGGAGGGGCCTCGTCATCATAGGTTTGTGCGCCCGCCTAGAATCAAAAGGCAGGCTGCCCCGGGAAGAGAAGGGACACATTCCAGTCTCGATCGTCCCGCTTCCAGCGATTTGCAGAAGTGGCAAGAAAGCTGTCCCACCGAAAAGGTCGCAGAAACAGGTAAAAAGGTCATGGGTGCCATCAGCAGGACATGGGCAAGAAAAGAGTACACACACAGAAGCAGGCGAAAAAGCATCCTCGAGCGTGAGTGAACCAAAATGGCTGCAATGAAAGATCACATGACACTGATTGCGTGGTGCCCCACGACCAGAACAAAGCGGGCTCGAAAGCAATTTGGACAAGTTGTCAGAATGGGCTCTTGGGATTCGAGCGTCTGGTTCCATGGGGCGCTGGGCAATAGGGCTAAAAGGTGGGGGAGGGGGGACGCTGTTTGGGGCAGCAAGTGGGCTCCACGAAATGCCTGGCTCGCGTCTGCCCCCTTTCCGGCTCGGCTTGTGCTTTTGTTGTTGAAGCCTCATGTGATTTCGTTCGATTCCTCTGATCTGGCTCATCCGATCCGGCAGATTAGCCTGACCCGCTTGATCCAACTGATCCGGCTGATTCGGCTGACCCGGCTGATCCGGCTGATCCGGCTGATCCGGCTGATCCGGCTGATCCGGCTGATCTCTGGTCCATCTGATCCGCCTGATCCGCCCGCTCGCTGCCCTCCTACCCGATCCCGTTGAGCCTGGGTTGGATCCCCGTCAATCTGGGCGAACAACTCCCAAAATCGATCCACAACCCGTGTGGGGACAGGTCAGCGAGGCTCATCCGAGGTGCGCGTGCCAAACAGCGATCGCAAACGACTCTGTCACCATCATTATGATTCAATGCCAAACGCCAATTGGAGGTTTGGGGCCGGTACGCTTCCAAGAAACACCGTGAACCAACCTCGCGAAAGCAGAGAACAAGTAAAGAAGTCCGCACAGGAAGAGGGAAGAAAAGGAACAACAGGGCAACAAATTGCGCGCGAAAACAGTGAACTTTGTCAGACAATAAAATGGGCGCGAAAGCAATGACCTCCTTGTTATGTCGCAACATTTATGACACAGCGAGCAAAACTGTTGGATTGCGAGACTTGCCGGCGGGCCAACCGGCGATCAAACCAGGCGTCCGCACAGAGGTTTGGAGCGGGTGAGTGAACATACATTGATGGAAGACAACATAAGCAATCCAAGGGGCAGGCGGAATCCATTGCTCGAGAGGACACGCCGCCGCCCTCGCAAGAGGTGCCAGTAGCAAGGTCAGCAGAACAGACTGTAAGGTTTGGCAACGCCAAAGCACGAGCATAAACCAACAAGTTGGAACAGCCATGGTGAAGAAGCCTTTTGGTTTTTGGAGCACCGATTGCCTTGCTCTGGGCCGCATAGCCGCCCACAAGGCGGATTGTATGCAAGATCGTGTCGTCCGACGCCTATGGAGTGCAAACCAGAGAAACGCTGGAGGTTCCGGCGGTGATCACCCGGGCCCGCTTGACTCTTGGTCGCCGCGCAGACACGCATGCTACCATGCATCTGCTGGCTCTCTGTGGCCTAATGTTCACCCTAAGAATAAAAATTTTTGTTGCACAGCGAGCCCCTCACTCTCTTACACACCCTCATGAACACACACACACACACACACACAATTCACATGGACTGGTTGGTCTACTGACTCTTCTTCTAAAGGGAGCCATGATGAAGTGACACCCGATCAGAACTTTCAAAAACCAGCACGATTGCAGATGGTCCCTGCTGCCTTGTCTCTCTGTCTCTTTTTCGTTCTCTCTCTCTCTGAAAAGTATGACATTACAGGTTTTTGGAAGATGCGTGCTTGCATGAAAGTTGGTCGCTGAGCGACGAAACGTCTCAGCTAGCAACCTCTTGCTTTTTGGCCTTGGCGATGCCGCGGGCGAGCCCTTGGGACCTGCCTAGCCACGCTTTTGTGCGACGGGCAACGGGGCCGGTTGTCCAATGCCCACTGCAGGATGCTTCGGGCCAAGCACGAGCATCATGACTCAGGGGAGCTCTTCTGGCTGTAAAGAATGTCAGAGCTCCGGACGCGATCTCCTCGTCGTCATCAAAGCCGTCCACCCAGCACCATGCCCAGTCGTAACTCAGAGAACCCCCGGCCCCGACTCGCCTCACTCATCTTCGCCTTGAGAAGTGATAAAGGCCCACGGCCCTGTTCTAAACGGGTTCCAAGCGGCAATCAAGTTGACGGGCGAGTAGCCTTGTTGCAAGGCAATTCTTCTCCTCAGGTGCAAGCTTCGCGCAGCCCCAACGACCACAGCACGTCATGACCTTCCCGCTCATCCGCCCCATACCCGAGCATACGCCACGCACACAAGAGTGCCGTTGAATAGGATTTGCAACGGCCGTCCTCGGTTGCATACAGCACACACGGCCATCAATGAGGACAGCTCTCGATCGGGTGCAAGCCCTTCGTCCTCGACCATGCTCCCCTCCCCTCACGCCTTGAGCCCGCGACAACAGGCATGTACCAGCCATGTCCACAATCAGGCAGTGTTCACCTTTGGTTTGGTTATTTCCTGTGCTTGCCCGACGACCAATCAATTGTCATGGCTTCCACTGCCACACACTCGCCCTTTTCCCGACGATCGCACCCCTGGCCCTCCTCCGGGCAGTCCCTGTCCTTGCGGATGCGGCCACCCTGTGCAGCTGCTCTTGATGGCCACAACTACAGCCACATTGCATGCATCGCTCCCCCCCCCCCCCCCTTTGCATATTACTGCTCTGCCATCGCAGCTCGTATCGCCCTCCCCCCTGCCACGAGGCCTTGGGGCCTCAGTCTCGCTGTCCCTCCTCCATCGCTGGATCAATTCATGATCCACAACCTCGTCTCAGAGTGTCATTTTGCTTCTTCAGCACCTTCCCCTCGAGTGCCACCCGACCAGAGCTCGGGTCGCCCTCCCCCCCTCCCCCTTTCCCTCAACCCCCCTTGAGCGACAGCAGTTCCACCTCCAATCCCCGTGTCGATCGCTGCCCTTCCTACAAGCCCTGCCGTTGAACCCGTTGTACTGGGAATCGGATGCCCACCACCAGGCCGAGGAGTTCTTGCTGCTGCCACCAGCACCATGCGAGGCCTTGCCCTGGGCTTGGCCTGTCTGGCTACGCTGGCTTGTGTCCTGGCCTTACCAGCGGTTCGAAGCTGCCCACCCCTGCTCACCCTTGTTCCCGCAACGATTGACTCGCCACTCACGGATCACATGCATGCACGGCCTGCATCACAGGGCTTTAACGATGAAGTCATCCTCAATGTCAACGAGGTCATGTCCATCGTGAACTTGGATGATCATCGCATACTTGCTGGTACATCTGCACGCCTGCACGCGCGCCTCGCCGGCAGCAAGGCTGTCTAAGCATGCTGCTCATCTCATGTCCAGTTCTAAGCATGTCGCTCATCTCATGTGCTCATGCCATCCGCCGCCCCAAACCTCATTCTTAGCCAAGCGCGATGGCAACATCCTCATTGTGGACTGGTCCACCAAACCTGCTCAAACTGCCTCGTACCTCGTTCTACCTGTGGACTCGTATGGCGAGCGCGTAAGTGCTTTACCACCCGCAAGCCGCACACAAAAAAAAAGTTGTCCTCAAAATTCCCAACGATAATACGTCCCTCAGGCCTCGCACCGTAGTCTCATCAAGGTGATACGCCCTTGCTCTTGTGCGCGCAGGGTTGCATGTCCATCATTTTGGATCCGGATTTTGCAACCAACAACTACTTTTATGTCTACTACTCGAGCATTCCTGGCGGAGGCTTTCGTGTATCTCGCTTTGAACACTCCAACAACAATGGTGGAACCTCCTCACGAGCCGACCAAAACAGCGAAGTTCTCATTTGGGATGATCCCGATGGTTACATCGGCCCCTACCATTACGTACGCCGGTCTCCTTGCGCAGCATGTAGTGCTTCTGGTTCGTCCTTGCCCGCCCCCTGCTCACGTATCCCACCTCCCTCGATCTTTGCTCGCATTTAGGGTGGCGACATCTCGTTTGGCCCGGATGAGCATATCTACATCTCGCTCGGTGACAAGTACTATGCTCAGCTGGCCCAGGACATGTCGTACACGGCCGGTAAAGTCATTCGCGTCAGCAAGACGGGCGCCTTTCCTTCGGACAACCTGGGCCTCGACGATGGCGTGGGCGGCATTCACGACGGTATCTGGGCCGTCGGCATGCGTAACGGCTACCGCTCGCGCTGGGATCTGGCCACCAATCGCTACTTCATTGCCGAAGTTGGTGGGAACAACCAAGCTGTCGCTCAGGAAGACATTCATCTCGGCGCTGCTCGCAAAAACTTTGGCTGGCCGTTGTGCGAAGGTGCCTGCGATAGCCCCGATTTTGCGTACACGTGCAACTGCAACGATTACGATGATCCCATCTTTCACTACACCCACACTGATTCCAATGCCCCGACCGGTTCCAATGCCGCCATTGTCGGTGGCTTTGTCAACTGGGGTAGCCACCTTCCCCAAGAGTACTACGGTGCCTACTTTTTTGCCGATTACAGCCGTGGATGGATGAAATACCTCAAGTTTGAGGCGGATGGCAAGACCGTCGCGTCGGAGAACATGTTTGACAACTACATGACCTCCGTCATTAACTTTGAACCGGCGCTCGACGGCTCCTTCTTCTATAGCACTTTGAATCAGATTCGTCACATCACTTACTCTTCTGGCAATCAGTATCCCGTCATCTACTCGGCGTGGGCGGACCCTGCCACCGGCTCGGCGCCCCTCTCCGTCACCTTTGACGTCAGTGCCTTTGACGAGGACGGCGACGCCCTCACTTACACCTGGACCCTGGGCAATGGCCAGGTCCTGACCGGCAAGTCAGTCAGCACTACCTACTACTCGGAGGGCACCTACACCGCTTATGTCACCGTACGTTTCACGCTTGTTCGCCGCCTCACCACCGCCGGTCACGGCCTGTCTCAAATTTTGTCTTTCACCTCGGGCTGGCCCGAACGGCAAAAAGGTCCGACTGTAGTTCTCCTAACTTGCCATCCGTTGTCGTTGCTTCTCCCACATGGTGTAGGTCGCGGACGCCGAGCATCAGGTGGTGTCGGACGACATCAAGATTGAAGTGGGCATCCCGCCCGTGGTCAACATCTTGTCGCCCTCACCTTCCATGAAGTTTGTGGCCAACCAAGTCCTTGAGTTTGACTGCCAGGGTCAAAGCGGCTCGACTGGCGCCTACCTCCCTAATTCAGCGCACACGTGGGGCATGATTCTTCTCCACGACGACCACACTCATCCCGCAGTGAACGACCACGTTGGCAGCACCATGACCTTCACCATCCCCTCAGAGGGACACGGCTTCATGGCCTCCGTGGGATATCGCGCCACGTGCACCGTCGAGCATAACGGCCTGATTGCAAGCAAGTCTATCGAACTCTGGCCCGACGAGGTCTACATCACCATTGCCACCCAACCTGTGGATCTGGGCATTTTTTTTGACGGCATCGCCTCCAACGCTCCGTTCACCACGGACACCATGATTGGCTTTTACCATCTCATTTCTGCCCAAGAATCCGTCTGCAAGGACGGCGTGCTCTACCGCTTTGCTTCCTGGAGTCATGTCTCCGGCAACGAGCACACCATTACCGTCCCAGGCCAGGACACCACCTACACCGCCTCGTACTACACGGATGGCTCGTGCATTGATGAGGTCCCGGTCTCTAATGGCCTCGTCATGCATCTCAAAGGCGACGAGGGTGTTGTCACGGACAGCTCGGGCTACATCTCCGAGTGGCAGGACCTGTCTGGTAGCAACAACCTGAGTCCCCCAGCCGGTGCCTCGGCCCCCCTCCTCCTCGCCGGTCAGCTCAATGGCCACTCAGTGGTCACCTTTGACGGTGATACGGAAGCACTCGGTGCCGACTCGGCCAGCGGCCTACCCCTTGGCAATTCGGCTCGTACCGTCTTTGTGGTCGTCAAGTACGACAGCCCTGGCTGGGGCGGCTTTTCTTGGGGCGAGAGCGGTTGCAAGAACGTCTTTGGCCTGACGGTGGGGGCCGGTCAGGGTTATCTCTTCATCGAAGACTACTGCGGTAGCCCTTCGGCCGAGATGGGCAATGGCGAGGACTGGATGATTCACAGCGCCGTCTATGACGGCTCTACCTTGGAGCATATGCGTGATGGCGAGGTCATTGAGACGCTGTCGGGTGGCAGCACTGGCTATGGCACTGCCGACACCATGATTCGCCTGGGCGTGGAAATCAACGATGGCGTCAATGTCAAGGCGCAATATGCTGAGGTCATTGTCTTCAACCGCGCGCTCTCCTCCTCGGAGATGGACAGCGTTCACGAATACCTCCACCTCAAGTACTTTGATGAGGGCAACACGATCGAAGAGGTCAAGCTCACCTTCTCCACCAGCCCGGTGGGCGTGCCCGTCACCATTGAAGGCCACGAGCAGGCCTCGCCCGCCCTTATTGAGACGCAGCCTGGTGCCCCCGTGCAAGTCTCGGTACCTCAGAGCTACTGCCAGGGCAATACCCTGTTTGCGTTTGACCAGTGGACCATCTCCTCCTCCCCTTCCTTTGAACTCCTCGCCCCAGGCGTGGACACGACTTACACGGCCAGCTTTACGCCAACCGGCTCGTGCGGCACGACGACCACCACGACCACGCAAGGACCCTCGTCTACCACGAGCGCTGAAACCACCACCACCACCACTACGACATCGCCCTCGACGGGCAACAACGAGCCCCCAGTCACGGCGGGTCTTGTCATGCGTCTCAACAGCCAGCAGGGCCTGGTTGCGGCTGGCAACGGTGATGTTAGCACTTGGGAGGATCAAACGGGCAATGGCAATGATCTGCAGTCGCTTGTCGGCACCGGCAAGCCCACCGTCGTATCGGGTCAGCTCAACGGTCACGGTGTCGTTTCGTTTGATGGAAGCGACGATGCCCTCGGCCGTGATGGTGTCAACAACATCCCCACTGGGAATGCCGATCGCTCGCTGTTCCTCGTCGTCAAGTACGAGAGCGCGGGCTGGGGTGGCCTCAGCTTTGGCTCCGTCGGCTGCAATGCCATGTACGGTGCCACCGTCACCAGTAGCGTTGGCGAGCTCTTTGTCGACACGTACTGCTCCGGTTCGGCCTACGCCTCGGGGACGCTTGGCCTGGACGCTGGGTGGCTCATTCAGCAGGTCATCATCAAGGACCAGCAACTGCATCACTACAAGGACAACACCCTACTGGAAACGCTTGATGCCTCAGGCCTGGCCACGACCGGCGCCAAAATTGTCATGGGTGCCGAGCACAACCTCAACTCCAAGGTCAAAATGTCCGTCGCCGATGTCATGGTCTTTGACCGTGCCGTATCCGGCTCTGAGCGCCAGCAGCTCGTGGCTTACCTCGAGGCGCGTTACCTCTCAGATGCCACTCCCGTGTACAGTGCCGTAACCTTTGATTCCACCCCCAGCGGACTTGATCTTGTCGTGGATGGTGAAGCGCAGGCCACGCCCGTGACCCTCACCTACCTCAGTGGCACAGAGGTGACCGTTGAGGCACCTGCAGTCCAGTGCACGGACAGCGACGTCAAGTACACCTTTGGCGCCTGGAATTCAGGCTATGCGCAAGCTACCCAGACGTTCACCGTCGGCGATGCTGACGTGTCCGTGATTGCCGCCTACTCCAACACTGGCTCGTGCTCCACTGGCTCGGACGAGCTGCCCGTGCAGCTGGGCCTGGTGATGCAGCTCGATGCCGATGACATTACGGATGTGTCGGGCTCTGGCAGCGTCAACGTGTGGCCTGATGCCGTCCATGGCAATGGCCTCTCAGTGCCCGCATCCCTTTCCAAGCCCTCCCTCGTGGTCAACGGCCTCAACTCGAAGGCTTTTGTTAGCTTTGATGGCGCAGGCAACGCGCTTGGACGCGACGACATTGGTGCCCTTCCTTCCGGTTCAGCCGACCGCACCATTGTGATGGTGGTCAAGTATGACTCAGCTGGCTGGGGTAAGTTTGGTGGTGTGCCAATATGCTCCTCGCTCTCGCTCATTCGCCCTTGCTCCAAATATGTGCGCCAAACCAGATCTCACGACTCTGTCTTGTCTTAGGCGGCTTTACTTATGGCAGTGCCGGATGCCTGCAAGCCTTTGGGCCGGCCGTATCGGTCAATTTGGGCCAGTTGATGGTCGAAAACTACTGCACCAATGTAGGTCACGCCAGTCACGCGCATGCAAGCACGCGCGCACACACACCACACGCCTCGTTGCTCAGACTGCGTTGGCATTGCAACCCGCACGTGCTCATCTTCTTTCACTTCACTGGACTTTTTTTTTGCACAAACAGGACGATGTTCAGAGCGGCGTGTCTGGACAGGGAGCCGGCTGGATGGTGCAAACCGTTGTTCTCAAGAGCAACGTCATGTCGCACTACAAGGACCAAGAACTCATCGAATCCTACACCCTGGGTTACCTCACGGCAGCCGATGGCCACATCCGCATGGGCGTCGAAATCAACGATTGGTCCAAGCTCGATATGGACGTGGCTGCCGTGGCTGCCTGGGATCGAGCCCTCGAGAGCTCTGAGCGCCAGCAGGTCGTTGACCACTTCAAGTCTTACTACGGCCTGGCATGAGCGCTCGCCTCGAGCCAATTATAATATCACTGCGTGATGCATGCCTATTGTTCTCTGTTGCTGTTTTGATGTTTTGTTTGATGAGTTGTGGTGACCTTGAAATTCACTCCTCCACACTCGTTTCTTCTCGAGCATGTTATTCTTCTTCCCCCTTCAAATTCTTTCGCAGACCTCTGCAGCCAGCGCGCCCGTCAGTGCTGGTCGTTCTTGTGAGCCATTTTTTTTCTCAGAGCGATACAAATTCCCCCTGCCTTGGACCGCCAATAATGAACGAGCAGCGCCAGATCTTTCTGTTTGCGTGTCGACCCCGTAACGACCAACACCACTTCATATCGCACTTTAGATTGATGCCCGTTTCGAGAAGCGGACTTGCTACTCTCCTAAAACAGATGCGCCCGGCAGCGCAGGGTGGGGATGGAAATCACCAGCGGCTACATCTCAAGTCCATCACCGACCCAGACGTTGCTACCCAACTCATCCGGCAAAAAAAGGGCAAAAAAGGGCAACTCAGGCCAACGGGCGTAGATGCCTGGGGACTAAGTGGATCATTAAGCCATGCCTTCAGGCGATTCAGCCAAGATATGGCAGGACACGTTGCGCCACAAGGAAAACAAAGCCCACATTGCCAAGCGAATCCAGTCAAAAGCGCGTCAACTCGAGGCTCAAAGCCAAGCTGGGCGAGAAAGCCCGTGAGCAGAACGCCCGTCGACAAGCGACAATTTTTTTTGCACTTGGTCACCCAGATTCAAGCAAGAGAAAGCACTTGTGGTGTGCAGGTGCCATCGAGGCGGCCAATCTTGGGAGTGTCCTCATGGACTCAAGTTTGCTGGGGTCAGGGATGCCCACCGCCAGGCAGCGGCCCAGAGCATTGCTGGCACGGAAGTTGCGATACGACGACAGGCGCCACGTCCAGCTGCTCAGTACTGCGTAAATGTCTGCGAGTAAAAGTCCTGGCTCTGTGCTCCGAGCTGTTGAAGAAGAATGTGAAGCGAACCGAACAGGAATGCGTGAGCGCGCCTCATGGCAATGACTGCGAGGGCAATGCGTCTTCCAGTGCAAACATTGGCGTACCGTGTCCTGCGAAAACGTCAATCCTGCACCGTGATCCACGTTGACAAAGTCACCCTGTGCATTGGGTATCGGGCGCATGTGAGTCCGCTGGCGACACCATCAGTCGGTCAAAGAACTTGTGTTCTGCTTGCATGTTCTCAAGCGGCCAACCTGAGAAAAGCCCTGAGAAAAGTTTTGAGAGCCTTGGCTGGGTAGCGTGAAGCCACCAAAGCCCACAGCTGCGGCCTGGCTACCACCATCGCTCCCAGGGGCACCCGCGTTGGCAGTGCTGCCTAGAGGCGCCACCTATTTTCGATCCGAAAGCCGCAGCCCCCAAAGGCAGGCAGGCAGGCAGGCAGGCAGGCAGGCAGCAGATGAGCATGTGTCACACGAGTCGCAGCATCTTGTGTAACCGGGCGTGGACATTGCAAAAGGACGCACAGCACCAAAGCTCTGGGACAGGGGCTGCGACTGCGCTGATGTGGTGTAAAAGGGTTGCGTGGCCATCGGTTGCATCACATTCAAGGGCACGTTGGTGTGCACCGGTACGTCCATGCCGACGGCGTTCAATGGGTCGTGGGGAATATAGTAGTTGTTGGCCACATCGTCATAGCCAGCATCGCGCCGGCCCCGTGCGCCTTCGGCCGCGGCAGACTCGAGCAACGTCTGGTTGATCCGACTAAAGGTCGACTGCATGGCCAGAACCAGCCCCAACGTGGGAGGAGGAGACAGGCAAGGAAAGGATGGCCGCGGCCATGAATGATAAGTTAATGGTGAAGCAGGGGTTTGGCGAGGTTTAACTGAGACTCGAGGTGTAGCCAAGGCCAACGGCCCTACATTTCGTACCGTGTAGTTGAGCGGGCGGGGTCGGGAGAACTGCATCATGCACGGCTTGAGGTTGGAGAGCGGGCCTTCGACCAAGCAGCCGTTTTCCTTGTAGTGGACCAGCAAGTTGTTCCAAAGGGCTTGCTTGGAGAGCACCTTGGGGTTGCCCACAATGATGATACCGTACTTGGCACGCGTAAGGGCAACATTCAGACGCCGGGGGTCATTCAAAAAGCCAATGCCTTGGTGCTCATTGGAACGCGTGCAAGACAGAATGATGTAGTCCTGACAAAAGCGCAAGGACAGGCTGAGGTGAGGTCGGGTTGGACAGAGTGGTAAAAGACTGCAAGAATACAGGCCAACATGACCAACGAGTGTCATCCGTCCGTATCTGCCTGCCTGCCTGCCGGTTTCACGCTTGATCCTTCCCTCATGGCACGCGCATCCTTACCTTTTCTCGGCCTTGGAAAGCGTCAACCGATGCAACCTCCACAGCCTCGTAGAGGGGCTGACGCAGCGTGCCATTGAAGCTCATGTACTGGACAATGTAAGCGCGTTGGCCCTCATATGGGGTGACAATGCCGATTTGTTCAGGGGTAACGCCAGACTTGAGGAAACGCGTGACCATCTTCTCGACATTGGCAGCCTCGGTGCGGTTGAGATAGGAGGTGCCCGAAGCTGAGATCTCCTCTTGACCCATGCTAGCGTAGAACATCATGGGCGTCTCGGGCACAGGCCAGGGAAAATCGACAGCCGGCATCAGCCGCTCGCCTGCAAGTTGCATCACGTTGTACAGATGGCGTGAGGCTCCTTGCTCATTCTAGCCGATTGGCACCCTATTCGTACTCTCGCCTAAGAGGTGGGCGCGCGAGCAAAGCGGCGCTCAAGGCGAGTTCTTACTTGCAGTGACGCCATTCTGCAGGCTGCCTTCATAGAATGTATTGGAAGGAAACTCGCTGCGCGCGCACACGCGCGAGAAAACGTGAGCCGAGCTGAAGGAGAGGGCAGACTCAGCATTCCAGTTTAAGAGGCATGGGCATACCTGAGGCATGGGTGCATACGGTACTGCACTTGCAGACGGACGGGGCGAATGCCCAGGAGAACGCAGCGCTCAAACAGCGATTGGGAAAGACCCGCCTAGAATGGAGAAGGCCATTGACCTGCGTGAGCGCACGATGCCCACCTACCCCGTTTTTGACACTGACTGGGGCAACGCATGTCAGCGCGCAAGGGAGGCACGCCGCGTACCGATGCAGCTTTCTTGCACATGACCACGGGGCCAAGCTGGCAGTGATCACCAACCATCACGCACTGCCGCGTGCCGAGAACCAAAGGCAACATGCACTCAGGCTCAGTGGATTGAGTGGCTTCGTCAATGAGGACAGTACGAAAGGTCTGGCCAGAGACACGCCGGTCGCCGGCTGCAGCACACGTGCAGCAGATGACGTCAGCGGAGCGAAGCAGCTCTTGTTCGATGATGCGCTGCAGAGTTCGGAAGCGCTTTTCATCTGCCTCCGAGAGCTCTCCAACGGCGTCCTTGAGTTTGAGCAGCTTTTGATACTCGGGGTGTCCCTTCATTGTCCGCACCTGTGCAGTGTTGACACGTGAATTCAAACTGCACAATGTAGAAGCTCATTCATGGCGGCAGCATCAGTGGAAGCTTGTTCCCCTGCCCCAAGCCCGCCTGGACGCACCTGGTTGTGGAGTGACAGGAACGACACGCGTGTATCGGCCTCCTCTCGTGATTTGGCACACACACGCAGCACTTTGACGCCAGTGCGGTGAATCTTTTCGGTGAGCTGATCGACGGCGATGTTGCTTGGGGCGCAGACCAAAACCTTGCCGTGCTTTTGCTGCACCAAGTGGTAAACCAAAGAGGCGGACGTCACTGTTTTACCGGTACCTGGTGGGCCCTGGATGAGGCTTAGGGGGCGCTGAAGCACGGCGCGAATGGCCTCAATCTGCGAGTGATTGAGTTCGGGAAGGCCTTTGACGGAGAAACGCTTGGGCATGGTGACTTTGATCAAAGCCGGCTCAATCTGGTGACCAAGCAACTGGTGGTAGATGTGGGCGGAGACGGATCGCTCATCGACAGCAAAGGTTTTCATGGCATTTTGCATGCGATCAAAGGTGATGGACTTCCAAATGAACTCGACCATAAAGTTCTGGGTGCACTGTGTGGGCACATCCTTGTTGCGAAGTTCCAACGCATACTCTTCGCTATGATTGTCGGCAATCTAAGACAAAATTACCACCAGCATGTGCGTTTTAGGGGGGATGAGGAAGGTTGGCATCGAGGTCATGCAGGGGTACAGGCGCGGTCACACGGACGCTGCTATCGGTATGCCCACCTTGGTGACGCGGCCCTCGCCTTGCCACGGGCGACTGAGCTCGCCTGCGTATTTCAAACGCAGCTCGTCACCAACCATCACCTTCAGATCTTGTCTAAAATGAGAAACCCTCAGGCTTTGGTGAGTGTAGAATGATGGCGAGAACAGCAGCCGCAATTGTCGCGTCTTTTGTCACGAGTGGGACGACAGCAGACCTTGGCAGCGTGAAAAAGGCCGTATGCTTTTTATTCAAGCCCATATCCCAGCGTACAGCAATGCCATCGCAGGTCTAGCCCCAATCAAGCGCCGCAAATGAACACTTGAGTTGAGGCCACAACAAGCAAGGGCAAAAGGCAGCCGGTCAAGAAACCTGGAGTCAAAACGGCAAGGCAGTGTTGGCAAACCTGGCTCTCTTTCATGCGTCGATCATATTCAGCTTCAAGCTTGACAAGGGGGCCAAAAATGTTTTGGTAGTGGTAGGCATCTTCGTACTGCAGTAGGACCTACAGCGCTCATACCAGAGTAGCGGATCAGATTGCCATTGCGCGTGCAACTGCCATGCATTGCCTGCCCAACTGGCCCGAGATTGCGCTTGCAGAAACGACGCGGCACACAAGGTAGGTGTTGTACCTCTTGGACCTCCTCATCAACGCCTGGCTTCTCCAAATCGTCCAGCGTGGCGTCGGGATTGTCACGCCACAAATCTTCGAGCTTCTGGATCTGTTCAGCTGTGATTTGACGAGCACGCATCTGGTCATTGTGGGATGGAACCTTGACCAACCAGGGCAGGAAGCAGCGGTCGCTGATAATGGGTTGCCATTGAGCGACGTCCCTATTGACCCGAAGCGTTAAACGTAGTGCAACAAGTGACGGCAGTGAGAAGCGGCGTGCAGCAACCCAAGTGGCCGGTGCCGCTGCGCACAACAAGAAGCTTCCACCACGGGCTTCTCTGACAAGGCCCAACAGATCTGAGCAGGCGTGCGCACGCATGACTGGGGGTGCTTTTTGTACAAACCAGTTGCTATCCTTGGCGGCTGATGAGGAGGCGCATGGTTGGCGGCATAGCAGCACGACGACCGAATCCGCCTTGGCAGGGATGAAGCCAAGCGAAAAGACATTACGAGACCCGCAGTTGTAGCACTGGTGTCGTCGTGGGCATGGGAGCGGAAACGACGAGTCAGGGCCAGTCGAGTGAGTTGGCATTCCAGACAGGCAGCGAGGTCAAGAGGCCGAATGAGGCGCCGAAACACACCTCCAAAACGGTCTCGCCCAGCGGGCCATCCTTGTGGAGCATGACAGCGTGGCTTCGCGCCCGAACCAGGTGGTTGACAATGTGGCTGTGGCACAGGCAACGGCATGAGCAGGGTAGGGGAGGCGACATGGTCGGGGACAGCGTGCGAATGGGTGTTTCTGCAAGGCGACCCAACCTGCCAGACGTATTGCCACGCGAATTACAGAACCAGCGGTTGGTGTCCAAGCACTTGACGACGCTAGCAGGGTCATGGATGCCGCAGTAGCTGCAGGCATGGGCAGGCAAGTTGCTCAAGACAAGGGCTTCGTCATCGTCGTCGTCGTCCACGTCCACGTCATCGGCATCCTCTTCTTCTTCACCCTGTTCCTCGTCTTCCTCTTCCTCATCCTCCTGGTTGGTGAAGCGAAGCTCGTTCTGCAGATCCTGAGTCAAGTGTGCCAAATCATCTTGCGTGGCTCCATGATCGTCGAGGCCATGCTGCGACCCTAGAATGTCGCTGAGCCCGGCACCTTCAAAAAAGGGATCCTGAACACCACCGGACAGGTAGTCCAAATTTTGGCTCTGTGATTGACTTTGCGAAGCCCCAGTAAAGGAGCTGAACATGCCAGCCGAGGCCTGCGATTCTGCGCCATAGTCCAAATCCAAGTCCAACAGCGAGTACCCCGAGTGCTCATCCGCCTCGTCAAGACTGTACGCCGCCATCGTGCTCGTCAAACTGCGTGTGTGTGTGTGTGTGTGTGCGTGTGTGTGTGTGTGTGTGTGTCTCTCTCTCTTGTTCTCTCTCTCTTGTTCTCTCTCTCTCTTTAAACTTGCTAGAATTCGTATTTGTGAAGAAGGGTTTTATCGTTCAAAGTCATAGTCATCCTGGCATGCTTCACTTCTCGTGCTGACAATTATCAGACGATAATCTGACATTTTGTGCGACGCTCTCTCTCCCTCGCTTTTTGTGCTTGAAAGGGGCGCGCGCCGGGCTCTGGCCTCGAGCTGTGGTGTGACGGATCGACATGCGGGCCCGTTTGGAGCAGCATCTCGTCGGCTATGGCCTTTTATCATTTGGCCTGAGTAGTGTGCACAACTTGATGCTCGTTTATCACGTTGATGCCTATATCAATGCTTTCAAGATCGGCCAAGCCGAGTTTATGACCGCCGAAGTCATCTTCATGGTCTGGAATTGTTGCAATGATCTGATTTGGGGTTGGCTCTCAGACATGGTCTGGTCCGGCCCTTCAAACTCACAGTTGAGCGATGGACAGGCTCCGCGTTCGCGATTGCAGCTCCTTGGCCGCCGTCTCTCGTACGCCTCCTGCTCCTGCCTCTTTGAGTGCCATTCGACCAAGCACGCTCGCAGCCCTCACTCACACACATCCCCTGCACCTGCCGCGTTGCTCGTTTGCTGCCGTGGTCGCGTTCTCTTCCGCCCGGTGCAGGGGCCTGCAACTGGCGGGCGTTGGCCTGGCCAGCTCTTTTGTTTTGCTCTGGAATCCCCTTCTACCAGTGGCGTGGCACTTTACGCTATGTCTGGTTCTCTATGACGGTTTCCTGACCTGGGTCGACCTGCAAATTTCGGCCCTCTTGTCGGACCTGGTCATCACCAGTGAGGATCGGTGCGTTTGAAATGGGCCGGGTTAGGCACGGTCATTGTGCTGGAGGGCTGGGTGGTGTCCGAGCCACTTGTCTTCGATCTACATGCTTGCCTAGTGTGTGTGTGTGTGTGTGTGTGTGTGTGTGTGTGTGTGTGTGTGTGTGTGTGTATTCCGGATCGCAAGCCAGGTACTGACCCTTTTTTGTGTTTGCCGCTCCTGCCAGGGCCACCTTGTCCAGTGCCGCGTCTGTCGGCTCTGTGATTGGCACTAGTTCGCTGTTTATAAGCATGCTGCTGTGGGACCCCGTCAACATTGGGGCCTTTCGATGGTTCACGGCTTGCGTCGCGACCCTATCCGTTGCAGCCTTTGCTCGCGGATCAGCGCTGTTGCGGTGCGTGGCCACGGCTGGACGCACTTGCACACCGGCTGGTGGCCCACAAAATATGTTCATCCTCTTGTGGGCAATGGTTTATGCTTGGTATCAGGCAATATGTGAAATACCACGAAGCCAAACTTGAGCCGGCACCAGCCGATTCAATGTCCAAGGAGCATGCTGCCAAACCTCTCTCAATGGCGCGGTTTGCGTGGCAAATGGCCACCAATGCCAACTTTATGTGGTTTAGTCTACTACACCTGATTCAGGTCTGTGGCAAGGTGTTGGGCCCGTCTACCTCGTCTCATTGTCTCACGGCTTCTCACAACAACATGTGGCCGTGGCAGGTCTTTCATTGTCACTTTAATAGCAACTTTTTTCCACTGTTCTTGGGCGTCCTGCTGGGAGACCACTTGCCCAAAAGTCTGCAAGGCGTCTTGCTGTGCGTGTCCTTTGTGCTGCCACACCTCAACAACGTCATGGTCAACCAGTTTGTAAAATCACATGGTGCGTCAAGGTTGCCACACCTCCCTCCAGCTTTGGAAGCTTTGCGTGTCCTTGTGGTTTTGCTGTAAGTATTGGCCTTCTGTTATGCGTTGCTTCATCTCACCGGCCTCTCATTCGCTGGTGTGGTCAGGACTGTATAACGTGGTGCGCCTCCTGCTCTTCATCAAGCTTGGACTCGGTCTTTTGGCCGGGGTCTCGGGCTCCATCCTGTGGGGCGTGATCGCTCTTTTAGTGGCCAGCAACCGTGTTGTGACTGAGGGTACCTGCAAAATCCTCAGTTTGGTCATCACCGACTTGGTGGACGAGGACATGGTACGGCGGTATCGTCCCGCCTCCATTGCCGCGCTCATCTTTGGTACGGCCAACTTTCTCTCCAAGCCGGGCCAAACCTTGGCCCCGATCGTTGGAACCATGATGATTGACGAGCAGGTAGAAGGTGGCCTCTTTCATCAACACCAACATCAGCAGCAACAGGTTGGTTTGCCCGGTCGCCGTGCCCTGTTATGCGGTGCTGGGGAACCAGGCTCACCTCACAAACGGCCATTCAGCAGGCAGCGGGGGATGCCAATCAAGACCAACTTCGTGCCGTGCTGCTGCAAATGCTGTGGATGGTACCTGTGGGCTGCGCAGCCATTCAATTGCTGGCATGGAGCCGCTTCACCCTGCACGGTCCTCGCCTTCAGGCGGTGCGTCGGATTGATGTTCCCGTCCTGCCGACCTTTCATGCCTACGTGCATCAGAGTGCTTGCTGACAGGGGACTCGCTTTACATGCTCACGCTGTGCTTTAGATCAAGAAACAGGCCCTGTCTCAGCGTGATAGCACAGCCAAGGCCGAAGTGGTCTAGCAGGCAGATTATGGGCAGAACGACCGACGCTAGCACCTAAGTAGCTCTTAAATGAGATCAGATCAGAAACGAAGAAAAAAAAAAACAAAGAAACAAGCTTTAGGGTATTTTTTGGCTTGCAAGCAACAATTAGATTTGCCTGACAACGTTTGCAAAACGAAAAAGGAGAGAGAGAAAGCAAGAGGGAGAGAGAAGAGAATTTTTTTTTACTGTTGACAGCAGGAAATACGTCTTTGGCAGAGCGTTTCGGGCAGTCCCGGCGTTGAGATTTGTTGAGACGTTCTGGCTGAAATACACGGTACCAGCGGGCCCTTTTCTCTTGATCAATAACAGCACAATGACCACACCTGCCATCGATGCCACCAAGGAGCAATTTCGCGACTACCTGGACAAGCAGGGCATTGTCGACCAGCTCACCAAGGGTTGGTAGCAGCTTGTGCTTTTCCCTGCCTGCCGTGTGCTTTGGGGAAAGAGGCTAGCTCTATGATTCGATTACTTTTGCCCGCTCTTCTATCTTTCATCCAATATGACCAGGCTCATCTGGCTGACTGGGGGACCTGTGCTCCTGTTGCGCGCTTCGTCGTGCAGCGCATCCATTCACCGATTCTCACCCTGATTGTGTATGCTCCTCTGTTCCACCCCAAACCGCGAATGCCGGTCACTAGTCTTGGTGTCGCTCTACGAAGAGGCCGAAAAGCCCGCCAATGCGCTCGAGTATCTGCAACAGCACCTCACATCTGAAGGTCCTGTCACTTCCGACTTTGATGTCATCAAGCAAGAGAACGAGGAGCTCAAGGCGCGCAATGAAGAGGTTGGTCTTGCTTCTGCCAGGTCCTCAAACGACTCCCATGACTTGCGGCGAGGGCCATGGGAGTTGCTTTGCGGTGGCACATGCGAGGTTATTTTGCGTTTTGGAGGCACATGCGTGTCGACTCACTCTCGTATCTAATGCCATGAGTGTAGCTGACGGCTCGAGTGGAGGAGCTGGAGGCGCAGCTGGCCGCTACCAGTAGCGCACCAGCGCCCGCCGAGGGATCCGAGGAAACTGCGCCAGCAGCAGAAGAGGCTTAATGCCATGCCTCGGTCGTGCAAATGGAATTTTAAAACAAAAACCAGTTTTAGCCCGCCAATCATTTTTGCTCAGCTCAGGCACGAGGCGGGCTAGGCTATGCGCCGTAGATTGCCCGACCAAGGCTCATCCACGGCGCTCAACTTGTGACCATATCATCTGTCTTGTTTGAGGCTATTGGTTTTCGGTCACGCCTTTCTGTGGCTACTTCTTTGTGCCAATATCAAATCGAACCTTACAACTCTCCTCACAGAAGGCCAACCACTCTCATCCTCGCCGTACAAGCTGGTACAACACTCGGGTCCTCAGAGAGTACAGGCGTTCCCTCATCCACAGCCACCACACCAATAGAAGCAACAGGCCTTTCAAGACAACGTCGATCGATCCCTTGACTTGACCACTCCCCCATTTGTTGTCCAGTTGTTCCAAAGTGGTTTCTCATCATCAGATTTTCTTTGCTGCTGTGTGTGTGTTGGTTGTTGTTGTTGTTGTTCAACTTTTTACTCTTTTTGCTTTTTTTTTGCTCTTTTTTTGCTCTTTTTTTGCTCTTTTTTTTTTTTTTTTTTTTTTTTTTTTGTGAGCACGCTCAAGGAAGCGGGGGAAGTGCAACGTGCAGGATCGAGCTTCCGGGAGGTGGTGGGGAGCGCAAAGGGCTCGGCTTTTGCGGCCGAGACACTTGTCTGTACGGCCACGGGGTCGACTGGCCACCGGTGCAAGTCGGTGACACGAAACTCAAACGACGCGGTGGGTGCATGTGCGTGGCGCGGACTTGGTGAAGAAGGATTGGCGACACCAGCACCATGCGCATTGCGGCTTGGTCTGGTCCAGGCTTGGCGTTGTTAACGCTCTTGATTGCGGGCTCAGGCTGGGCTGTTACCAGCGCCGCCACTGACGACGACATTGCCGAAAACCTGCAAATCATCAAACTGGGCTATGATGGCTCGTACGTGGGCCACGTTGAGATTGATGGCCAGCAATTTCCCTTGCTCTTCGACACGGGCAGCGACAACCTCGTGGTGCCGGCTTCCACCTGCGCAAAGTGCTCCGGTAACGACTGCATCAGCAACAACTTTAATCAAGACTGCAGTTGCAAGTCTGGTGTCAACATCGATAGCGTCCAGCCTCTCAAATGCAGCGACTCTCATTGCAGCGCGCCCGATGCCTTGACGTGTGGCCCCGTACCACACCTCGAGGATTGCGAGTGTTCGGCTTCCTCCAACGAGCTGTTGAACGGCGAGTGCTATGGCGACGGCACGGGCTACTTTGGTCTCGTTGTATCTGGTCGAGTTCAGCTGGGTAGTCTCTCCACCTCTTGCGTCTACAGCATTTACGAGTATATGATTGAGGTTGGTCACGCCCGAGCCAGGAGCCTTTGCTGAGGCACCTTTGGCGCCCGAGGCCTGGCTCGAAACCCCCTTTTCGCTCTTCTCAGTTGTCTACCCTCCCACCTGATTGACGCTCTCGTACATCTGGCCCTGCCCTTTGCTCACTCTCTTTCTACTCTTGCCCTATCACTTAGAGCTTTGCCTGTGGTACCGCCCTGAGCGTCGGCATCCTGGGTTTGGCCTTTAGGTCCATCAACTCACTCAATGTCACCAATCCGGTGCAACAACTGGCCCTTGACGGGCAAATTGCCAACACTTTTAGCATGTGCCTCGCCGCGCCGACGAGTCGATACGTTGTGCCCATTGGGGGTGCTGGTGTCTTTGTCTTGGGTGGAATTGGGCCTGATTATCTGTACACGGGTGATGTGGCCTGGGCCAACGTGGTCAGCGAAACTTTTTATGAAATGGATGTGCTCAACATCGTTTCGGGCGGAGTGCAGATGGACATTGAGAATATGGTGTTTATCTTGGATAGCGGCACTACTGATCTGGTCCTGCCCACATCCCTATACCGTTCTGTCATGCACACCTTGACGGAGGATGGTCTCATTATCAAGTTTCGTTCGAGTGAGGCCAATGGCGAGCCCGTCACGATTGTCATCCAGAACAACATTGACTCGTTTGGCATCGTCTCCTCTGGCGTGGACAATGGCGAGGTGATCTTGGGCCAACCGTCCTTCTGGGGCTATCACGTCACCTTTGACCGCGACAAAAGCCGGGTCGGATTTGCGGTGCAAGGAAACTGCAACTACGGCCACAGCAACAACGGACTCAGTACCGTGCAAATTGTTTTCATTGTCTTGGCCCTGGTGCTGCTCGTCACCGGCGTCATCTTTTTCCTGCACTACATGCAATCGCGTCGCAAAGCTGCCAACTACGGCCGGTTGAGCCATTCCCTGATTGAAAATGCCGAGCCCATTGGCCAAGCCAATGAGGCCTCGAACAGCACCGAGACAAGTCCTTCTTCATAAGACGTGCTTGCTTGCTTCCTTGGTGGCCAAATCGTGAGGCATCCCAGCCCTCTTTCTTCATCGCAGCCTTCTGGGGCAGCGAACCAGCCTCGTTTTCATAGAACATGCTTGTAAATTTACTAAAGTCGACTTTCTTCTGAGCACGGACCAGACTTTGATCGGGCGGTACAAGGTGAACAAAGCGTGCCATCTTGGAAGCGCGTCGCGCATGCCACGCGTTGGGCGTGTGTATGCTCTTGGAATAACGTTATACAGAGGGCGTCGTCCCAAAGTCGTAAAAGAATTGAATGGCGTCTTGGTACCCCAGCCCCTTGAGCAGACCGGCATTGGGGATGCGCGATAGCTCTCGAAAACCTAGGGCCAAAGAAATCGGGCAGTCCACGAGAGGATGGGCGATTCGCTGAGCGGGCTTGGCTAGGATCATGAGATGACAAATGTGACAGCAAGGCATGGACCTACCCAGGGAACGCCATAATCGCACAGACGGCTCATTGGTCACAAAAACCTATGGCAGAACTCTCGGTGTGAGCAAGGCCAAGACAGACTACAGGCAAGCCAACCTACAAGACCGGCAGCGAGTGTCGCGGCGCGCGCACCAGGTTAAACATGCTCGCGTGGTAGCCAAGCTGAGGTGCCAGCTGCAAGTAAGCCTGTGCCATTGCACGTGCCACACCCTGCAGAGCAGACAAGCAAGCACAGTCATTTCTTAGCCCGGGGTTTCATGACCATCATGCATGACCTGCGTGCAAAGTACCAAAGCCCTTCTATTCTTCTATTGGACGGCATGGCTAGCGGGCCGAGGCATCAAAATCTCGACGCGGGTGAGATAGCTCTCACCTTTCGCCGATGGGTCTCGGGCACACAAAACCCAGCATTGCAAATGTGTGCGCATCGACCCGGGAAGTTGGGTTTGATATAGAAGATACCTACCACCTATGCGGGATGGGGGCGTTCGGAAATGAATGTCAAGCAGCAAACTGGTCGGATCCATGCACCTGTGTGCAACATCATACTCTTGCCCATGCGTAGATTAGACAAGACATGAAGCAACACTCTGGCGCTCGCTTGTGAGTGAGTACGCACTTGACCGGCGTGTTTGGCGACAAATGCGTCATGGCTGAGAAAATAGCCACGAAAGCCGTCCTGATCCAACGGTGCCAAATAGGGATAGGTGGTCCCCTCGGTGATGATTTCATTAAGAATAGAGCGTGCTTGTTCAAGATCCTCCTGCAAGAGTCACATGTACGGGATCAGGTTGCCGAATGTACGGGCTTGCAGGGGTGCAGACTTGACCCACCTCGTCGGGGCGGTCAATGACAATATCCAGCTGGCCCGTAGTTCGCTGCCGAATGTACAAAACGCACGAGTGAGGGACGGTGCTCGTGGAGCCTTTGGTCACGAATAAAGGCAATCGTCTTACTACGTTGAGGGGAAGCATGGAGAGGGCTTGTAGCTCGTGGCGCTCGGGAAAGACATAGGCCGACGTCATGGCTGCTGGGCTATGCTTTCTGTGAATCCGCACATGAAACGGCGCACGCCGTGAGTCAGATGGTGCTGGAAAACGACACCCGTTCAAGTGATTCCCGCAAACTGGGCAGCCACCCGCAGCATGCTCACGCACACACACACACACACACACACACACACACACACACACACACACACACACACACACACACACACACACACACACACACACACACACACACACAGAGCAGCAGCAGCAGAAGCCACAACGCCACGAGCCAATCGAACCAGTGCAGGTCCAAGTAAGTGGCATCGACGTTCTTGCATGAAATCCGATCCTCGAATCATTGTCCGCACTTTCAGCATCGCCAAATGTCAGATAAAGCTTGTCAAGAGAGAGAGAGAGAGAGAGAGAGAGAGAGAGAGAGAGAGAGAGAGAGAGAGAGAGAGAGAGAGAGAGAGAGAGAGAGAGAGAGAGAGAAATAAATTGGTTTGAGAGGAGAGAGAGAGAGAGGCGGCGCAATTGTGTGCGAGCTTGTGGGTCTTTGGTTGGAGCTGTGGCAGCGGGAGTGGCAGCGGCTGTGGCTGTGGATCATTGTGGCTGTGTCGGGTGGATGGGAAATTGCCGAGAGAGAGAAGGGCAGTATGGCAGAACGGGAGGCGTCCGCGGTGCCGCAAGCCCGCAGTGTTGCCAGCGTGTATCAGGCTGGGTTGGCGTCGGCTGCCGAGGCGGATGAGCGTGCGCGCGTCAAGCAAATTTTCGACGGTTTGGCGCAGGTTGCAGGTGGCCCCCAGTTTCTACGTGTGAGCTTGAGGCAGAAGGACAACCCTCTGATCAAAGAGCTGCGTAACGTACCTTTTCAGCTCGTGAGCGATGTAACGCCAGACTTTATCATGGGCAAGACAACATGCGCGCTCTTTTTGAGTCTTCGCTACCACAATCTCCACCCCGAATATATCCACGCCCGGATCCGAGAGGTGGGCCGTCTCTATGCGTTGCGCGTTCTGCTGGTGCAGGTGGATGTTCGTCATGCTCAAAGCGTCATTAGCGACTTGGCCAAGCTCTGCGTGATGCACGACTATACGCTGATCGTGGCCGGCTCCATTCGCGAGGCGGCTCGCTACCTGGAGCTCTATAAATCATTTGAGAACAAATCAGCCGAGCTGCTTCAAGGCGAAAAGCCTGCCGATTATCTCGCCCAGGTTTGCCCGCGTGTTGTCAAATGAGTGGCATGCGCACACCATCCCCCTCCACGTTCAGGCGTCTGCGCTTTCTTTGCAGCCGGCCTCGCGAAAGACCCGATTCTCTCACCGAATGCCCCCCTACCCCCCCCCTCTGCCTCCCTGTGGCCAATGGCGTGCTGATAGCTTGTGACAACGCTCACCACTTTCAAAACCATCAACAAGACGGATGCTGTTACGCTCTTGTCTACGTTTAGTAGCCTCGCGCGCATTGCCAAGGCCAGTAAGAATGAATTGGCCGCATGTCCAGGACTTGGAGACAAAAAGGTCCAGCACCTCTCCGCCATTCTAGACCGCCCGTTTTTGAAAAATGCCAAGCGTGGCGCGCACGCGAGATCATCTCAAGGCAAGTCACCAAGCAACCTTGCGGCGAACCAGCAAGATGTCCCTGCTGCGCGTCGGCCCCGTTTCGAGCGCGAGCGCGCCGCTGAAGCCTTGCTGGCCGCACCAGATCTGGAGGATGACGACGATGATGCCGATGACTGAATTTTAAGTTTGCATGTCCCCTTATTGACAGCCCGCGTGTCTGAGACGCTCCCTGGGCTGCCTCTCCTGTTACGTGAAGATATGCTTTGCTAGTATCTCCTCCGTGGTTTTTGTTCCGCCTTGCAGTGTTGCGCATGTATCTGGGAAATTGAATAGGTAGTTGCCGTGCCCAGCTGTCCGATGGATAACTTTTTGTACAATTAACTGGTGTCACGGCACGTCAGTGGCTAGACATTGCCTTGATGGCCTTTTGCTAGGCATTGTGCCAGTCAAGCGTGCGGGACTCGCACTTCCCCAATCTGCGACACTGCGGCTCTATCATCGGTTCAGCGTTTGCATGGCCTTTTCCAGCTCGCGCTCGAACAAGTCACTCCTGCAAAACCAGACAGACATCAAAGCCATGAGAAAATGAAGGCCTTTCTGAATCGGCAACGCTCAGAACACACGGCGCCAACGTCGAAGATCAGAGCCCCATCAATGAAATTGCAACTCACCCATGGAAGGGGTTGTCCAGCGTGTAAAATGGATTCTTCAGGATGTAATCCGCGTAGAGCTGGTGCAGGCGATGGAGAAAATGCCCCACGCCTTGATGCTTGAGGTCGACGATCACCACAAACTGCATGCCTGTTTAAACATTGTGCACAGTGTCAGTGGCATTGGGCCTCTTTTGTGCGTGTGTGTGCGTGTGTGTGTGTGTGTGTGTGCGCGGTACGGGTGGAGGCCGATTGCTCAAACGCACCGCTCTGCGACTCGAATCGACACAGCCGATAGTGCGTCGTGACAACATCCGTGATGCCGTGCTGACCGCCATTGGGTGACAACTGCAGGGCAAAAGCTGACAGTCTACCGCCCCGTGTGCACAGAGCAAACACATCAACCGTAAGGACGCGCATATCACACGAACAATCAGTCGAGGGTGCGCAAGGGCGCAGGATGCTGGTTGCTTCATGGCTCTGGCCCCACTTGCTCATGGCGTAGGAGCGTACCCGTGAAGCAGACTGGCCATGCGCAGCTTCTCATTGGTTTCAATGGGCTTGCCATACTCCTTGCTGTAGAGCAAAGAGCCTGCCTTGTTCACGATATAGATGCTGTAGATCATGGCGCTCGTTGCGGTGGCGGCCAACGCTGACCGGGCAAAGGAGGGTGCTGCAAGGTCATCAACTCCAAGACTACGCCTCTACCATGCACATGATACTTCCCCTCTACCCCATCCAGTGCTTCAAGAACCGCAGCTCCTGGTACTGCCGCGTCCCGCCGCCCCAGATACAGACGAATCGAGCGTGTTAAAAGCAGCTCTGGGCTTGTAACTCACATTCAAGTCAGAGAGAGAGAGAGGTATTCAGCGGTGCCAGAGCCAGAGAATTTTGATGACATTTTGAAAGCGAAGCTTTCTTCGTTTGGGAGCGAGCGCGCTCTCTCTCTCTCTCTCACACACACACATTTTGTGACTTGAAGTGTCGTTCAGTGTCAAGATCCCAGCCGGTACCATGCAGCGCTTTGCAGATCAAGTCGCCATCATCACGGGTGGCGCTGACGGCCTTGGCCGGAGCATTGCGGCACGGCTGTCAAATGAGGGTGCTGCCGTGGCCATCTTTGATTTTAATGAAGTCAAGATGGCTGAAGTCAAGGCGGAGCTAGAGGCAGCTGGCCGCCGAGTGGCGACTTTAAAGGTCGACATCTCCGACGAGGATGCTGTGCGCCAGGCCATCGAGCAGGTTGTCGAGCAATTTGGTCGCCTTGATATCACCATCAACTGTGCCGGCATCGTTGGTAAGTCAATACCCGCCCCAGCTGTCGAAAGCCTCATCCCGCGAGCCCACGTCCCGCTACCGCCCACTGATTCGGGTGGCAAATCTCCGGAGCCATCAAGTCTCAGGGGCAGGAAGCACACCAGAGAGGGCTCAGAGTGCACTTGATCCATTCTGTGACGTTCACTCACGCACCCACTGGTTCTCTGCCATACCTTTGCGAATAGGCCCCACTGGCAAGAAACTCCAGGACATTGAGGGGGCTGACTTTGACAAGGTGATCGCCATCAACCTGCGTGGCAGCTTCAACATGACCAAGTATAGTCTCCCCCATATGCTCAAGAACAACTACGGCCGCATTTTGCTCATCGCCTCCATTGCGGGCAAGGAAGGCAATGCTGTACGTCTCTCAACCAGGCCGCTGATCTAAGCCGATCCCGCCCCTCGCACTGGCAGCTGCCACCCAAGCCACCTGCTCATCATTGGTTGCTGTCAACTCTGATTTCAATCCTGTTTGCATTTGGTTCGGCCAGGGCATGTGCGCCTATTCGACCAGCAAGGCCGGTGTCATTGGCCTCACCAAATCCGTGGGCAAGGAATATGCAGAGACTGGCATCACTGTCAATGCGCTCGCCCCTGCCGTCATCCGCACCGGTACATGACACCGCGCAGCCCTCGCGCATGTTCCTCTGATCGCTGATAGAACTTGTTGTTTTAATTTTCTCGTCATCGCTTCCCTTTTTATTTTCAATTTCCTGTGTGAACTCGCTGCTTAACGAGCATCTCACAAAGCCAATCATTCATCGCATGGCCGCCCTGTGACATCACGCAGCCATGGTCGAAGGCATGCCCGCCGAGCAGGTCAAGTACATGACGGACAAGATTCCGATGAAGCGGTCAGTTGCCTTGGAGCGTTGCTGATGCACTGAGTTGGCTCCTTCTCTGTTTCATGCGCTCACTTTTTTTTTCTCTTGCCGTGGCAAATACCCAGCTGCGGTGCGCTCGATGAAGTGGCTTCCACTGCAGCTTTCATCGTTAGCAAGGAAGCATCCTTCAACACTGGCTTTTGCTTTGATCTGACGGGTGGTCGTGCCGTCTACTAAGTAGTTGTCAACGCGTCTCCTTTGCTGTTCCTCATGCTGGCATTCCATGAATGCCAACCAGCTGAGCGTTGCCTTCAAACCGATCACCCTCAAGTTGCTTGCATGTGCCTCTGAGACGGACTCTTCACCTTCTCCCAACACAAAGAAGGCGCGCGGTACAAATTGCTGAAGCGGTGAAAGCACAGATCAAGTTGCGGATATAAATTTGACACATACGCACACACACACACACAAAGGGAAATATCCAAGCAAAATGGATTAGCAGTGACGACTTGTACTTAAAGACACTTGAGAAGGGATCATCACGTCAATCCTGCACGCAAGGTCGTACATCGGTGCTCTCGGACGCGAAGCATTCCCTAGCCAGTCATGTCACAGCACAATGCTCGGCTCCTTCTGCATTACTGTCTAGATGCTGACATCGGTTGGTGTGACCTCAAGGCGGCGGTAAGAATCAATCAGCAGATTCGTGGAAACGCCCGGGCCCTCAAGGCGGTCCAGCAGACGGCAGCGCCCGTTGGCAGACGCGTCATAATAATAGGCAAAGCTGCCCAGAGAGGAATACAATAAACATCAAGAGACGTGTATGAGACTTTGCAGAACGTGGCGAGAAGCTTGGTGTCAACTCCATGCGCACGAGACGGGAGAAAAAAAATTGCAAGAGACGATCATGCTTACCCCATGCACTTGTTGTACTTGTCGCACTGCACGCCACACTCTTCAGGGCTGCCAGGATACAGAGTGATGAACGTGTCGGCGTACACGTTGGGGTAACGGAGGCCCGGGTTGCCATTGCGAGCACCCGCGTAGTCTTGCACATACTGTAGAGTCATGGACAGCAAGTGTGAGAAAATTTAGGACACAAGCTTAAAGAAACAAAGAAAACCAGCACAAGGACCTACCACATGTGTAATGGTCGTGGTCGTGGTTGTAGATGTGGAGGTGGTTGAGGTGGTCGAGGTGGTGGTCGTGGTAGTTGTGGAAGTGGTGGTAGTTGTGGACGTTGTCGTGGATGTTGTGGTGGTACTGGTGGTAGTTGTGGAAGTAGTGGTAGTTGAGGTCGTTGTCGTGGATGTTGTAGTGGTTGAGGTGGTTGAGGTGGTGGTGGTTGAGGTCGTTGTCGTGGTGGAAGTCGTAGAGGTGGTGGTGGGAGGTAGTGGTTGTCGAGGTTGTCGAGGTGGTGGTAGTGGTTGTCGTGTAGGGGAGGAGGTCGCCCTTGAGGTAGAGGAAGCCGAACACAGAGTCCGAGCCCGAACCCTCGTTCTCGGCAACGTACATGCATGACTGGGTATCAATCGCCACGTACACGGCCACACACTCATCAAGCAGGTCACAGCCCAGGAAGCACTGTTCACGATCAAGGTACGAGGTCACGGAAATCACAGAGCTGCTGCTGATGGCAATTGTGCTCTGCTTCTCATCCGTGGGCTCATAGGCATAGCGGACGGCTAGCGGGTACAATACGGAGTGGATTGTGAGCAAAAGGCACACGCCTAAGCCAAGGGCTGTGTTGTTCGTACGGACTATAGCTTACCGGCAGCAGCAGCGCAAACGTAGGGGCGGCGATCTTGGCACCGAGTGGCGGTCAACACCCCATCGCTGATGTAGGTACAGGCTTCAGCAAGGGAAAAGCCCGGGGTAGCAGACCAGGGCACATCCGAAGCTAGCTCACCGCCTGTCCAGCGGCGGGCTTGGGCCAAAGGATCGACAAAGAGACCAACAAAGGGCTCCTTGTTGACACCAGAGGTGGCAGCAATGACCTCGCTCACCTCCTCAAGCTCCTGAGCTGTGCTTGGCGTGGCGAGGGTGGCCTCCATCGAAAAGCCCACAGCCGAGTAGGTCATGTCCATGCAGGCAAAGTCAGCATGGTAGGCCGTGGCTTCGAGCACAGTCTCGACCTGAGCCGGCGTGGTGGTAACAAGAGGTAGAACATGTCAGAGGAGGCAAGGACGCGGCAGGTTTCGCCAGCATACGAGTCGGGTAGAGAGGCAATCGAACCTTGTAGCAAGTGGTGCGCTTCAGAGTCCAGCCGGGCTCGCAATACAGACGCTCATCCATCTGTTGAACAGGGAAGAGTATTGACCCATGTATGAGCAAGCAATGTCGACAAAACTTAAAAGACAGATCCAATCCTTACCGTGCGGTACACATCAACAGCCGTTTGAGGAATGGCTACAATGGCAATGGTTTGATACAAACGAGACAGGTTGATGAGATGAGTAAGGGTGGGGCCTTGGCAAGACCTGTTCTGAGGGACTGGAGGGTTCGGTTCAGGCTCACTGACGTGTGGTAGTGGTGGTGGTGGTCGAGGTGGTCGAGGTGGTGGTCGTGCTGGTGGTGGTAGTGGTCGTTGATGTGGTGGACGTGGTGGTCGTGCTGGTGGTGGTAGTGGTGGAGGTAGTGGGGCGGGGTTCCAGGAACAAGTAGCCGTCAAACTGGTCGCTGTTGTCGTTGACAAAGGTCACGCGGAACGTGTAGTTGCCGCTGTCCAAATCGCCAAGACCCGTGAAAGTTTCCGTATCATACGCAGAGATAACAATATCAAAGGGCGTATACACCAGGTTGCCCATCGAGTCTGAGCTGGTGATGGCGACCGACACGTTCTCCTGGTTGACAAAGATCAACGTGTCCTCTGCATTCATCGCAACAAATTCAGCGGGAAGAGGGTGTTGGCGCAGTGAGCTGATCGTGTGGTTTGGGTTTTATCTCTTTTCCTTGCTGTAGCCCTCATCTCTCCTTTCTAAAGCTAGGGCTACAAGTCCATTTCGGGTGTGCTCGGCTGATACATAAAAGCCACGAACAGCAGCCTCTCAGGGCGCTGCCAGACGCAAGCAACATGGAAGCACAAACACGATACAGTACACATTGCTCGAGCCACGTCCGACCAACCCACCGTAGGTCACAGAGCCGATCATCACCGTGGACTGATCGGTAGCATTGAGGTAGACGGTGTAATCAATAGCATGCGCGGCAACCGCCAGCAGCAGCACCAAAAGCAAACGGCAGCCCATCATGTCGGATGGTCAAGACGCCAACCGTCGACGAATAAAAGGCACAACGACAAAATACTACCAAACCCCCGAACAATTCAAAAACCCCTTAAAACCCCTTTACAGTGTTCTCTCTCTCTCTAAGGTGCAGCATTCCAAAAACGTCAGCACTCGCTCGCGTGGGGAAGCCAAAGTGCACGAGCCGTTGGCCATTACCATTGGAGAATACAATGATCTTACAACTGACTGTACAAAGAGAGAAATAATTCTAAGTTAGCGAAGAAGCTGTAGGAGTGAGTGTTTCTCAACCATCATGTGAAACCAGTAGAGATTTCTTTTGTTTGCCACTGAAACGTGTGTGAAAAGCTGAAAATCGTTTCGGATACAATGTGCCTCACTGGAAAATATTGTATTAGTTTTGCCACAATTTTTCTGGTTATTTTGATTGTCAAAAATCTTACCTCTGCCTTGGAACGGTCAACACCCGGCAACACGAGCAAAAATGGCAGCCTCTCTGAACCGCGTCTATGCCGTCGACCCGCTCTTCCAGCTCCAGGATGGCGATGTTCGCATCGCCTCCAACATGTACACCATGGATCCTCTGATCTTGACCGAAGTCGCCGTAAGTCTCTCCCCCTTGATCTGGTGCTCGCGAGCTTGGCGCTGACATTCTTCTGCCTGACAACTTTGACCACTCACCGCCGCGACTTGGAACGTTGGCTCGTTTGCGACCCAATAGGCTCCCGGCGCGGCCAGCGGCTCGCGCGAGCAGATCCTTGAGCGACGCCAGCTCAACATTCTTAGCCAGCTGCACCAGCTTGAGCAGAAGCTGGACAAGCTGCTCGGCGGCGGTGCCGCCGGCCCCAAGCAGGTACAATGGCGATCAACGACCACGTGCATACACGGGCAACCCCCTGACCGACGCTGATGCTGATGTATTAGGGCAAGCATGGCGAGATTTTGCCCGGCAGTGATGCTGCCAACCCCAAGCCTGCGGCCGTTGACGTTGCACTGAGCATGAACCCCAAGTCACCGGCCAAGGTTGCGCTGACCGTCGCCGCCTGGCTGCAGCAGCGGGAGCACAAGACGTGCGACGTGCGCCAATTCTGGCACTCGACCCTCTCCGACCAGCCCGCCCACTTTCGCGAGCACGCCACTCTTCCTGCGGTATGTTAACACGGCCAAGGCGGGTCGGGCCAAGGCGGGCCGGGCCAAGGAAAATCGACGTTCTGACAAGCCATTTGCAAGAACGAAACAGCTCACCAGATCTTTGCCGCCAACACTTTTCTTGGGTGTAACCCTCTGTGGGTCGATGTGATGGTAGGCCAAGCTGCCTTGTGACCTTCGCCTCAACATCATTTACAAGGATGAAGCCGAGGCCGTCCTGCGCGCGTCGCCAGCTTCAGATGCCGCCATGAAGGGTGACCTCAACGCCGCCCGTTACCTTTGCCGTTCTTTCGGGTGAGGCTTTTCGAGTGTGACCTTTAGAGCGCTTTCGAGTGGACTATGAGCAGACCCGGGCATGACCTTGTGCATATCGATTACCATGCCCTCCGTCTCATTCTTTTGCGAACATATGCCCCCACCCCGCCCTTTTTTTTTTTTTTCAGCTCGGCCCTTTACCCCAACAACCCCATGTTGGCACTGCAGGTGGACGAGTGCCTTGACTACGTAAACGACTTGGCCACTGGCACCTCGAAGGAGGCCAAGCCTGCTCTCAAGGCTTTGAACGAGAAGCTCGGCAAGTCGGCCCATCTTGTTGGCACCAGCATGACCCTGGCTGACATTGGCCTCTTCTTTGCTGCCCAGTCGACCAAGGCCTCCAGCCTCCCCTCAAACATCAAGAAGTTTGTCAAGGAACACGAGGCTGACTCCCTCTTTGTGTTTGCCAATGACGTCCTCGCTTGCCTTGCTTAAAAAGGCCGCACTTCGCTCCAAGCGCTGTCAGAGAACACCCATTCAATTGACATCAACTGACCTTCCACAAGATGTCAGATAAAATAGACGCATTCATGCATGCAATTTGCTGTTCTTTGCTAGGGCAAATCTTCCAAACAAGAGCAGCAGAGCAAAAATAATTGCCGACAACCTGCTGGCCATGGGCTAGAGTGGGTGAGCATCGCAGGCCTGGCGGAAAGTCGGCAACCCTTGATGACCTCCCCAAGGCCAGGTCCAGCTGATTTGATGCGACATTGCAGTGCAGCACTGGCCTCGGTCGAGAGTCCATTGCGCCAGCTGGCCGTGGATCATGACTTGGCGAGCCCCACCGCGGATACTTCGGGCACTGGCCCTGGTCCTGCTCACGGCTGCCACCACCCTCCTCTTGCTTCAGTCGCACAGGGGCATTGCTCCTGTACAGGTATCTGAAGGTGCATTGTGGTCGGCTACCGGCGTGCGTGCGAGTGCCACGGCTCGCGGCGGGATTCCCCGACAGGTTCAGCACGCACAGGCCACCCCCCGAGTCTGCTTGCTCGGCAATGCCGAAAGCGTAGCCACCGCTGAGCGGTCGCATCGCATGTGGGGCCAGGCGTTTCCCTCATACTGGTACATATGGAATCAGGTCGTGCCCAGCACGTCACCAAGCCAGCTGAACACACACCCCGCACAACTCCATGTGGTGGCGTCAAGTTTGAAGGCCCGGGCCCTGACTTTTGCCGATGGCATCCAGCTCAATTATCAAGCTGCAAAGGAGCACGACGATTGTGACTACTATTTTGTGCATGATGATGACCTTGAATTCACGGTTGCCGTACGTTGCATGCCTCGTTCTCTTCCTCGGTTCTCTGCTTTGACTTGCATGGAAGGCTCATTGCATCATGTGCTTCCCCCCCATCTCTGGCACGTTGCTGCTGTGTATTACAGGCGGGCTTTTCGCAGACCAAGCAGCCTATACATGCGGTTCTGCTACAGTGGCTTCAACGCTGGCAGCCGCTCGTGGCTGGCTTTCCTTGGGACGTGGGCCGTGCCCGCTATTCAGAACTATCCGCCATTGCTCATGCGCGGGCATCCACCGATGGTTCTGCTTCGCCCCTGGTTCTATTTGACAATGGTATGGTGCTTTACCACACCAGCGTTGCGGACTTCTTCATCCCCTTTGCCCCCGCAGGTGAGGGCGGGTTTGTGGGCAAGTGGACGCTGGGCGCCCAGTTTTTACACCTCTTTGTGCCCTGGTGGCTACGGGAGCGGGCTGCAACTTGCGAGCAATTGCGCTACCGCAATCTCATCAACCTCGACAACCTCAATCGCACCGAACGCGCACGCGGGCGCAAGGAGACAGACACCCTTGTATTCTACGGCGCAGTTCGCCACCCCTACGAATATAAGCTGAACGAAAAGTATCGCAACTTCTTGAAGAGTGGTCTGCGCGACAGTGCGCTGCGCTTTGGTCCAGAGACGCGGGTTGCCGACGTCACTTGGCGTCCAGCGTCAGGCACCCCCTCAAATGCTTCCGCCACAACGTCCCAGCTGATTCAACGTCTGGTACAGCTCTACCACTGGAGGCACCCGGCGCTGTCCAACAACGCATGGGTGCGTGCCCACGCCAATGAGCTGCAGCGTCAATCTGCACAGGCTTTGCCCAAGATGCGACTGGACTTGCATATTTTTGTTCATGAACGAGTGACGGCCTTTCAAACGCTGTGGACGAGCGTTCAGGCACTTCTGCGGCCTTCTGCTCACATGGAGATAGGCATTGTGGTGCACCACGACCCGAGCCCCAAGCCACAGATACGGGCCGAGCTCAGTAAGGCCTTGCATGCCCTTGTGCACCCTTTTGCTCCCATCAAGGTGGTAGAGCACTCACGGCCACTGGGCCTCAAGGCCAGCATTTTAAAGTTGGCAACGGCCGATGCTCGTTTTATTTGGCTTTTGGAAGATGACTTGGAGGTCTCGCCCTTGGCGCTGCGCTTTGCTGAGATTTGCATTTGGCGCTATCTGCAGAACGGGCCTTCACAGCTTCTTGGGTTGTCTCTCTACGCCCAGTTGTACAACGAAGTGACCGATTCTTACTTGCCTGGCGCTTCGAAGACAGGCTACGCGGCCACACTCACAGGGCTGCGGCGGTGGCGCATGCCACAGTCATGGGGGGGCATTTATCGCGCCGATGCTTGGAATGCCTTTACACGCTGGTTGGCGCAGCAGCCCGCATCGGCCCGCTTCCTGCTGCCCCAGTCCCTCACCAATCGCTGGCCAGAGGCCTACAGCTGGAAGAAGCCGCTGCTGTATTTCATGGCTGAGCGTGGGCTTGAGCTGTTGTATCCTGTGCTACCTCACCGCTGGAGCCTTACAACCAATACGCTGGTCGCTGGGACCAATGATCAAGTTCGTGCCCACTCGTCCAAGTGGCTGCCCAAAGTCGAGCGCTTCAAATTGTCTCTGCTGTCGTCAAATGATACCCAACAGCTGGCACCAGGGTGGCAGGAGCTAGCGACAAGTGATGGTGCTTGGACAAAAATGATAAACGGGTCTCGTGACTATGCCTGGCAGCGAGTCCTAGCGGCGTTTCCCAGCTTGTCTACGCTGGACGTGCTAGATGCGCATGGACATGTCCTCGGGACAGACGCCCAGGACGCCGCGCGGCGAGCCACCGAGCAAAAGGCTCTATCAGCTCAACAGTGTGTCAGCGTTCTCATTTATCTTCGCCACGATCAAGCTCCAGCCACCATCGCACTGGTCAAGAAACTGTCTCAGACACCCATCGACTTGGATCTGATAGTTGTGAGCCCCGATGCAGCCGCGGCGCATGCGCTGCAAACAGCCACGACCAGGGAAAAGTGGGCCAGTCACCTGACCGTGTTGCACGATCCCGCTGTCTCGGCCATGAGCTACATGTGGTCCCGAACAGCGCGGCAGGCGGTGCGCTGCCAAGCACTATGGCTGCAAGACTCCGCCTGGCCCGTCACCACTGAGAGCTTTGTGTATGCCGTTGAAACGTTCCGAGGCCATTATTACGACCACGTTGTTGGCTTGCAGGCTGCAGCGCGCAATCACCAGGGCCAGGGCGTTGGCATGGGCTTTCTGCGGAAGAATACGGAGCATGCGTCCTGGTTTCTGCCAACCAACCTGGTCATACCGAGTGCACTCACTGGGCGAATCGCCATCCAAGGTGCAACCCCCGTCGCAGATCAATGCCGCTGGCTTGTGCTCCACGCGGAGCTGGCGAGTCGACAGTTTTGCCCGGTCATGATCTGGCAGTGGACTCGGCCTGAAATTCTACCCGTGGAACACGATGACGTCCAGCTTGCGGCTTGGCTGACTGGATGCATCGAGCATCTTTGTGGGCTTGGCGTGGCGCCCAACGATCTTATGCTCTTGCGAACGAGCCAGTCGGTGCGTATGGAGGCACGGTATGGCACCACCACACGCTATATCAATCGCGAGTGGCTTAAATGTGCTCCGCGTAGTCCTGCAATTGGGGATGGCAGCAGTTTCTTGCATGATTTGGGCGTGGCCTAGAGTCTGCACAGTCCATCGTTCTCTCCGTTAAGAATGGTTTCCTCTGCACCTCAACCAAGTCAAAAGTCACATGTCATGCATGATCATAATTAACAATAATAATATTTATGATCTTTTTCAATTTCAAGTTCGTCTAGAGGCAGCCGAGGGCTTCTGAACCTCTGAGGGGCACTCTCAGCACATGGCACCGTTCTCTCTTTATCACAAGCTCGAAACACATATCAGCGGACAGCCTAACAAAGGCCTCCATGTGTGTGTGTGTGTGTGTGTGAGTGTGTGTGTGGAGGGGGGTTCAAGCATTGAAGCAATGTTGCGAAGGTCACCCAGCTCATGCAACATCGAGTCACAGCGCTGTTTCAGGTCTAGCCTTATAGCCTCAGCGGTGGCGCCAACAAAGTCTACACCTTGAGGGCCGGCTCAATCAACTGGACTCGGGTCCGGGCGCTGCGAGCAGGCGCACCACGCAAATCATCAGAGAGCAAAGCAGAGCAGGAAACAGAAGGGAGTAGATGTCAAAGCAATGGCAGTGTGTTTGACGTGTGCTACCAAACACACCTTCGCGCCTGGCGTCAGCTGAGACAATTGATGCGTTTCAGAATGGAGGGCAGCACCAAGCCCACAAATGCCAGCGCGATGAGGCCCCACATCACGTCAGGCTGCATAATGTCGCGTCTACCAAAGGGATAATACATAGGGAGAATGCTTGAGCGGATCCAGTGCTGAGCTGCATAGCCATGTCGTGCTTACGTGGATTTGAGTTTCGGAAGAATTGTGCCAGCCTGGACACCAAGGAAAGCTGCCGGTGCCATGCCTACAAACCCCCCAGATATCATATCAGCAGACGTGAGACATGCCTTTTCAACCAGAGTCCCGTTTGGGTACGAGCCAGGTGGGGCGAGGTGACACGAGATGGGTGGGTCTTGACATGAACTTGCCAAAGAGTGTCGCAGGCCAAAATATGCGCATTGGAATGCCGATTTGTCCACAAGCAATCGTTACAAACCTGGGTCCAACACATACCCACACCCCACACAAAGACAGAATGAGACTGATAGCACCCTTTCTACGAGCAATGCTGCTGGAAAAGTACGATGGTGGCGCAACACCAGGAGCGAGGGGGCCTTCAAAGCAGTGGAATGATTGAGCAGACCAGTTGGGGGTGAAAGGAAATACGCGGATGCCAATAATGCGCAAAGTAAGGTGGTGTCCATCATCCTGGAACTAAGGACGGGCCAAACGCACGGCAGTTAGCACAGTGAGTACGCGCAGAAAGAAGCCTTGGCAATGAGCAAGTGACTGCAATCATGTACCTGTGTACGAAATTGCTGCAGTTTTTTGGGAAAGAAATGTCGGACGGTACGGCTGCCTAGGTGCTACAGAATGAGGAAGATGACACCGATATGAGGCTGCGCGCCCCTCCGGGCAAAGTGCCGCGCATCCACCTGCAAAATCCAGCAAAGGGATTTGCAAAATCACAATGCCTGCCTGACCCGGGTCATCTCGTAGAGGATGGTTGAACCAAGGACAGTCAGCAAGGTGGTGGCAACAAAGCCAATCTCGAGCCCAAAGAGTGCACCAGCCACTGCATGGGACAAGGGTTGCAGAGTATGAGCACGGGCATTAGCGTGGTTCACAAGGAGAGTTGCGGCGAGACAGTGTGTGCTGCGCCGGTCCCGCAGCGTGGGGCATGATTGACGCACACAGGTTGAAGAGCGTGGAACCCGGGATGGCAAAAGCTTGCAGGTAGAGGTAGCATGCTGAAAATGCTGCCAAGGTAGCCTCAAAGTGTTCTTCACGGAACTGGATTAAAACATGGCCTGCACGGAGGCGAGAAAGCGCATGCTTCAAAGTGAGGGCAGAGAATGGTTCATCTCGGCGAGCCGATTGGTGTTATCCGCTCTTGATAGCGGCCGGTGACATACTCAGGGCCTTGGCGGCAGGTAGGGAGGTGGGCAAGCGAAGCTGCTCGCGATCCTCAGGCGACATGGGACTACCAAACGAGAGCGCGCCCAGCGGGGCACGAGTGGCAAGTCAACGCAAGCAAGTCAGACAGGCCAATGCCGATCCAGAATCGACTGTTTACCTGAACATGTGCCAGGTGAAGCATGCAACGGCCAGGAGTGCGACAACGGCGAGCACTAGGAGGCGGTATAGATCATGATGCCAGTCAGCCTGGAAAAAGGAGAGGTCAAGTCGTGAGGGGAGCCGAGGGAGCAGCAGGGAAGCAGCTTGAGTGGCGACACAAGCAAAATCCAAGCCGGCACGGCGACAGCTTACGAGCTTGGAGGCGGTAGCCTTGGCCTGTGAAGCCTTGGTCATGGCACCTTGCGTACTGGTGCTTGGACCCACGGCCCAAGATAAGACCCTGTCCTTCCAGATGGACCACCAGTCTGACACCGCCATTTGAAGGTTTGCTGGTCAATGACGTCGTCGGGACAAGTCGTGCCGCGCCGCGGCTTCAAAACAAAAGTCAAAACTCACGCTCGAGTCACAGAGCGCTCAAGCCTCCCCAAAAGTCAACCAACCAGCCAGCCAGCCAGCCAGCCCCTAACACCCAGCAGCCGCAGAGCCCTCTGATCCAGCTGCCGTCAACTCGTTCGTCGTCTCGGGGGGGGAGGGGGGGGTCTGCCTCTTTGCACCATAGAAAGCTGCTGCTTGTACACAAATGCTTGTACACAAATGCTTGCACACCAAGGGGAAAAAGTGTTTTACTTTCTCATAGGAGGCCAGATGTCAGAAATTATTGGATGACGCACACAACGAGTTCATGGACATGGACATGAACTGCCATCATTTGTTGAAGACGAGAACTCGAGCACTCGGTGTTGGTGGTGGTGGCGGTGGATGCCAGCTGTGGGTGGGGTGGGGTGGGTGTCTTGGTGGCGTTGGATTGGCGACGGTGGTTGTGGCAACAGGTGCAGTATGTGGGGTCTGGTGGGTCGAGTTGTGGGCCAGCTTTCGCGGCGTGGCGTCCGTTCTTATGCTCAGACGCCCGGGCACATGAAGCTGGACGCGACGAAAAATGCTTGGGGCGCTCGCTTTACTCTAGGTCGGGCTGGAATGGCGGCCGCCGCAGCTGCGGCTGGTGTAGCGTGGGTCACGTGGGGAGATCCATCGTCAGTGTCGGCCATTGAACCAAGTCACGTGGCCGGCGCACACACGGGCAAGGTCTACCTGGTCGGCGCAGGTCCCGGGGCTGCCGACTTGCTAACACTACGGGCTGCACGACTCTTGGCTACTGCTGATGTGGTGGTCAGCGATGCTTTGATCGGGCCGGAGATCTTGGCTGGAGTGCGTGAGGACTGTCTTGTCATCACCATGGGCAAGCGTGGGGGTGATGCACGGGCCACCAAGCAGACCGACATCAACACCGCGCTTGTAGAGCAGGCGCAGCAGGGTCGCACGGTTGTGCGTCTTAAAGGCGGAGATCCGTTGCTCTTTGGCCGCGTCGCGGAAGAGATGCGAGCCCTTGACGCTGCCGGGTAAGCTCTTCGTTTTTTCTTTGCTCATGTTTGACCCGCCATCTTCTCTAATTTGCATGGCGCCATCTCATCCATCTGTCACCGGCTGAGGGCAGGGTGGCATACGAGATTGTGCCGGGCATCACGTCGCCATTTGCAGCGGCCGCGGAGGTTGGCATTCCGCTCACACACAAGACTTTGAGTACCACGTTGGTTCTGACGACGGGCCATGATCCATCGCTACTGGACTTTACCGCGCTAGCACGCATGGACACGGTGGCCATTGTGATGGCGACGCGCACCCTTGAGGCCATTGTTGACGGTCTGGTCGAGGGTGGCAAGGCCCCCAGTACTCCCGTCTGCATCGTTCGGAACACCACCTTGCCCAACGGCGCAATCTATACCGGTACCCTTGACCGGGTGGTGGCCGACACGGAGCGACTCAAACTTTCGCCGGCCGTCCTTATTGTGGGTGAGGTGGCGGCCCTGGCCCAGGGCGGGGGGTGCACGCCTGACCGCTTAAGCGCCGAACTTTGATGTGGTAGCACGGACCGTCTTGCTGGCACTTGCCCAGGAGCAGGAGAATATTATGATGATCTGTGGGCAATCCTCATCTAATATTATATTCTGTGGGCAATCCTCATCTGGCACAGGGATGGCCATAAATGCCCATCATCAATTTGACAGGAATTTAACACAAACTGCAGAATCTCGATGGGCGCCAGCCACTTCAATATGCGCCACAGGCGCTAGCGTGGGCTGCCGAGACAACAGGAGGTCCGCACACACATAAACAAGAGCGAGGGCACCAAGTGCTTGGTGCCCACGCGCAGATTGGCACTGAAAGTGGCCACAGGGTAAGCTAAAGTCACACACACACACACACACACACACACACACAAACGCATTACGCTACGTTTATGCCAGTACTGTCCTCGGGGGCGGCAGCCGGCGCTGGTGATGGAGCGGCAGCCGCCGCCGCATACGAAAAGGTTTGCGGCGGAGGTGCGGGTTTTGGACCCTCCTGCCCGGCGGCTGAAGGGACACTTGGGCCTCCGCTCAAATTGACTTGCACCGCACCTGCGTCAACACTGTCATCGGGCGCGTACTGGGGAGCCTCAAAGCTGGGGGCATGACTGCGGCAACAACACGGAGCGGATCGCGTGAACCAATGCGGCAGGTGAGGCAAAAAGCCATGTCAATGGCGCGCAGCCTTTATAGGCGACAGAGCGGTCATCTGCACGATGCCAGCGCACCTGTGATGAGATGGGCCGGCTTCGACGCCGGGGCCTGGCGCCAAGATGCTCGCAGCCCAATCATGCCATCGCTCTACAAACAGCAAACAAACAAACACGCAACCAAAGCCAAGAGGGAGCCATTGAGTCAGACGGCCATCAGTGCCTCAGCGAGCCGCCCGGATGCCAGGCCTACCAAGTGTGGATCGATCATCGTCGCCATTGGGGGCAGCGTTTCCATTCTGATCTGACGGCTCGGGGGCCAGAATGGAAGCTGCCCACTTGTGAAACCCTTCAAACGACATGTTGCGTCCTGTCTAGACCCAAGTCGATCCCCCCCCCCAACCGTGAGGAGAAGAAGGCACCCGTCGGAACCGTGCGCGCGTCCGTACCTGGAGCCCCTGGCTGATCGGCGTCAAGCGAACGAAGAAGAACCAGAAGAGAGACAGAGAGACAGAGAAAGTAAAATAAGACAACAGACACACGAACAATATCTGACATCTGACATCTGACATCTGACGATACAATTACCAAATGTCAACGACCAAACTTTTGGTTATGTTGTTGTTGTTGTTGTTGAAGGGAGAGACAGAGAGATCAGAGAGAGAGATCGAGTGTGTGACTCACTCACTCACTCACTACCTCTTGTGGCTCATGTCCCTCTGCCTCGTTTCGACAGCTCCCTTCAAGTTTTTTTTTGGGATTTCCGCCACTCGCGCTGGCAGCTGTTCCTGCTGGACGAGAGCAGTGCCTGCCGGGTTGATGCAGATTTGGTCCACCTTGCCCAAGTTGACACTCTTCCCCAAGATCTTGGGTGGTGGTGGTGGTAGCTGGCCGTGTTGGTGCGGCTCGTGGCCGCGTCGGGCTTATAGCTCCAACTTGATTGAGGGCAGGGACCTCCCACCCTACCCGGCTGCGTCATCGCGCAAAGACGCCCAACAAACTCAAGGCGGGCTCTCTGTTCGGCAGGAAGGCACACGCGCGTGCTCCGCTATATCGTCCTGCAAGCCTGTCCGGCTGCGATCTCACGACGCTTTGCTGTGGCAAGCCAATGCACCGCCCAGCTCATGGGTTACCAAGCCTCTGGATCAGCGAGCGACTGCAAAGCCGCAGACCTGTTCGGCCCAACCGTACATGAGTGTGGGCAGAGCCGTGGGGCGTAAGCTTTAGGTAGCAAGCAGCCACCTTCATCTTTTGCGTGTCCAGGGTGCTCATCGAGCCATCGCGCAAGGCTGCTGTGACCACACGCCATGGCTGACTTGGCCCTTGAAGATGGTGTGGTTGAGGTCGAGCTGGACCGCGATCCAGAGCTAGGCTTTGGGTTCAGCATTGCTGGTGGCGTGTACGATGACCACGGACAGTCGGTGCCTGTGGTCATCTCCAAGGTCAAGGAGGGCGGCCCGGCGGATCGATCGGGCAAGTTTGTTGTTGGCAGCCGCGTTGTGAGCATCAATGGCAACAAGACCGATGGCGTAATGCACGATGTCGTCGTCAACCTCTTGCGCCTCGCCGGCACCCACCTGAAATTGCGCTTGAAGGAGACTCGCATTGATTGGTCCATCGCTGCCGCTCCCACAGCGGGTGCTTCCGCGCACCTTCCTGTCCGCAACGACGCGGCTGCCCGCATCCACCTGCCCGTGGCGTTTGAGCGCGTGCAAATGCTGTACAACTTCAATGGCCGCTCAAACGACGAATTGGTGGTTAAGAAAGGTGATATCATCCATGTGCAAGGCCGCAGTGCCGATGGTTGGTGTACCGGCGAGTGCCAACGCACTGGCCAAAGCGGCCTCTTTCCAGCTACCTATGCCATGCGCCTGCGCCACGATCCCAGGGTCATTGAATCGATCTACTCGGATCTGGAAACCTATCAAAGCCTCGGTAGTGTGAGCGGCTCGGACTCACTATATGAGCACCTGCCCGAGGAACAGCAGCTTTCTCCCTCACCACAAGCCAGCCACACCGACTATGGCGTCTCCTTGGCCGCCACCCCAGACCTGTCAGATGGTGACGGTCACTACAGTCGTGTCCCTGCAAGAAGATCCACCGCTGCGGGCAACCACATTGATGTCTTGTATGCTTCGGTTGATCGCAAGGCCCTGGTGGTCAACGGCGACGTGTACTCTGCCGTTCAGCGAGGTGGCGATGATCCCGTCTACTCACGCCTCAGCGCAGCAGACGAGGAACATTATGCTTCACTCTCACGTCAGTTATCGCGGCCGTCTCACCCCCGGCTCTGGCGTAACCATCCTCTTCTGCACCGCTGTCTCACCTGCTCTCGCACCCTGCTTAGGGCATCGACGGAGCATCTCCATCCGGCCCGACGACGCTCCTTATGCCCACTTTCCGGGAGACAAAGCGGAAGTGCTCTATGAGGGGTTGCCCGAGGAGAAAATCGTAACCAGCAATGACGCACCCCCGATCCCCGAGCGACGGTGAGACGAGGCATCTGCTCAGCAACCACACGGCTTTCGCAGCAAAGGCAACGGGCCGCTTGGAGCACAGCCCTGATGGGCCCTTATTGTCTTGCCATTGTGTCGTTTGCTGATTATATGTATGGTCGTGTAGGTATGACGTCGAGGAGATGATGAAGCCTATGATCGAGTTGACCATTGACGAGGGTGCACCCACGGACGCAGAAGACTACGAGCAGCTGCCCAATGACTTGCCCCGCGCACAAGCACAGGAGGATTTGTACGAGGATTTGCCCGAGCTCACGAGCGAGGCAAAACCTGCCGCGCCGGCCTTGCCAGATCGCCCCTCGGCCCGAGGTAGCAGCCCATTACCACCACCCAGCCAAGACCCTTCCCCGTCATCAGGATCCGATTTCCCGCCCCCAGAGGCCCTGAACAAGTCGGCGCAACGTTCGCTACGAAAGCAAGAAGAAAAGGATCGCAAGCAAAAGGAAAAAGAACGCAAGAAAGCCGAAAAACAATACAACAAGGAACTGAAACTGCTTGAGCGGCAGCGTCGCAAAACGGAGCGCCAGGCGCGCAAGCGTCAGGGCAAACCTGATCGTCCTTCCGTCGACTCGACAGCCTCGGGTGCCATGACACCTTCCTCGAGTGCAACCAGCAATCGCGGGACCCCCATCCCGCCCCCATCTCCTTGATGAGCGCCATGTCTGTGCCTTCTTTGCAGTGTAGATCCCGCATAATGCCACTCATCGCTGCCGACACACCTTGTCTGGCTGGTTTCTGCTCTTCGGCCCAAACATGTCCCATGTATTTTTTTTTTGTTTTCAGCCTTCTTCGTTTGAATTGTCCTTGGTTGCTCTCCTTTTAACGAATATCCCATTCATGTTAGATGATTTGGCATCCGCAAAGCCTTTGAGCTGTTGTGGTCTGCACTCTGATGCACCCACTTGGTGGTGCTTGTCTTGATTTTACCAATCTATTGATTGCGGCAACTGGGACTTGCACTCCTCCGGGGTGGTTCGATGTGTCTCAGGTCTACCGCCAAAGGTGGCTGTGTGATGAATGCTCGAGCACGCTCCACAACAAACACAAACCAAATATTGTGCAACAACCAATTTGTGTCGGCAGCGGTGGAAGGGGAAATCAGAACTCGTCAAGAAGAAGATGAAGAAGACAACAGAAAACTTTGCATGCTCATGGTCCGCCCAAACAGAGCACAAATGATAACTCTGTCTTTCAATGATCAGGCCGAGCCGGAGTTAGTTGCCACTGTTGCCTTGTACGCCACTGCGCGCTGCTGCCAAGGCCTTGGCACCTAGGTTGGGGACCCCATGTGATGTGATTGAGCGCGGTGTTGTCTCAGGTAGGGCTGGGCAACGGGTCGAACACAGCACGGGGGGACCGCTAGCGGAACGGCAACGAACCCAGGTTGCTGGACACCTGTTCAAACTCATCCAGGGCCGCAGAGCTGTTGGCTGATAAAAATTGCGCCTCTTCCGGTGAGATCTATATCAAGGGCAACGTGCAAATACGAGTCAGTCCAGCCCGGCCATTGCTGGTGCGAAAAGCAAGTTCTTGGCACGTCCTTGACGCGGCCCGTACCTGTTCTCCAAGCTTGCGCAAGGCTGTCAAGATTTCCACCTATGCGATCAAACGACGTCAGTGGGGTATCGCGAGCATTTGAAGGATTGTTATCGCCGCAGTGATGACACAGTATACAGGGGCAGCCCGCTCGAGACGAATCAACAACGGAAGACACACCTTTTGTTCAGTCTGCTGCTGGGCTGAGATTTTGCCAATCTTGACATCGCGCTCCATTTCTAGAAGACAAGCAAAGAAGTGAATTGATGCGTGTCATCGTCTGCTGTGACACACGATTGGTTCGAGGCTCCGTTGCAAGACAAAAAGAAAGGAGCTGGATCGGAGCACCTACCGGCGAGTCGTTCGCGCAGTTGTCCCGGCTCACGCTTGGCAAAAAGACGAATAACCTCTGGTGTTTTGAAGGCATCACTCACAGCGGCTTGAATGGCCTACGGACCAGTACAGATGAGATGGCGGTTGCGGGAGGGCAGTCGTTCTGTGTGTTCAAGAAGCCAGCCAAAAAAATTCGAACCAGCTGCATGGCTCCAAACTGGTCAACGAGGGACATGTCGCCCTCGGTCATCTTGGGGGGGGGGGGGGGGGCTTTGGAACAGAAGCAGGCAGCTCGAGGTTGCGCCGCTAACTTGAGTTCCTCGAGATCTTTGAGCTGAACCATCAACCGTTCCAACTGTTCCTCCATATTCTGCTTGAGCAGATCCGTCTCCTTGTTCCCGCGAGACGCCATGACGAGTTTGTTCCGAAAAAAAAAAAAAAAGAAAGAAATAGAAATGAGAGAGAGAGAGAGAAAGAGAGCAGAGAGTGTGTGTTTTTGAGAGAGAGAGAGAGAGGAAGAGAGAGAGAGAAAAAGTGTGTGTGTGTGTGTGTGTGTGTGTGTGTGTGTGTGTGTGTGTGTGTGTGTGTTGTGTTGTGCCAAAATGCTGACAATAACCCATTGCATCAAAGAAAAAGAAGAGGAGGAGAGCGCGTTCAGAGGGAGGGTGGTGGCAATTTTCTTGCGCAGGGTTGGACTCCAGGCTGGCTCAATCGAGACCATCGGCGTACCAGGAGGAGGCTGTGCACCGCGGCTGGGTTTCCTTGGCCTTGTTGTTGAGTATACGCAGATTATTCCCGGGTTTCTGAATTTTGCTGAGCTGAGCAGAGAATATTGATCAGCAGGATGAGTGAACCATCGTGCATTTCCAGCTTTCAAGGCCCTATCCAGGCCTGGTTGCGGCCCGGACAGTGGTGCTTTGGGGTGCGGGCCATCCGTCAAGGGGAGGAACGCTGGGCCTGTGGTTGCTCACGACAGCAGCTTGTGGACGGCTTGGAGGCAGTGGTGGCCAGCGCTCAACTCAACGCCCTGGCCAATACCCGCAAGGTTCGCATGGGCAAAGTCAAGGAGGACTTTTCTTTTGTGCGCATTGAGAGCTACACGGCTTCTGCCGAATGGCTCGACGTTACCGAGTTTCACATTGAGAGTGCTGGCGATGGTGTCAGCGTGCGCGTCAAGTCCTTTTCATCTGGCTTTACCCCGACCTGCGTGCCTCTGGCCCCGTTGCTGAGCGCCGTGTGCTTCTGGGTCCCGTTCTCCGATTATGGCCCTCAAGTGCGTGCTTGCCCCGATCACGCCCCCGATCCCCCTCGGTGCTTAGCCAAGCATTATGCTCACCCACACGTTCAATTTCTGGTGAACATGTGAATTGTTTTACTGTTCCGTGCAGGGGAGCCTCAACAAGCTCCGAATCAAGGAGATTCGTGAGCAGCTCACCAAAGACGGCCTCGTACCCTCCATTACAGTCGCCTGAGTCCTTCTGTCTCAGTCTACCCCCTTCTTAATGCTGGTGATGCTGGTGGAGTGGCGCAACGCTCAATTTGCTTGTGCCGGACGGCTGCGATCATGCTGTTTTCTCCCTTGTGGGCATGGTTCTTGATACCTTTTGTAAGCCCACATGCATGTTCCCGTGTAGTGAAGCTGTGCTGTGCATGGCCGAAAGCACCATGGGTCAATTCCATAAAAAAAACAGAAAAAAAATTGCCATTAGTCGGATTTGCTCACCACGATATCAAGCTTTTTTACATTACAACATAAAGTTGGCCTCACCCCCCAAGCTCATGAGATCGGCTGTTTCGGCTGGCAAGGGCAAGTCTCTGCTGACTCGATCACGGTGTTTAACATCTAGTTCCTGTAGCACGGCCAAGAGATCTGCTGCAAGATCATCTTGCACCGGCCGTACCCAGCCTTGCTCGGTCGTCCCCAATACCCGGCAGCTGCGATCCTCTCGTGCGCTTGTGGTTCCATCGTCAAAGAGCACTTCCTCGGCAAAGATCTCTGCCAGTTCACTCTCCGCGCTCGTGTCCACACTGCGCCAGGCAGACAGCTTGGTCGTGTCAAAGGAAGGTGGGGGTGTGCTACGGGTTGTACCCACGTCGCTGGACAGGGACTGGCGCGTGGATCGAGGCAACGGTGAAACTCGTTGCTCAGTCTTATTGGCTCCAACTGTCGCGCCGAGGGAATTGTTGTGTGTAAAATCAGGCACGATGAGTGTCGCGGGGGTGGGACATAACGATGCTGGTGGTGGGAGCACCTGCTTGGGCGGCATCTCGGCTCGAAGACGGTCTGCAGCTGGTGGAGCCATGCTGGCATAGGTTGGAGCGTCCTCTAGAGACCGCGGTTGGAAGTTGAGGCTGGGTATGGCATCCGAGTCGGGCTGTGCCGGGTCTCTCGAGTCATCGACTGATTGACTTGCCTCCATGGCATCCATCACGGCCGGGTCCGTAGCGTGGCGAGCACAGAGCGGAAGCGAGAAGAGACGCTGAACCTCCGCACACCGCATGCACGTTAGGTGGGGGTGGGCTCCCGTGGACACTGTCTTTCGAGCTGGGATGGAAGACGTGGGAGGGGCCGGTTGCGGAACGGCCGTCAGGCCGGCAGTCAAGACCGCGTCATCTTCCAAGTCCAAGTCCTGCCACGATGCTTGATGGCGACGCCGGTCAGCGCGCTTGGGACTCTGGGTTCGGTGCTTCAAACATGCAGGCTCGGTATCCACTGCAGCAAACACGTCACATTCGTCAGATTGTGGACTCGCGACCAACGGCTGCGTTGATGAACGGGACGATGCCGGCACCAAAATGACCTCGCGCTCGATGGGCGCGGGCGGCGGGCGGGCCTGGTGGCTGGCTTGGGCCTGGCGCAAAGCAAAGTGGTCGATGCTCGACTGGGAGCCGCCGGACGAGAACCCGTCATCAATCAGGTCCGAGAGCCGAGACTTGAGAGGGGCCCGCTGACTAGTGCGCTCGGGCCGAAGAGGACTTGAACTCGGCTGATAGCCAGCAGCTGGCGCGGCCTGGTACAACGGGTCGCGTTCTACCACGACGCTGACCTCGTACGCATCGTCACAAAACTTTTGCTTCACAACTTTGAGTGCGAGGGCGTCATGAAGGTCGGCTCGGCGCAAGTTGAAACTGTCGACCTGTGCTCAAACCATGCCGTAGGCGAACAAGGTAAGAAAAAGTTGGAACAAGGTAAAGCACGCCTTTTGTGAGGGAGCGGCATCCCACCTTGATGAGGACATCGCCTACTTCCAGCAAGCCAGCACAGGGGCTGTGGGCAGGTACATGGGCAACCTGCAAGCTACGACATCAGCCGGGCACGGAAAAGGTCAAGAGATAGCAGAGGCTTGCCAAGCTTGCGTGCAACCACCATGAGAAAGGGCAAGACCAAGAACAACGTACCCATCATGGCCAGAGGCCGAGCCTTTGAGGGTGATGCCCAGTCCCACGCGAGGCAGCTTTTTCACGGTGTAACTCAGCGCCAGGAGGTGTTCGCGAACTGGCCACGATGAACATGAGTCATGGGAGGTGACGGATGAGTGACTGCGCCGAGGCGGGGAGCTGCTGGGATGATTCTCCAAGCGTTCGACGGCCGTCAAGGGGCCATCCATCTGGCGGGTCGAGCTAGCGATTGGTGCCGCCATGGCAGGCGAGGCTCACGGGAAAAAGTTGGTGCTGCCCTATTACCTTAGAGCAGAGAAATAGGCAAGGGAAGATGCTGGCCGGCTGTGCCTGTCCCGCCGAGTGTCCTGTTCTCTGCTGGCTCACAACGCAATCGAGCGGGTTTCCCGGCAACGCGGTGACAGTGCAAAAAGCCAATCCCACCGAACAACGGCGTCGAGTGCGCACTCCAATGAAAGAAAAACTCTTTGTGTTTGCAACAGCAGCACAGAAAAAAAAAATAGAAGAGGCGCGGCTAATAAGAAATTCGTAATCGCCGGTTCTGTGAGATGAGGCGTGCTCGCCGTGATCGCGCTCACGCAAAACCGATCAAGGCCCTTTTCGCTACACGCAATGATGCTTTGCAACGCCCAGCACCTGCCTACCCTCGCGCGCTGTCAAAATCCGCCAGCAAGCAAGCAAGCAAGCAAGTCAACCTGACGCGCTCAAGCGGACAGATAAATGTCAGACAAAAGAGAGTTCAGAGAGAGAGACCGTTTTTTTTTTTTTTTTTTCCTGTTCGGGCATGGAATGATAATGGCGGCGACGCCGATGCCGGCAGCCAGAATCGTGTCGGTGGCTGTTTACGAGGATATCCATGACGCTCTTGCTGCAGTGCCGTTGGGACACGAGCAGGACCGTCAGGCGCTCTACCTCACGCTTGCCGAGAAGCATGGGCTTCCCCTTGAGGTAGCTCACCTGTCACCTCGTGCTGCTGCACTGCGGACAAAGGTTCAAACCAGTCAACACAAACTTGGTGCCTCACGCGCGACTGCCCCGCCCGTCATCTCAGACCATTGCGTCACTCAGTGCTGCACTTTTACGACAATGGATTCCCAAAAGGGAGAAGGAAGTCAAGCCCGACCAACGGCGGCAGGTGTTTGAGCGGTATCGCAAGCTACCACCCGTGCGTCGTTTTGCTCAGCAACAGCTGACCTGCTTTTGCACTCGATGGGTTTCCCTTGATCATCCATCTGAGACTCTTGCGCCCACCCACGTGCCCACGAATGTATTCACGCGTGTAAGTGCGTTGTTCTCACTGCCGTTTCTTGCCCACGCCGATTACAAAAATTAGGAGCGCTTGGTCCCTGACATGTTTTGCCGGCTGGCCCAAGAGGAAGGGCGGACGCCCGTGCGCATCATCAAGGACATTCTGTGCCGACTCATCTCCTTTCAAGATCGCCTCCGCAATGTGACTCGCACCATCACCCAGAACAAGCAGTTGGCCAAGTCCCTTCTGCGGCATCCCGAGCAACTGCGGACCAGCGAGCTTTTCGCCACCGATCAAGAACTCGAGGCCTTTTTGGAGGCCATGCAACTGGCGTTTCAGGTTGAGACGTGTGAGGGACCCCTCCGACTTCAGGAGGCCAGCGAGATTGGTCAAGCCTACGAGGACCGTCTGCTTCATGACTGTTCCACGCTTGCCGTCCGCATCATGGACGAGAACCTATGCCGCGCCGTCGGGCTGAACGTAACTCCAGACGTTCGTTTTCCGTTTGCCATTCCCTGTGCTGGGCTGGCCGTCACGTGGATGGATTCCAAAGCCCTTTTTGCTGATGCTCCAACCATCGTGGATCACCTCGCACATCAGTTTACGCGTTATCAACGCTTGCTTGGTGCTGGCATTGCCGTCTACTGGTTTGGTTTCGTGGCTCAAGTGCCTCGTCAATTGGCCAAGGCACACAACCTAGAGGTTCGCGATGATGACCCAGAACTTGTGGACACGATCGAGCTTTGTCGGCGCCACCTGGTTCTGCCCGTCGTGTCTTGTCCTCGAGCTGAGCTAGAGCGTGGCCTGGCGCACTTGAAAAACGCGTACACCAGTCTCTGACAGACTGTGTCATGTAGAAACCTGGTCGAGTGTATTCGTTTGTTCGTCTTCCTTTGATTTCCGGTCACCCTCTCTCGCTCTCATGACTATTCCTTCTGCCAAAGTGTGCCCGTGTGGCTGAGCCCAGCACCCGTGCTTCCCAAGACCCCGCCCTTGCCTCCCCTTGTTATATCTGGCCCTTCAACTCACATATCAATCAAGCATTGTATGATCAGCAACCGTCCAGTCCGTTCTTCATCAATTCATGTGGCCTTTCCTTGCAGCAGTCGCCGCGAGAGATTTTGAATGCAGGGACACGCACTCTGGATTCATTTCGGTTGGCAAAGGCCAGGGCTGGGGCACTTTTGTCTGTCGATGAGCTGCGCTCACCAGTCCATGTCGTCTTGAAGAATATCATCAGCATCGTCGCGTTGCTGATTACGTGCAGCAGCCAAGATACCCTCCAGGGTCATGGGGATATCTCCTTCTTCCTCCTCGTCATCCTCCGAGTCTGACGCCTGCGAATCTGAGTCATTGGTCACCGGGGCCTTGCTCTCGTCGGCCGACATGCTTGCAGCGGGGGCCTCAGCCACCTCTTCCACCACCGGTCGCGACGTAGCAATCTTGAACTAATGACATAAAACAGGCTTTTGTGAGCTCAACACGGGGTTTGGTGCTGGCCATCGTCAGCAAGCTGAAAAGGATGGCACACCTTCATCGGGATCTCCAGATCCAGCCCGATGTAGCTGTCCGACACCAGGTAAAAGCTTGGGTACCACACGTGGCCGCCTTTGAGCCGTGGTACGCCGAATGCAAATTTGCCCTACGTCGAGAAACACCACCGGTCCCGATGAATACACGCCAACTCGGTTCAAACTCCAGAGGCCTGGCAAAGAGAACAGAAACTAAAATGTGGCGCACTTCAAAATCATCCTTCATCATAACTTTAAGAGGAAGGGAGTCCAGGTGGTCCTCGTGTTTGGCCTTGTCCTTCTCAGTGCCCACGAACACCCACCACTGCTCATCTTTAGCCTGCGCTCGAAAAAAAGCAGTCAACAGACGGATCAGTGAATCAAGGCAGGCAAGGAAAATACCTTTCAACTGCAAGCTGCAGTTTTTTTTTTTTTTTTTTTTTTTTTTTTTTTTTTTTTTTTTTATTTTTTAGGGCAAGGCGTAAATGGTCACGATGCCTTATGCCTGGTAGCATCAACTCACGTGGGGATAGTGAGGGCACAAGGCCGGGCGTGATTTGAGCTCTTTGCTCCCCTCTTCCTTGTCGGGCTTCTCAATCGCACCCCACTACATGAAGGAGCAATGTGGCAGGGAAAAAAAGAAAAAAGGGCCAGTTTGTCACTTGCATCCTCACAATATATGGATCATCCCAGACGAAAATACCAAGGTTGGAGCCTGCAACAAGGCGCACCACATCATCCTCATCCTCGTCCTCGTCCTCATCATCAACAACGGCCTCGGCCGACTCGGCCTCGGGCTCAGCGTCTTCAGATTCTGCCTCGTGAGTCTGCAGGCGATTGAGTAGAATGAGCCTGATGGTTGACAACCAAAAGCAGCCGGTCCCCAAGAAAGTACATGCTCGCGTACATACCGGCTTGACCAGGCCGCGAAGCCGATACCCCTCATCCGATTCGGGAAAGGACTGTGCATCATGGCGCACGAGCTTGAACTTGAGTTGCATGGCTTCACCAGCATACACTGTGTCCCCTTGGTCCAACTGGTAAGTCTGACCCATGGCATCTGTTGTGGCCCACACGAGCGCATGAGCAATCGAACGCAAACGTGTCATAAGGTGCTCTAACATGCAAACAACACTCACCCTCAAGAGTCAGCTCCACCGTAACAAAGGGGAGGCGACTGCCAATGATAAGCAAATCTTCCATGGCTTCATCACCCAGTGTCGGTTGCAACATGGCGCTAAAAGGAGGTCAAAGCAGAAGAAACAGACGGGGCGAAAGTGACAGGCAGAAAGAGGCATGATGCATGATCAGTGTCAAGCCCTTGAAAATTTGGTCATTGCGAAGGAGGGAGGTGCGGTACAGCCAGCGCAACCAACCGAAGCTCATCCTCCGAATGAGCAAACAATTCGCGAAGATTGGTGATTGGCTGCGGCTAATGCGAGCAGCAAACGAATTGAGCCTCATGTGCTGAACCAAGCAAAGCACGGGACGGCGACGAATTTGTCAAGTCTGAAAGGGTTGGCAGACCTTGTTACGGGCCAGCGTCGTGATTGCCTTGCGGTTGAGTTGTTCCTCCACCTGCATTTGCACACCAAATTGTCAAAGGATAGGCTCATTGGCCATCGGAAGGGCATGACTCCCTGCAATTGATCTAAACATGTCGGTGGTACATACCATGGCAAATGGCTCACGCAAGGCGGCTTCTGGCCGCGCCTGCATGAGCAGCTGGCAAGTGTACATGCACTCTTTAGCCGTGGAAAGCCAGAAACGATAGTTAACAAAACAGGCCTCGACGAGCGCCTGAGTGAGCATGGGAACCAGTTCCAACACCACCACTTGATCTGTTCGTCCAGAACAGAGCGCACTCAAGGTCAGTTGAATGGACAAGGACCACGACAAGCCCACTCTCGCGTACGATTTCAATATCGTCCCCATCTCCCGTTCCCAGAAACCATCGTTCTTACCCGCTTGCATCTCGCTGGTCACGGGCATGCGTTCCATATGGGCGTGGAAAAGAACTCTGGAAGATTTTTGGCAAAACGACAAGGCCATGCAGGAGAAAAAAGGCAAAAGGCCCGATTCAGAAGTGGGACGATGTCAAGGCATGCAGATTTCTGTTGATGGAGGGTATACTGGCCACACAAACAAAGACAAATGAGATGTCGTTGCATGTCAGAGCAATGGCGTACCGCGTGGCCACAGCATGGGCGACATTGTTGAAACGCCAGCGCTTTTTGCCCTTGGAGAACGGATCCCTGTGCGAGATGGGTCAATAAAGGGGTCGATCAGGCATGCAGTTGCGGGACTGTAAACAAAAAGCAAGGGGTCCCTGTCAAACGTACGAGCCCAAGTTGGCGTTTTTGCAGACTTCACGAACAGTCTCGAGGTCTGTGCTTCGCAGCGTGATGCGGCGCTCGCGAAACTCGTCGGCCACAGCCATAACCTCAATAATCTCTGCAAAGGGAAAAACCGATCGGGCATTGGTACAGATTCATTTCAAGAAGGTCAGAGACAGAGTGCTTCCCCCAAGCAAGGGAGGGACACGCAAACGGATTCGCTTGGTTTATTCAGACTTGGTTTCAAAACGTGCCTCTGACTTTTTTACTGCGATTCTCCATGAACCGGAAAAAGTAGGCAATGGTCTTGTGCAGAATTTTGTTCTTGACGAATTGTTGAGATCGTCGCCAGATCATAACCTGTAGCCGTGGCAGCATGAGCACAAGGCAGAAGACCGAGCTGACCCTGTGCCGCGGCACTCGTTGCGCAAGCACGATGGAGGTCCGGGGCCACGAAGGCACGCTTACCACCACGGTGGGGACGATGATGAGGAGGCCAAGGACATAAAGCAGAAGCACAGCGTGCTTGTTGTCTTCGCTCACAAGCCAAGCCGGAAGCGCAATGCCAAAGCTGCGCTCCTGCGGCCCGTCGGGGTTTCCATACTGCTCCCAGTTTTTGCGCGTCACCTCGTCCGTCAGTCTGCAGAAAAGTATGAAAACAAAGCACGGGGGTTTGTCAGCGAGATGGATTCCTCTGCAGCCTGCCCGGGAGAAAGGACAAAAGGTGGGTTTGACACGATACGAACGCTTCATAAGCCTTGGCAATGCGAACAAAGTGGTCAGCGGCCTCGGGGTCGTCTTGGTTGCGATCGGGGTGAAACTTGAGACTGAGCTCACGGTAACGCTTCTTGATCTCTCGGTCAGTAGCATCCTGGAACGGGGCATGCGTGCCGGTGCAGGTTGGCGCTAAGATCCAAACCGCGGTGGCAGTGCCCACAATTCGGGAAAGAACGCTGCAGCGGTTCTGGCTGCGACAGGACCCACCGCACTCAGTTCAAGGATCTCAAAGGGGTTGTATTGCTTCTCCACTTCATCGTCCGAGACGGCGTAAGCCAGCACCAGGAACAGGACCCAGGCGCAGACAAAAATCACGTTGCTAGAATCACACAAAGGGGCCGAAAGTTCACACAAGTCAATCAGAGTCAGTCACATCATCTTGTGAGACTCAGGAAGAAGAGCCGAGCCCGGTTCAGCTGCCCGCTACGATGCAGGCATACCTTGCCCGGCACCAGCCCTGGCCTGAATTTTTCGCCACGTGCTTCTTCCGCACCACTGCAGGGCCGTCCTGAGCCGTGGTATCCTCTAGGATCGCGACAACAGATTGCAGAAGAATGATTCAGATGCTGATGCCACTCGGCCCAGTGCCTAGCCCGAGCCACGAGATCTGGGCTACACGTGCCGAAAAGGCCAGGAGAAGATGGTGGAGAGGGCATGCAAAGGCGTGGCGTGGCGTGCGTCTACCAACCTTGGTCCTTGCTGCCACAGAAGAGGCCATATATCTTGGTAATGGTGGTGGGCACCAGGTACAGCGTCAGGAAGGAGAGGACGAAGAAGTACGAGGTGGAGCCACTCTCGTCATACTCGAATTGTCGCCCCATGGCAGCGGATGCGGATGCACACGCGCGCACACGGGTTCAAGCAGCCTCTCAAGAGAGAGAGAGAGAGAGCGACGACGTGGCGGCTTTGGATTCCACAGGTCGAAGAATATTAAGTATACCTCTCCAACCTTGATTAGAGCTTGGACGACGTTACCACCTGTAAACAGCTGACATGCTGACAATGTCGCGCTGGGTTCTTTTGTTCACCCTTGGAGCTGGTGGGCGCATGGATGAGACTGATGGATGATACGAGCAGACTGGGTGCGGTGCAATGGACGGTACCACCCTTTGGCTGGTGGTGGTCATGCGCGTGGCAGGTCGAGGTGCTGGTTTGGAGGGTGAGGCTTGATCAGACACCGTGAGAGCCTGCATTTTTACCGCCTGCGTCTTCCCCACCATGTCCACCACGGTTGCATCGACACCCTCGTTTGCCCGCTATGGGTTGTCGTCAGAACTGCAGCGCCTTGTCTTTCCCGGAAAAGAGTTGCAAGACTCGGACTGTTGCAAGCGCATAGCTGCGCCCTTGCCCTCGGAGCCACGTCTGCCCGAGCTTGTTGAAATCAATCCCAGCCGCCCAATTGCCACTTCGGGAGAGCCGGCGCCACCGGTGCTATTCCTATTTCATGATGCATTAGGCCATGCCCATCACTTTTTGCAGCTGCGCGGTCAGCTGGCCCAGCCATGTCAAGCCATCTTTGTTAGCCCGCAAACACCGGTCATCTCGCTCCAAGCTATGGCTGCCCATTACGCTGCACAAATTCAAGCTTTTCAATCTGCTGGACCCTATCTTCTCGGTGGTTTCTCACTGGGGGCGCGCCTGGCCTATCACACCGCGTGCGTGCTTCAGGAAGCTGGGGCTCAAATCTTGGGCCTCATCACGATTGATGATCCACCATTCTTTGATGCCTGCTATACCCGTGCCACCAAGCGCGAGCTAGCCGCTGCGTCCTTGCTCAGTCTTGTAAACCCGCGCAGCTCATCCTGGGACGCTGCAGTCCAACTCGTGGCCTCGGCGGAACCTGGTCAATCGTGGCTTGATGTGGCCCAGGCGCTACGAACACTGCTGCTGCAGTTTGATATCGATGCCTTGGCCGCTCCTGCCCGACCACTCGTGCGGCGAGCTGCGCGCCCGCGCAATGGTAGTGACTTATGTGAGGATCGCATGTCTCATGACCCCCTCCTCGATGCTTGCTGGATGGCCGTGGCCATGGCTCAGCCCACCTTTTTTTCTGATGGGCCGACTCAACCCCGGCTCTCCTGTCCCGGGGCAGTGGTCCGCAGTACGCCTGAACAACGTCAGCGCTTCCTCGATCTCATACCGCTGCCGCTAGCACCACTGCCCCCCGACCTTGGTCTATCCACGGTGCTTCAGCCACGATTCGATACGGCCCAGACTGTGGAAGTGTTTTATATTCCGGAAACCCATTTGCTGCTCTTTAGTGAGGCATCTGTCAAACGCGTGGCGCAAGCCTTGGACCAGGCCTGTTCTCATCTCCTTTCGCTGGCTCGCGATTAATTGAGAGAGTTGATGGTCGACGTCGTTGCCATTGATCTCGACTTTGTGCCATGCGTGCATCAATCGGTCATGATATCATACACATGTCACCGCCGCTCCTCCGGCTCGACCCTCAATAATCTGATGATTCGGACCACCTTGCCTTGACTCCTCTCCCTCCCCCCCCCCCCCCCAAAAAAAAAAATGGGTTTTGTTCCTCACACACTCTCTCCTCTCTCTTTCTCTCTCTTCTCGCTTTAAAATTCTCTCTCTCTCTTGTCGCTCTAAAATTCTCTCTCTCCACAAAATTTCTGACTCTCTCACATTTCCCTTGATCAGCTTCTTATGCATCATCATCCATTGGCAGTGGCAGCCTCGACCTTTGATCTCCTTCTGCCGGCTGTTCCCGCCAGCTTTCCCGCCAGCTTTCCCGATTGGCTTCCTTTTCTTCTTCTGCTGCTGCTGCTACTACTCGGTCGTTTAGTGAGACAAGTGCCTGGGAAGAGGGTACAAATCAGAGCGATGCTCACTTTGACATCTCGATGGCGTATCATCTCAGCCATCGGTTTGGGCGCGGTGGCCTGGCATAGTCAAAGTACCGGGGCTTTGGCTGAGGGCTGTCCACCAGCCTGCGTTATCGATGACCAGGGACGCACGTTGCGCCTCCGCCAACTTCAGGTGTGTCTTGCCCTGGCTGTCCTGATCCGTCGGTGCTCACGCGTGACGTCCGCGGTGGCCAGACTGCTCCTCTCATACCTGCTGTGGCATGACTTGCTTCAGGTGTTCTTTCGGCATGGCGCGCGCACACCCATCCACAGCGTTCCCGGTAACCAAAACCCATCAGCATCCTGGGATGTAAGTAATGCTTCTCATGCGGGCCTCGACAGCGCACAACATGCATGACCTCACCATGCGCTTCTCCCGTGCAGGCGGACATGTGCCAATCCTTGCCCGACCTTGAGCGGACCTTACGCATCACTGATGCCAACGGTGCGCCCCGTCCCACCAATCTGGCCAATGAGAAGCAGGTCTGCTGCATCGCTCTAGCTTGCCTATTCCTTGCTGGCTTTTGGCCCTCCTGCTCTCCATCGATCACCTGCAACCCCATGTCCACGGCTCCTTTGCACCAACTCTCATGCATGATCTTAACAGAAACTGAGCATGCTTCCCGGCGGCTGCCATCTTGGCTGTTTAACCAAAACGGGCCGTCAAGATGTCTTTGAGCTGGGCCGTCGCCTCCGCACGCGGTATATGGAGGAAATTGCTTTTTTGCCGGTCAGTCAACCAGGCTTTCAGAACCTGACTTCGTCCTGCCAGAGCTTGCCTTGTCTGCACGATTGTCTCATTTGCTCCATTATCCTGAACCCTTGTCTGACCGACCTTTCAGACGGACTACAACTCTGAACAAGTCACAGTGCGCTCCACCAATATCGAGCGCACCATCGAGTCGGCCCGCATGGTCGTCTCTGGCCTCTTCGGAACCATCGGTGAGGACCGTGCCACCATTGCCCGCCTGCGTCATCCCATGGTGGCCAGGTACCCATCACGGCCCCCGCCATGACCTTGATACAAACTTATGCCTGATCATGGCCCATGCGCGCTTGCCCAGGTCCCCACGTGCCACACACACACACACACACACACACACACACACACACACACACACACACACACACACACACGCACACACTGCGCCTCATGTCAACATGGCTATTTCTCGACTACGGTTGAACGCCGGGGCTAGGGCATATCATGCACGGAATGATCAAACTCAGAGCGAGTTTACGGCTCAAATGGCCCGCCTCCTTCGCGTCGGTGAAGAAGAAATTCACTATGTTGGCTTGCGCGACAACTTTGTGGCCCGACTTGCCCACAACAAGGTCTTTCCACTGCATGTTTCTCACCGCCAGCTTGTGCAGCGCAATGATCGGCTGCGTTCCCTGCCGGACTGTGCTGCCATGTTTCAGCCTCACCTGCGCCTGACTCTGCACTGACTTTAGAGCATTCCGCCGGGTATCACACGAACCATGATGCGGCGCATTGAAGGCTATGCCGTGCGCGATGTAGTGGCCTTGTTCCAGGATCGCCCGGAAGAAACCCTTCGCTTGACTTGCGGCCTTGTCATCAAGGTCAGACACTCGCCTTGACTACTCACACAGGTGGCTTTGCTTCATCTCCTTCAGCGCCAGATTGGATGCTGCATCGGTGTGACGCTTTCAACGCTCATTTTTCCACCATCGCCCTTCGACAGGACATTCTGAACAACATGCAGCACATGCAAGAGCATCCGCTGCAGTCGCCACCTCTGTTAGCGCCCTGTCCCCACACGCACCCACGCTGCGCGCTGTGTCCACGTCTCGCTTTGATTTTTCTATTTTCTTTTCTTTTTTTCACTGCCACTAATTCTCTCCCTTTCTCTGACTGGATCTTTTGTGCCTCCTTTGCGGCATGCTTAGTCGCTTGTACTCTGCACACGACACCACGTTGATGCCACTGCTGCTGGCATTTGGTGCCTTTGACGGCCATTGGCCTCCTTACGCCGCTGACATTACTCTTGAACTGTTCGAGGTGCGCCTCCTGTTCTTTGAGTTCCTCTGCAATTGGCTTGTTCTGGGCGAGCGTCACCAGCATCGCTCACACTCATTTCTCCTGTGTCGGAAAATGTAGGATCAACACCAGCACGGTGACTACTACGTTCGTGCTCTCTACTGCGGCGAGATCATCCGCATGCCTAATCAAGAAAGCGATTTTGTTCCCTACAAGGTACCTCGTCATGCCGTTCATGATGTTGTGAAATATGGCTGGGTTCGCTGATCGTTCGTGGGGTCCGGTGCTGGTATAGGTTTTCCATGCAGCGATGGACCGCCTGGTTCCCAAGAACCTAACCGCAGAATGCCGCCTACAGAACAACACTGGCGCCAACCTCGGTGATGGCGATGGATCCTCGTTTTGAACGGGATTTCCAAGTCCCCACCTCTGCCCCTGCCAGCAATCTCGCCTGTGCGCATCGTAAATCAATTATAAACCTTTTCCAATCCAAAATATGAGCTCCACAAAGCCTCGTGTGGCCTGTAGACGCTCGGACCACCAATTCAACGACCATGGGATCAAACACGGTGTCCATATCAGTGAAAGAGTCTTTCAGGCAGGCAACGTCCACGGCTGGCCTAGTCCCGCTTGGAGCTTTGCACAGACTCTTGTCCGATTTTGGTCGTGCAGATGAGCCAGACCATGGCACTCGTGGCCAAGGTGACTGCTAGTAAGAGCGTGGCCATCACCCACCCAGCATCCTCCTGGTTTCCGACTGGTACCTCGAGCTCCGCGGGGCAAGGACCTGAGGCCAAGCGCTGCGATTTGACGGTGCTGAGATTAAGAGCGCACGTGTGCGCACAAGCCGTCAGAGCCTCGTGCCAGCCAGTCGTTGCTACAAATGCTGACTGAATGCAAGGTGCCGCCACCTTGGCCCGGCCGGTAGCAAGAGTCGGTGCATGGTAGCGCAGGTGAAAGGGTATCTGTGCGCTTTCATGCCCACTGCAATGCAGATCATGAGAGTTTGTGTTTGGAAAAACAATCTCAGGCCAAGTGCGGGTGGAGCAGCACACTGCACCTCGTACCGCACGGAGACGTAAAGTAGATTTGCTTCCGTTTCTAGCCACGCAGGTCGCTCAGTGTCACTATAATTGGCCGTACGGACCTGCACAGACGGGCAGTCGGGCCAACCAAGCCCAATTCAATCCGTAGTTGTGAGAGTGATTGTGATCTGCGGGTCTTTCCATCATTTTGTGGTGGCAAGCGAGCTGCAAAGCGAGCTGGCAGCGGACCAGGAGTGAGGGGGTACTGATTTCTCGCAAAAGCTGGTCCGTGTCGAAGAACAAGCCCTCGGGTGCGCGCACGACCAAGCCCCAAGCAGATGGGATTTCATCGCCTGTCGCTGTCACTTGCAAAGTCCTGTCCAAGCGTCAGGTCAGCTCAATGCCGCCTGCATACAGAGGTCGACTGCGGACGAGGGCCAGCCGAGCACCTCACCGATGAAAGCCCGATGACTCGACGATCGTTTGTGTAACCAGCCCACCCATCGCTCCTGCTTCAGTCCCATCCTTGCCCGGCACCAATGCCGGAGCCAAGACGAGAACCAGCACCAGAACCCCCACAAGTCGGAACATGGCTGGGAGCTCACACCCAAACATTGAGTGGATGAACAATAAAACAGATCAAGCCAACAAGTCATGTGTTTCTTTTTTTTTTTTTTTTTTTTTTTTTTTAAAAGAGCGTCTAACTGAGTTGGACGTGGCCTGATTGGACTTTTTAGGAAAGGGGGAGGAGGGGGAGGGGGAGGGCGGCCAGCACGCCCTAAGCGATCCAAGGGATGGCGGAATTTTTAGCGTGTTGCTTTCAATTTTTTGCTTTTTGTTTGTGCTTTATGAGCATCCAAAACAGGCAGGGACATCTCTCGAGCTTGCCCGCACGATGCAAATGCGACGTCAGAGACCCATGAGAACAGTCAAAGTCCGACATGATGGGTAAAGAGCGTGCAGAGAAATGGGAGGGGGGAGCTTTGAAAGGAAAAGGGGGGGGGGACACTAGACAAAATTGGAGCTGGTTTACTCGGGCTTCCATGACTGAATCTTGGGCTTGACGGTGCTGTAGGCCACATAACGATCCTGGGGGATGAGAAAAGTGATATGGTTGGGCAGCGAAGAGACACACGAATGCCAACGTGGGTGAGTTTGGATGTGCCCCGTGTACGAGCACGCTTGAGAAACGGCTGCAAGGCTGCGCACGTACCGCCGAGTCGGTCAGGTTCTCCTCATGGTCCAGTTGCCATTTCTACCACATGAAAGGTGTGCAATGAGTTGTAATGAGCGCCTACATGCACTCATGACCTGATGGCATATCAAGTGGCGGAGCTGATGCAGTTGCCAATTTTACTCTCCCACACTCGCAAGCAATGGACAGATGACAAACCTGGCGAGGCTCAAAGGAGTCGGGAAGATCATCAGTCATGGCGTGAAGCCAACGATGCCACTCCGGGGGCACCTAACAGGCAGGCGGATGGTCAACAGCAAAGAGGTCAGATGGGCGCAAAAGGGTGGGGTGCGGCCCAAGAGGTAACCCCAGCCCTGGCATGAAAGAGGTGTAGGTACTGCAAATCACGGAGCACTTGTTGCCTGCGCGCCTGCGCTTCAAGTTTGTACCTGGGAGGCGTTGAAGTCCTCGCGAGCCATATCCACGCGACGGTGGTTGCCGAACATTTGCTCCTTATCCTCGTAATACTTGTTGCCGAACTTGTCCTGGCCGACGAGCACGCCCGTCATCAGCTTGCCCTCGCTGAATTGGTTCCACCAAGTAACCAGAGGCGTGAGTTACAGGAATTTTCGAAGGCAAACGCAATCACCAAGTCCGTCGGGCAGGGGCGGTCAGTGTACAGGGCATACCGGCAGATATCACGGAACACCTGCTTGGCGCCGACTTGCTGGATTTGCCGGATGACGGCACGCAGGTTGTTGGGGTTGGCCATGGCGATGCTTTTCAAGAGCGGAGGGCAAAAGAAACTGCATCGAAGGCAGGTGAAGGTGGTGCGAGCGCTGCCTGTTAAAGTTGAGAACATCTGTTGTTGACAATGTGCCGCTTTTGTTTTTCTTGTGTTTTTTGTTTTTTTTTTGAATTTTGTGTGGTAGGTTTGCATGTTCGGCAACCTTAAGGGTTACTGTCAGGTGGCGCGACACCAAACGGCTTCTTTGCCATACACTGACAACCCATGAACGCTCAGCGGTATTGAAAATGGGACGCCATGTATCATCTACTGTGCCGCCGTTACCTGCTTGATTTTCGAGTAGCCTCTGCACACAAGTTCGAGAAAGACGTTGGAGGGTTGATGAGAGAATCTTACAGTACGACTTGCCCCTCCCCCATCTTTGCTCATCGAACTAGTACGTACTCGGGGGACTTGAAAACGCGATAGTAGGTCTTGGCCTGGCCATATTGGTGCAGTTGCTCGAGAAACTGCTCGTCGTGCGTAATAATCAACAGCTGAAAATTGCGCTGCTGAGAGCGATGCTTGACAATGCTGTCCCCAGTTTCAGCAGGTCCAGCAGTTCCAGCATTGAAGACAGTTGCATGACATTGATGAGCATCAATATCAAAGAAGATGGGGCCCGAGGCGTCTTTCTTCAGGCACGGTCCGAGCGCACATACTTGGAAAGGCAAAATGCAAGACTATTAATGTTCTCACGATCCAAATTCGTGGTCGGCTCGTCCAACGTCATCACGCCGCAATTGATGCAAAAAGCCTCGGCCAGCGCCAGGCGAATGATCAGCGACGCCATCACGCGCTGCCCTGCACTGCAGCGATTGCGCATGTCCAGTCGAGTGTCGCCCTTGATCATAACAACCTAATACATTACATCAAACCATGAGCACTCGCCAGCGAAGAAAGGAAGCCGCATTTGCGTCTAGTCAAGACGGTCAGCCGCTGCACAAATCACGCACCCGATAGTTGACGGCATTGCGTTTGGAGGTGGTGGACGTCTCATCACCCCAGTTGGTGTCAATCTCAATGTAGTCAATGTCTACGCAAAGACCGGGACAATGAGGACATGGCAACAATATATCCTTGACACGCATAGGCGTCGCACACGTATTCACATCCCGTCGGGATGTGCTTGGTGTGCTCAGCAAAGCAACACACCATGCCCCCGGTACGTGTTCTGCCACAGCTCCTTGATGATCTTGTTAATCTCGTCCATCTTCAAGTCGTGATACTTTGTAATGGCCCTGCGCATGCTCAATTTAGCATATCGACCGAACGGCTTCCGGGCCAAGGTGTGCAAATGACGCACCGATCAAGAGCACGATGGAAGCTCTGAAGATCCGAAATGGCCTGCTTGCGGGCCTCGCTCTCGACCACCTTCTTCTCATACTGCGCCGCCACTCCGCGAAAGCGTGTCGCAAGGATCACCTCCAATTCCTGTTGCACATCAGGAAAAAAAGGGGAAAGGGGACTCGTGAGCAGGAACGAGGCATGTTAACACACAGCAATAAAGATGATAGGCACCACTGATGTGCCACGTATGCAGTGAGGGCATCGCTGTCCGTTTCTGATTGGGCCAAGCAGAAATCCACAATCTACCTGAGCCTGGTTCTCCAGTGTTTCACTGCGCCCGGTAAGAGTGTCCCGCTGCCGTGTTAGTTGCGCTCGCTGTTCCTCCAACTCATCCAAATTGATGCCGTCCGCAAGTTGGTCTGCCAAATCTGAAAATATACACACACAGGCATGGATCAGTCGATTTTGCCATTCTACGAGCCAGGCTCGTATGGGCAGGCATGATTCTCAGTCGCAGCACGACGAAACTGCCTGCCCTTGCCCCAGACCAACCATGCATTTGCTGTTCCAGCTCTTGAAGTTCTGTGGCAAGCTGCTGCACCCGTGACGCATTGTCACGATACTCGAGCTGCTGTTGAATGGCCGTCCTGAAGCTTTCACCGTGACTGCTCTGCTGCTTAAGTTCTTGGATTTGGGCCTCCAGCGACCGTGCTTGCTCGCTTTGCTCGGCTTGCTCCAACTGCAAGGCCCGCAGGCTTTCTTCATGCTGCTGCAGTGATGAGTCCCCGCCCTCTCGCTGATATCTATCGACCGACACGGGCATCTCAGCTCTGGTCGCAGACCACATTTCACGACTTGGCAAGATGAAAAAATTGCAAACGGATGGTTGACGCACTGATCCAAATCAGCCTGTAAATGTTGAAGACGCGCATGGGCACTTTGTTGCCGCTGAAGAGTAGCTTGAAGTTGATCCATTTTCTGCAACAAAAGCAAACCCCCAAAAGAAATGAAAACAAAGTCGAGAGGGCTGAGCACGACAGAAGGAGCAACATGCCAAAAAAAAAAAAAAATGGCCTGCACGACATCGCACCGTCTTGACGGCGTCACGCTCTCGTTTTCTCTCTGTGTCCAGCTCCTGGAGCAAGGTAGCACACTCGTGCTCTTTGCCCTGCTGATCCTGCAGCGCAAGACCGGGCCACCCAGACAGCCAAGGCATGAGTTCTTCGGCTACGACGATGAGCAGTCACGTTTAAACACTTTGTTGCTTCCTCACACTCAGCTGCTTCTTGAGGTTGGCTTCCTTGGCTTGCAGATCATCGAGCTCTGCCTCAACAGCCCTGTCAAGGATCGCCGCATGAGGACAAAGCCGGATTCAGAGAGTGGTAGGGTATGATCAGAAAACATAAGAAAGTGGCTGACGGGCACACAACACGGACTTGGCCTGGGAAACCTGTGTCTGATGGTTCTGTAGCTGAGTTTGGAGACGCAACAGGTCCTCTTGAATGCCCTGCAATTCACGTTGGTGTTTGGTTGCTTCGCTCTGAACTTGCATCAGTTTGTCATTGGCCAGATCCCTAAAGGTTTTCGCCGAGTCGGCATCAATGCTGCAGCTGCATCTGTCGCTCAACAGGCAAACAAACATTCAAGGCAATACGCACTTTTGCTGTTGCACTTTAGAGATGGCCGCCTCAAGCTCCTGCAAAGTGATGCTCACATCGGGCTTTGTTGCAGCCAAACTAGACGCCGAATGCCGTTGCTCCTTAACGCGTTGTCGATGGAACTCGATTGTTCGCACCACCGATGCTGTTTCGCGGAATTTCTCTAAGCGCTGCTTGCTGGCATCGACGCTATCCTTGCACTGCGCAATTTTGTACGGAAATCAACAAGAGAATGAGTGAGGCCCAACGCACGGTGGCGCTTTCAAAGATTCGGCATGCTTGACCGAGGCGCATGCGGCCCATTTTCCCTTGTGTGGGCCTCGCCAGATGAATAAAGAACGGAAGAAAACCGTGGAAATAGAAAAGAACCAAGGAAAAAAAGGGGGGGAGGGAGAGAAGAAGGAGAAAAGGGCTGCCAAAAGAAGAAGAAAAAGGCTGCCAACCTCGCGCAGGCGCTTCTCAAGGTCCGATTGTGAGGCCTCCAAATCTTGCGCCAGAGCCCCGGCCTCGTCAAGTTTCTGAGCCTTCTCCTCGGCCTCACCTTGCATTTTCAATGCTTGGTCCAGTCTAAGGCGAACGCTCCCTCACACGTGACATACAATCGCAGTGGCCGTGCACGAAAAGGAGGCGCTAAGGCAGAGGGTTTTACCGCTCAATCAGGCCCTGCTTTTCGCGCTTCTCCGTTTCAAAGGTGCGGTTTCCTGCAGCAAGTTTTTGCCGCTCCACCTGCCACCGCGAGCCCGCCAAACCAGCGACACGGCAGAACAGGACCAATCAGAAGAACGACACAGAGACCGGTGTCGTGTGCTACCGGATGCACCGTGGCCGACAGATTAGGATTTGCAAGGCTCGTACAAAGGCAAGAAAGAGGTTGTATTCCTCAGCTGTTTCAAAACCACGGTTACAAAGCTGGCAACTCTTGCGCTCACAGGGTGGCTTGGCGAGCTCATCCTCACGCCGAGCCAAGACACGGTCAAATAACCGAATCAGTGCGGGCAAGGCATCCGCATTTCTACATTGACACAAGATCATGAGAATGAGCAAGGGGCAGTGTGACAAGGAAGGAGAGGGGCACGCGCCCACATGCAGTAAAAGTGACGCCAGAGCGCGAGCGTAGATCCATGCAACGACACCAAAAGCGGCAGTCAAGACAAAGGGGGGTGCGCGCGCGGTAGAGAATCATGTGAAGAAATTCAAAAAGCGTCTGTGTGAGTGTTGAACACTTTGTTGGGTGCACAAGCGCAAGCTTACTCGAGGACGCCTCGATATTGACGCTCGGCCATGGCAAGCGCTTTGCCAAGATCCTGTCCGTGGTCCCGCTGCACGGCTGCGACTTGATCCTGAAGTTCTATGTGAGGAAGGCAGGCGCAACCGTCCATGGGCGGCTTTGAGTCTGTGTGGTGGCAGTCTAGCCGGATGTCTGAAAGAGACCTCACCAACCTTGGCAGTCCTTTTCGAGTTGAATCTCGTCACTGCGCGCCTTGTCCAGTTTCTCAAGCAACACAGCCAATTCAGCCTGCACGCTCTGCAGCTGCTGCTCATGCTGTTCGCGCTCTTGCTCCAGCCGACTACCACGCACGCCAGTTCAAGGACATGCATCAATATCCAGACGGGGCGCGGGGCGCGAATATCTGCATCATCTTTTTCCATGCTCTCACAACCAGCATTCCTTTTTTTTTTTTTTTTTTTTTGGGGGGGGGGGTTGTTCAAAGCATAACATGGATGGCACCTGCGTTGCGAGTCCAGCTCAAAGACAAACTCGGGTGCCTGTGCTGTGGCCAGGTCAACATTGAGCACGCCACAGATGTCCGTGCCATGTTGCTCCCAGCTATGGACGTCGTGTACCATCGCCGTCATGAAGTCAAAGCCACCGTCAGTTGCCAGCTCCTCACGCTTCGAGGACATGCTGCACAGAGTCGCTGTCAGACGATTAGGTTCCAAGTGACGTACATGGCTTGCAAATGACGTTCCTCCTCAGCTTGGCGAGCATGGCACTCGCTAATGCTCTGCGTAATGGCAGCCACTCGCTTGGCTTTTGGAATTTGCTCCCTAAGCAGGCGCATGACCATGTCAATTCTGTGAGAAAAGCCGTTTAGGGCGATGGCGGCGTTTTGCTGAAGAAGGGCTGCACGCACTGCAGCAGTCGAAGCTCATCGGCCACGCGTTGGACGGATTTGGCCGCTTCGGTTTCGGCGCCCTGAGACTGAGCAATGCGCGCGCGCAAAGCATCGCGCTCATCCTCCTACATGACCGAGCAGTCAAGAGGAGGAACCGGTCATTGAAGGAGAGCGCAACGCACGAGACACTCCAGTGAGAAGCTGGAAGACGAGGAGCATGCACCGTTCCAGGCAATCAGAACGCGGTCGTGTCGAAGGTGAGGCAAACCGACCCGGGATACAATGTTCTGTCGAAGATTCTCAAGCAGACTCTCGGCGGGCAGAGCAATGGCGTCAAGTCGGAGGCGTAGCTCGTTGCTCCGCTGACGTGCTTCTTTCTACAATTGACACAAGAGTGTGATGCAAGAGCCCCCGCTGCGGCGCTGGAATCAGCAAGTGCAAATTATACCTGACGATCGGCGTTTGCCTTGCGTTCACTCATGAGAGCAGCCTGTTTTCGATTGGCACTGTCATATTGCTGCTCAATCTTCTCAAGGCGCAGACGACCTGCCGTCTGAAAATGAGACGTGATTTGTCGTGAATCAAAACCTCAAGACTCAGGCGACAGAACAGCACTGGCTCGCACGGACAAGACAGCAAGCCCAAGGCCACCGCCATGAGCTCTTGTGAGGACGACAGATTGTGTTGTGTACCTGGGCCTCGCTCATGGCAGCTCGCGTGGCATTGATTTCTTGCTTCAAATGCTCAAAAAACTTGTCAGGGGACATCTCTATAGTGGATGAAGAAGGAATGAAAGGCAGAGATCAGCGTAGAAGCGCAACAGTCGGGTGATGTGGTCAAAAGGAGGCGAGCGGGTGAGCGCCAATTTTGGCATGGGTCAATCACGGCAACAAGGCGACGCACTTGGGGCTTGCGTTGCTGCGGCCAGCTCTTGGACGGTCTCGTCGCGAGTTTTACGCGTCAGAGCCATGCGCTGCCAAGCAAGGACGCGGGATACGTGCAATTTTTTGAAGAACAAGCGTGGTGCAGCATGTTGAAGGCAAGACGAGGAGAGGGGGGTCTGGGCAAGTATGCCCCCGTTCAGACAGATCCCGGACATACTTGGGCACGCTCACGAAGAGCGCCGACTTTGGCCTGGGTGCTGGAAACTTTGCGTTCGTTGCGTTGGCGTGAGGCTGTGATTTGCTGAAGATGTCCAGTCAGCTAGGGTGGCATAAAGCGCAAACGGCAACCAACGGGCAGATCATCGGGTGTGTTTGATTAGTAGGTGTATCGAACCAGCTGGGTCACTAGCCCATACAAGCGGTTTGACGCGCTCGATAGCCATGCAATTCAGCTCAGGCGAAAGCTCTGTCCAGCAGGAAGAGGTATGGCTCACCTTGCGCTGCTCGTCCTCCTGCTCCTCTAAGTCGCTCTGAAAGCGGGAAAGCTTGCTGCGAAGTTCTTCGTCGGTTTCTGACGGTTTGCGCGACAATATTCAGAAGATCGCATGTCGCTGCCAGTCAGAGCAGCACCATCAAAAGCTCACAGACCTGGCATTTCCTCGCGAAATTGCCGCCGAAGAGCGGTGGTGCGCTTCTCAAGCTCCGCCTTGAGGCTTTTCTTTGTGGCTGAGGGGGCAGTGGAACGGAGGGGCAAAGGGGGACAGCAAAACGGCCTAGTAAGCCCAAGGGCCTTATGATCAAACCGGGGCACATGCATCGCAAAACGCACCCATCTCGACTTGCACGTGACGAATGTCCTCCTCTTGCTCGCTGTAGGCGGTTAGTGCATTCACGACTGGTTCAAGCTGGCGCTCAACATCAGCCATGGTGGTGGCCACGGTTTGCAGCTCCTCCTGAACCTTGATGAGTTGTTTCTCAGTGTTCTCAGCATCGGCCTTGCGCTCTTTGAGCCCCCCCCCCCCCCCCCCCCCCCCCCCCCCTCCTCCGCAAAAGATCCTGCCCCTGTCCCGTTTGCCCCTGTCCCGTTCGAGGAAGAGGAAAAGGAATGGGTTGGGTGTTGCGAGCGCGGGGCGGACGGACCGCACGGCGGAGAAGATGGCGTCAAATTTTTCCTTGAGCTTCTTGCCCTCCAAAAACGGCCAATTGGAATCATCTTGATGACAAAAAATCACGTTGGACAAAATGGCCTTGGACACGCCCAGCTTGGTAATCATCTGCCACATTGCGCAGGACGCGCAGGAAGCAACGGTGATCAACTCGACCTGGGGCACCAAGCAAGAGCAGGGTTGCAAGCAAGCGGAGAGCCAGAATGGAAGGGTTTGCAGTCCCGTCCAGAGGCCGACGTACAAAGACATCAAGGTCCGTACAGCGATGCGAGGCCGATTGCACCTACACGTAATCAACACAACAGCAAATTGATTCTGGGGCGGGGCAGAGAGAGCATCGGCCGATAAACGGTACAGCTACGGCATGCCAAACCTGGCCGGTTTCGTCACTATATTTGACGGTGCCCTCGATGCTGCGGGTGGTGGGTACGCTGGCATTGGCCTTTTGCTGGGCGGTGAGCTGTCGGGTGCAAACCATTTGCTGACCATCGGTGGTGGTGAAGCTGAGTTTGATGCGGGCATCGACAGAGGGTCGGTCTGCAATCTACGCGGCAGGTGACAAAACAGCGGATAAGGTGACTGGACCATTGCGACAGCCGAGACCGGGACGGTGCTGAGCGCCGCGGCGTGTATCTTGGACACGTACTCGGGGATCATGGACAAAGCATTTGCCGCTGGGGTACTCGCCCGTGGTGATGAAACGCAGAGCTTCGACAATGGTCTGGAGTGTATTTTTGCGTCGTGGGCATCATGGGCGTAACATGTACATGAGAGAACAAGAGCAAGCAAGTCGTTGGAGCGCAAACGGCCGATGCAGGTCTCACCGTCTTGCCCGAGCCATTCTCGCCCACCACCACTGTGATTGGAAAGAACTCGAGCACTTCGTGCTGATCTGGGCTGAAGGATCGAATGCCCTGTATCAAGAGCTTGTTGACCTTGGCCATGATGCTGCGACCTCAAGCCTCGGCTCAGCCAAGACGAGGCTGGTTGCAAATTCGGCTTCCGGCGCAAGGAAAAGACATGCATGAGCTGTGCGAGCAAATGTCACCTCTGAGAGAGAGAGAGTGTGTGTGTGTGTGTGTGTGTGTGTGCTTTTGGCGGGAAGGAATTGTCGACGGTTTCGGGCGTGCGGATCCGAGCCGTTGTGCCCGAAAACATCTGACATCCAGACGATCTGACAAAAAAAGCAACGGTCACTCGCCTCACAATAATGGGCTTACATGTGCCTCACATACGACAACCGAAGACACGGCAAGGCACGGCAAGGCAAGATGGCGAAAAGATCTGACAATTATTGTCCACCACGTTGATGGATGATCCATGTGGTTTGTGGTGTGTGTGGTGTGCGCTTATCAACAAATAACAAGTGAAACAAAAGAACTTTCTGCACGTGGCAGTTACACACGACTGGCGCCAGTCTTACCTCTCCTGTGATAAATTTCGTTGTTCTCGTTGATTTCGTTGTTGTCATTTCATGTTGTTGTTGATGTTGTTGATGTTGTCGTTTGATGTTGTTGTCGAAGGATATTTCTTCCTGTTGGCGCTCAGCTCTTTACACACACACACACACAACTCGGGGTCGAGTGCGCGTGGTGGTGGTGGTGCTGCTGCTGCCTGCTGCTGAACCATTTGGGGTTTGCTGCGTGGTGTTTGCACATTGGTTTGCTGGTGGGGGACAACGGGCACAGCTCGCCTCACGCATCGCTTGGGGCTGGGGCGAGGATGCACCACATGAGATTGGTCTCGCACTTTTTCCTATCTCAACCTCGTGCTTCATACACTTCGTTGCCACCCTGCGCATTTGGACGAGCTTGTGGGCTTTAGAGCTCCTGACACTTTTGGTTCGGCGCTGGCCGTGCCTCTTACACCTCTACCATGGCTGAACAAGGCATGTTCGCCATTGAGGTCGATGATGTCGAGCACGAGGCCGGCTTTGATGCGCATGAAGAGGTGCGGGCCCAAACATCATGAATTCGCAACCCACCCGCCCCCTTCTGGGCTTTTTTTTTTTTTTTTTTTTTGCGCGCGCGCATGAACTGATTGGTGCGCTCTCGCTTGACCGCTGCACAGGAGGATGGGGATGGCCTTCGCCCCGACCTGTCCGAAGCCAACGCTGCAGGGTTTGTTGTCTTTGCGCTGCCTTTTGCCTCGCGCCTGCCACGGGGCCCCACCATCCTGTCAGCTGGGTGTCTCGTCCATACACTTACCTCAACTTCTTATTCTTGGCTTCACTAGCACCGGCGAGGAAACTTTGGCCGTGTCGGTGGTGGAGGCCATGGCCCAGAGCTATCGCGATGATCCCTCAGCTCTGGCAATCTCCCGCCGCGTGTCCGTCGAAGACTTTGAACTACTCAAAGTCATTGGCCAGGGTGGCTTTGGCAAGGTCTGTCCTCTGTCCTGCGTGCCACTTGGCCGAGGTTGCCGTGCCAAGCCCATGCCCTTTTCCCTGACCATACCCCGTTGCCTTCCCGTCTTCACTCTCTGCCAGGTCTTTCAAGTGCGCAAGCGCAGTGGCAAAGGCAAAGCCGAAATCTTTGCCATGAAGGTCCTCAAGAAGGTTTGTTGGCCAAGCGCAACCTGAGTGGCTCCACGTGTGGGGCCCCCACCTCCTCCGTGCCGCACCTTTTTGAGGGGCTAGTAGTGGGCTAGACGGCGGTTCTTGTCAGGCACTGACTCTCGGGTGCTTCTTGCCTTGCCTCCCATCAGGCCACCATTGTTCGCAGCACCAAGGACATTACCCACACTCGTGCCGAGCGTAACATCCTCCAGCTGGTCCGATCACCATTCATCGTGGACCTCAAGTACGCCTTTCAAACCAATGGCAAGCTCTACCTCATCATGGACTACCTCAGTGGTACGTTGGTCCACGCTTCCTTGCCCTCTTCCCAATACCCGCCAGGCGTCATGTTCTGGACATGTTCTGGTTCCGTGCTTCTTCAGGTGGCGAGCTCTTTACCTACCTCGACAAAGAGGGCATGTTTCTGGAAAAACAGGCGCGGTGTGTACAGAGCTCGGACCTTATCTCATTCATCGCCGGTGTAGCATACCTCTCACGAAAACCCCTTGCCTTAGTTTCTACGCCGCTGAGCTGGTTTTGGCCATTGAGCACCTGCATGGCCTTGGCATTATCTACCGGTATGCTACTTCTTCACCTCTAGCTGTTACTCACCTGTGACACATCCATGAACCAGCCCCCATGGCCCGCATGCATGAGCTGACCTGACCCTGTGCATGTGCGACGCCTGCCAATGCCACGACTAACAGCGACCTCAAGCCTGAGAACATCATGCTGGACTCCTCGGGCCACGTGGTGCTCACAGACTTTGGCCTCTGCAAGGAAAAGGTCGAGGACGATAGCACGCGAGCCATGACTTTTGCTGGCACCATCGACTACATGTAGGCTGCCGCACCACCCCCAACTGTGCCAAATTCTGCATCTCGTGTGCCACACCTCTAACAAATTATTTTTTTTTTTTTTTTTTTGCTTCCTTTTTCCAACCCCTCAGGGCCCCGGAGATTATTAGTCGTGAAGGACACAACAAGGCTGTCGATTGGTGGTCCCTTGGAGCGCTGACCTTTGACATGCTCACCGGACAGCCTCCGTTCTCAGCTGGAAACCGCAAGAAAACTATGGATCGCGTACGTCACTCAGAGCCAGTGCATGCAGCGCTGCTGTAGCTGCCCTTGAGCCAGACCAATTATTCATCCAACGCGGGCATTTTTGCCTCACATTTGTAGATCTTGCGTGCCAAGCCCAACTTCCCCCCCTTTATCACGCCTTACGCCAAGGTCAGTCGAACTTGCTCAACGCCTTGATACTGCTCGATGAATGAAGACAAGATCATGGTGTAAACTGTCGGTCAATCCACGACACCGGCGCAATTGTTCACACTCCCAGCTTTTTTTTTTTTTTTTCTTGATCTCAGGATATTTTGCGCAAGCTACTCAAGCGCAAGCCATCTGAACGATTGTCCTCTGCCGCTGAGATCAAGGTGCGTTTTTCTTCATTGAAATGATCTTCTCATTGCGTCCCTTGTTCGGCGGCTGGCCTGTGTGTGCTCTGATCACTTCTCGCTCTGCGCAACAGGCCCATCGCTTTTTCCGGGACGTCGACTGGCAAGTGGCCCTGGATCGTCGGTTGGAACCACCTTTTATTCCTTCAGTGGTGAGAAGCGTGTCCCCTCTCTGTCAGATCAACCCATCCCCCGTGTCCTCACGGCCCTCGGGCATGCAATTAGAACACGGCCTTGGACACGAGCAACTTTGATCCACAGTTTACCGATCTGCCACCTTCGGACTCGCCGGTTGATCCGCTGACGCCCAGCGCCGCCAATCTCTTTGAAGGCTTTACCTACGGTACGACCGATACTCGCAACACTCCGGCATGTTCACGCTGGGTCACACCTTATCGTGCTAGTTGCTCAACTCTTGCGACTGCGCCTTGCTTGCCCTTGTTTGACATGCAAAAATCAGTGCCCAGCGTGGAAGACCGCTTGTCCTCGCGCTCCCCGGCGCGCCGTGAGCAGGCCATCCATGCCAAGTTTGCACAAACTCCACCCGGGCTCGGCAATCGCGCTGGTACCCACGTCGTGCCCCCGGTGGATCAGTCGGTGCGAGATATCCCCGCGGCCGTGGCAGGAGCGGGTGCCTCTTTTCATGTCGGTGCCAGTGACGACGAGGAAGAACGCGCGCAGCTAGAGGAGCAAAGCGACAATCTGGGCACCATGATGTCGGCCCTCAATGTTGGCTTTAGCGGGATCGCCGCTGCCCGTCTGGGCAAGGATGGTTCGGACTTGCGGGCGCCGGCCAATAGCTTGGAGCCCAACAGCCTGCGCCGTGCCACCAACATGGATGCGAACGTTACCATCAATGGCAGCGATGGCTTGCCCAGCAACGACCCCAGTCGCGACACTACCCCAGCGCACAGCTCCAAGCCCAGCACTTCCAACCTCTTGGCCGCGGCCGCGGCCGCAGAGTCGCCGACTAAGCCCACTGTAACCAGCGACAGTCACTCGAGCAATGGCAGTCATGGTACCGGATCCCAGTCCAAGCCCGTTATTCGCGAAGCTGACGTGCTGGAGAACTTTGATCCGTTGGCTGATGGAGATGAAGACGGCGATGAATCTGGCGGTGCTTTTGGACAAGATGACGCGAACAGCCGTGCCCGGCTTGGCTCCGCATCGCGCAATCAGGCCAACGCCGCCCTTCGGGCGCGCATGGGACGCATGAGTCCGCGCCACAGTAGTGGGGGTAGTCGTCGGGCGATGCCATTCGAGCATGTTACTGATGCTGCGTTTGGCACAGGCCGGGATTACATGGGCTCCGAGTTTGGTCTTGCTGGCAGCTACGAGGATACCGCTGAATGGTCTAAAGTCGCGCTGGGCGCGGCGTCAGCCTCCCCTGCCCGCCCAACGCGCCAGCTACCAACAGCCTCGGTCCGAGGGCGCTCGGGCAAGGCCGGTCGCCGATAGCCGACCGAGTGGTCTCATCTCTGCTCGTGCCGATGGCACACTAGGATTACGTATGGGCTTGCTTTGTTTGTTTTTGGAGTTGCCAGTGCCCCGTTAGCGTCGACTGCGTGCTTGCTGAATTGTGCCGTGGTGTTTCAGTGGCTCTTTGTCCCCCATTCGTTGTACTTGGTTTGTTCCAGGTCACCGGCACTTTTGTCGTCGTTCGTTCTTGGTGGTCAGCTGCTTCAACCCGCGTTTTTTGTTTGCCATGATGGTGGCTTGGGTGACCTTGCTTCTTTGTGTTGTGTTGTGTTTTGGTGAATAACATCACCAGTTACGTGGCCAAGGGTGAGATCTCCGTGGAGCGGCTTCTTGGCGCGTGCATGCAGACGAGAGCGCCAAGCTCATGTCTGTGCATTCCTACAGATCTTGACAATCGATTTTTTTTAACCGAACGTTAACTGTGTACAGCAAAGGGTGTACATGCCATGTTCTAAAATTCATCAACTGCACGAGGGGTGGTGGGTGCCTGGGAGATGGTGCTGCGCGGACTCAGCCAGAAGAGCTGTATTTTCTCTGCGTGCTTGGTGTCTGGATGCCATTTGTCGCGCGGAATATTTGACCTGAGTGCAAGCGCACGCAAATGTGAGGCGACTGACTTGGCGACCCAGAGCAAAACAACTCCGGACAGTTGCTGCATACAAAGCACAAGCACGGACCGAACAAAAGTCGCATCCAGCCCCGCAAAGAGTTCATCGTCGGCCTGGCGGCTGCGTGATTGGTATGCAAAGAGAACGTGGGCGCCATGTTGGGCCAGCTGACGGAGTGTGTGGATAAGAGGTTCGATGAGGTGGGTGACCCACACGACGTCTGCGGCCAGGACGACATCGTACGCCTGCGTAGGTAGCAGGGCAAGGTCGCGATCTGCGTGGGTCCAGTCGAGGGCATGCACATCCACCACGGAGGTGATACCAGTGGTGAGGCGGACGCCATCGCGCAGCGAGGGCAGGGCCTCGGGCATATCAGTTAGCACGACCAGTGCTGGCTCGCGCAAACTCAGAGCCGCCGCCAAACCCACGAGGCCCCGCCCTGCACCAACTTCCAGCACCGATAAGCGAGGCTTGGCCAGTCGTGGGTCGGCGCCGCGCGCGGCATGCTCGAGGTAGCGGGCTGCAACGATGGAGCAGTCCCAGACCGAGCCCGCTGTCCGCACTTCGTGGACATTGCTGCCAATGACCAGATTGCTCAGCAGCACCCGACGTCCATTGATCATGAAAGGCGGGTCCTTTGCTGCCGCGGCTGCTGCCCCACCAACTGGGTCCGCAACAAACGCATAGCGGGGGAAAGCCGGACCGGGCAAAGCCAGCACCGGCTCCTGGTCTGTCTCGGGACTGTCAGCGGATTCGGCCATGCTCAAAGTTGTCGTTGCTGCCAGCACCAGGCAGAGCGCGCTCACCAAACGCACCACGCCACGGCCTCTCGCCGGCCAAGTAATGCACGCCTTGCTCCCTACCACAAAGCTAGCTCGACAACCCCGGCACTGCCACCACCCCATTGCCGCCTCTCGTCTCGGTAACGCCCGCTGTCTGAAGAGATTCAAATTAGCCAGTGAGTCACCCCCTTACCTTTCTCTCTCTCTCTCTCTCTCTCTCTTTCTCAACCGACCAGAGCAATTCATTTCTCTCTCTCTCTCTCTCTCTCTCTCTCTCTCTCTCTCTCTCTCTCTCTCTCTCTCTCTCTCTCTCTCTCTCTCTCTCTCTCTCTCTCTCTCTCTCTCTCTCTCTCTCTCTCTCTCTCTCTCTCTCTCTCTCTCTCTCTCTCTCTCTCTGAATCAATTGTCAGCACGTCGACCCCAGGGTTGCATAACACGACGACAAGAGGGTCATCTTGAGATCGGCTTCATCCAAGGGGTGGGGTCGGCGAGGGAGGGGGAGACACTGGTTGAGGAGGGGGAGGGGACGCATTTTCCTGATCCGGTTTTGGTCAAACTAGTGTGGCTTTAGACTGGCTGGCTTCGTCCGAACGTCCTATTATTTTCTGCTTGCGCGATCGTTCTGATGGCGGATCAACTCGTCAAATTTCCTCGCACCAAGCATCTCTTTGATGCCGGCGGTGGCGCTGTGAGCCGTGATGACCTATTGTTTCTCCCACAAGATGTTGAGACCATCTTCTACAACCCTGATCGGCCTCTCGTGGTCCAGGAAAAAGTTGATGGCGCTAATCTGGGCTTCTCCCTTGCCCCTGACGGTTGGTGCTAAAGGACCGCTTCATTCGCACGAACCGTGTCGCTCCATGAGCATTCTGCGCAACCCTCATGCACACGACCCTTTCTGGTCTGCCCGCTTCATTGACATGCGTCTTACCCGTGTTAGGTCGGGTGCTGGCACAGAATCGATCCCACTATGTCAACAGCAGCACCCACGCCCAATTCAAAACGCTGGATGCTTGGATTTCAGCGCACATTGAAGACCTGTACGCTGTTTTGGCCCCGCCCACGGGCGAGCGTCGGGTTTTGTACGGCGAGTACGTGCCAGTCAACTTTTCTTCAGACTCTTTGACGTCGATGTGTGACCCAAAGGGAGATGGGAGTTCCTCGCCCACCCGCTCACAACATGATGTTGCTGCACACGTGCGCCCATGTCCTCGTCGCACAGGTGGCTTTATCTGCGCCACACCGTTGCCTACGATCGCCTTCCAGACGTCTTCCTGGCCTTTGACCTGCTTGATTTGCATACTGCACGCTTCCTGAGTCATGAGCGCTTTCAAGCTGCTCTTGCCGATACATCTCTGCATACCGTGCCCGTCCTTTATCAGGTTTGGTCGAGCCCTGCGCCCCTCCCCGTTTTCAGTGCTTCTTCGGCCGAGGGCGTCGTTTTCACTGGCACCCATGACTTTAGGGACGGGTGGCCGGAGAAGAGGCCGTGCGCGCTCTCTTGGACCACCAATCACACTTCTCCCCGCACAAAGTCGAAGGTCTCTACTTTCGTTCTGAACAGGTGTGGTTCTCTGCCTTGGACCTCGTTTCAAAATGATTGCTTGCCCCACTCCAGTCAAAGAGAAAAAAATCTCGCATTCGCCCCTGCAGTTCCCCCTTCTTTGACCGGGACTTGTGACGCACGGCGCTAGGACGGATGGCTCCTACATCGGGGCAAGGTTGTTCGCCCTGATTTTGTACAGGCGCTTGGTAAGCGCTGGGAGGCCAAGGGCATTGTGCGCAATGGTGTGTGCGCCTTCTGGTGATTGCCTGAAAGATACAACTGAACACTCAAACCTGGCTTCCGAAGATCAGGTGTTTAACCAGACCTATAAGATTAAGATGCTTACAGCCCATGAGAACATGGTGAGGGTTAACCTGCTGTGCAGGTGATCATCAGGATCCACGTTGAACCATCCGCATTTTGATGGCGAATCGATTTTCAAGTCATTCCCCAACCCCGGCTGCCTCTCATTCACGCACACTCGCCCTCCTCAACCAACACCATCATGACCCACTACACGCGACTCAACCATGTACGCCATAAATGAGAGAGAGAGACGCACACACACCCATCCTTTTGGCTGACTATTTTTTCACCTTGGAAATGTCAGAAAACTGAAGATGCTCAGTTTCCACACACACACATCACAGAGGCAGTGGCACATCACACAGCAGCTACAGGGGCAGCAGTGGCGACGGTGCTCGCGGTGCTGGCGGTAGTGGTGCCTTGGGGCCTTTTGGCTGTGGTTGATTGATAGCGGCAACGACAAGCAGCCTGTATCTTGCGGCTGCGTGCACCAACAAAGAACATGGCCACTCACGAGCCTTTGCCCCCACCGCATCATTACGACTACGGCGAAGATGACGTGGTTCGGGCGCTGCCCGCCAACCTCTTTCAGAACATTGGTGCAGAGAGCAGGTACGGCCATTCATCCAGCCCGCGTTTGCATTGCGACTCATTGAATAACCCTTGAGAGTCATGTTTGCACCCTCACTCCTGCGAACGCGCGCAGTTTGCCATGGAGCGGAAGCCAACTTTTGATAGCCGAGGGACCAGTCGCTTCATTGGCCGCCATCTGCAGTCTGGGACTGGATGAAGAGGCTAGCCCTGTCCAGTTCAAAGCGCGCATTCACGTGGCTGACCGTCTTGATGTAAGCACCTGCCTCGTGTAACTTGTCGCTGACACGTGGCTAGCCTGCATGACATTCCCTCTGAATTTTTGACCTGACTGTGTGGTGATAGCCGGTGGAAGTAGAGGCCAAACTGTATCAGACCAGTGACAACGGCATTGCTTGCTTGGTGGATACTGCTTTGCCCCTCAGTGCTGCCCGCGAGTGGATGCAACAGGTACGTTGGTTACTGCAGCATGCTGACACACGAGGATTGGCGCGCGCACCTCTGCCCCGTCCACTCACATCAGGCCTCAACCTACCGCGGTTAACCTATTCTGCTCTTAGTTGGCCCAGCGAGTGTCCGTCCCACGCGTCGTAGTCGTCACGGAAGCTGATCTTCACACTTTCCTAGCTGCTGATGATGCTGCGCACATGAGCCCTACGACAAGCGACGAGGGAGCTGCTCTTCGGTAGGCCTTGCCTGCCCTTTATTGCCCTTGAAGCTGGACAGTACGCTATGACCACCCTCACTCTGCCGCGGCACGTCACAGTACCCTGGGAACACAGATGGTGCAGGATGTTGCCTTTCTAGAACAGCCAAATTTGCTTACGGGCCTGCCGGCCGCGGGTACGTCCTCCCGGCCTTGCCTCATACCAGCTCCTGATCGTGCTCATCCACGCTCTTACCTCTCCCTGTGCTGCGTAGCCACCATGTATGCTCTGATGCATAGTTGGGAGCACCAAGTCTTTGTTGTGTACCATGCCGCAGTCGGCTATCCCCAAGACACAGCCTCGGGTGCCATGCGCCTCTTTAGCCGCGCCATGACAGTGGCTAGCGGGGCCACCGCACAGGTGAAAAATACTCGGAGTTTAAGCATATCATACTGAACGCTGCAGCTTGCGACGATCGCGTTTTCCGCTTGAAACTCACATCAACCCATGTCCATCTCTGCCTGTAGGTTTCGGCGCAAGAGGCTCAAACTCGATTGGCGCGCCATTTGGCACGCTTTCGACAACGCCCATCTGAAGCCATGCTGTATCTCTGAGAAGACTGGTGATGCACGACACCTGAAGCGCTTTGCAAAACCAGCTTTTACGAGCCCCTTGCAACAGCGTCAGAATGCTAGACTAGCGCTTAAGGAAAGCATGATCGTGTCGGTGTATGTGCTTGTGTGTGTAAGTGTGTGTTCGCGCGGTGCAATGAGAGACATGTGTGCTGTGACACCCATTGACATTTGTGCACCGCGTCCAGAAGATGAAGAGCGTGCGGCACCCTGGCCGCGTGGGGAAATGATAAACGCGATGGATTTGGAAGGGAAAAAAAAAAGTAAGAAGAAAGACCACAATCTTTAGAAAAAAACAAAAGGAGACACACAAGGAAGAAAGCGCACGAGAAACCTTAGGCGATGCTTGAGTTTGTTGAGAGCAAGTAGGTGGCCTCAATCTCCTCAGCCTCAGTGTCACTGTTGCGTAAAAGGCAAAGGCATCAAAGATTAAATGAGCATCACACGGTTGTGGCGCCACAACAAGCACGTCTTGAAAAGGCAGTGCGTACCGAGCATTCCGGAAGCAACGCGTCTTGAGCTTGGTCAGGCCAAAGGCAAAGAAGAAGAACACAATGTGCAATGCCGCCATGCCCAGGTACCTGCCAATTGTGTATACACGCAGCACTTGGTGAATAAACGAGACCAACATTTACACACACACACACACACATACAGGCCACGCGAATTCTGCACGCACCATCCTGGGGCATCTTGCTTGGTCGTGTCCAGGAAAAAGTACACCCATCGCCCCCCCGACGCACGAATGATCCAAGAGTAGATTCCATCTGAATAAAAGAGCAGAGCGTGAGTGGGGTTGGGACTCGCACGCACAATTGGTCCACCCGCCGACCTGCCCACCCGCCTATAGCTCATGTGGTGCAATGAACACCCTGTTGGCAGCAGAGCGCTGTGGCGATGAAAACGTACATGTGAGCATCCAGAAAATGACAAAGCTAACGTGGGCCGGAATGATCGGGATTCGGTTCAGGAAGAGCTCGCCCAGCATAAAGATCATGTTGAAGCCATGGACATTGTACGAGCCTAACAAACCAAACAGGCAGCGTCATGAATATCAAGCCCGCCGTACAAGCAAATCGGCGGCAAGCATTTCTTCAGCACATCTTCTTAACCCTAAGTTGCTTACCAAAGTTGAGAAACTTTTGGCAGCAAGCATCGGGGTTGTCATCGCGGTGAGCCACATGCTTGGCCTGAGGATACAACACTCCCCACAAAACGACGTCCACCAGGAATACCATGGTCATGGCAATCTATCATGAAGGAAATAAAAAAAAAAAGAAAGGAGAAAAAAAATGAGGGCGGCAAACGGCAAATGCACATTTCGGTTCCGAAGCGCTTGGGAATGGCGATGGGTGCAGAATATGTCAAGGTGGACAGCACTGCGGTAACAGCAAGCGCACCTCAAACATGATGAGGGTTGTGCGATCAAGCAAGCGCGTGCTCGGGTTTCGTGATACATCATATCCGACCATGCGCGCCGACACGCTTTGGACAGAGGCAAGCTATCCAACAAACGCAAGCAGAAGATTGGTAACAAATAAGCCCGTGTGACAGTATCGAAGAAATCAGGGCACAAAAGAAAGGTGCACTCGTGCTTGGACAGCGCTCTGACTCTGGAGGGCACGCAACAAACCAAGAAGAATACGGTCAGAAACGTAAAGTTCCAGACAGTGTAGAAGAGCAGACCCTTCTCACCCTACAGAGGTGAAAAACAAACGGATTTGAGAGAGAAGCTTGGATCATCGCTATCCATAAGCACCCGAGCAAGCATCGAACCTCTTTGCGCGCCAACAACCAGATGAGAATGCTGCAGCAGTAGGTGAAGATGCCCAGGCGATAAACGAGGAGTACGGTCGGACTGGCAACATAGGAGAGGGCGAGGTTGGCTGGGGTGCAACGGGCCCAGTGTGTCCAGCCGCGTCGGCCGGCAAAGACAAGGAGGCCAATCGCAATCAGGAAGAGCACCACCACGACCACAATCAGGCTCGGTACAATGTACATGGCGCTGGTGATGGGCTACTCGAGAACCTCAGTCGACCGTTTGATCGCCTCCGCGCTTTGCTTTATGAGCTCCTGTGCGTCATGCAACTGCCCTGCCGTAGCAACTCGCTATCCGCGCGCATGCCAGAGAATGAGAACAAAGACACATCCGCTTTCTACCCCGCCCCCTTGCTGCGTCTCCCACCCAATCACCGCCGCAAGTGAACGGGCGAGAGCGGAGCGCGCACTGTCACTCACGAGAAATTTATGGAAAAAAAAAAAGAGAAAAAATGCTTGAAACGTGTTCGTGTGTGTGTGTGTTGTGTGTGTGCATGTGCATGTGCGTGCACTCTAGTGTGCGTCGCATGATAAAATCAAGCACAGGAACCTCTTTCCGCTGCTGTACAATAATTTTTTTTTTTTATGAGGGAAGAGGGGGGCATACGCATCTCGATAGATATTATGGATATGGGAATCTGAACACCTTCTCATGTCTGGAGGGTGACCTCGGCAGACGATGCAGCACATGCATCACAATTGTTGCAATGTATTGGTATCGGGCTTTGGCTGGCGCTGCCATTCTTGTTTCCGGTGCTTTTAGTTCCAGTCCCCATGAAAGACACATGTAACCCAGCATGTCGCGAGGTGCGTGCTATATTACTTATGGAATGTCAATTGGACGATGTGCGGTCGCGAGAGCCGGATGAGGGCCAACCGGCACGCACAACGTCAATGCAACCAGTCGGATTTGGCACGGACGATCAACGCCTGTCGCCAAATGAGCTGCTGCGACCTAGCCTGGAGAAACGTCAACTGAAGAAAAGTAGAATAATGAAACATGGGGTGATGCCACTGATGTGACTGCTGATCTGCCTGGCAAACTATTTAAAACATGGCAGGAGCTATAGTGTCATCGGCATCACCCCAGGCACGGGCCACATGCGCAAAGCTAAAATCCAACATCCGCGAATCCACCGCCATCGTCTCTTGGCGCTGGGATGGCAGTTCTGCCAGTTCGCCATCCTCTGGTCGCTTGCGTGTGGCAAGGTCGTCCGCTTCTTCCTCAGCCTCAGCCTCAGTTTCCTCCTCTGAATCGTCATCCCCAGCCCATCCATTGGTGACTGCCACACGGTCGTCTCTGCCTTGCTGTGCCTCGGCCGGAGTCGAGGAGGATGAAGTTGTCGAGGAAGAGTGTGTCCGCGCGTGTGAAGCGTTGGGACCCGGTCCGGGCTCTGTCGTCTCCTCGGGTGCATCACCGTTAGAGTCCACCCCCTCATCATGAGAGTCGTGGTGTTCCTCCTTGGGAGGAGGAGGAGGGATGACAATGACTGGTGCTGAAGCCAAAGCTGCCGCTTCAACGTCAGGCTCTGCGACTTGAGGCTCGGGGAGGCTTTCGGGTGCTTCTGACTCAATGCTGACACCATCATCTCGGGCAGGCTGGGCAGCTGTCCTTGATGGTTTGGGGGCTGACGAAGCATCAGAGTCGACATTGTGCGAAGCAGGTTCAATCGCATCCACATCCACATCGTCTACGGTCGTGTTGGGTTTCACCTAAGCCAGCCGAGCGCAACTCGATGATGAGGGCGGGGGTGATTGGGAAGAGCAGCGTGGGCAAAGCCTGCCTACGCGTCGCCCATGCCCACACTGCACCATCACAATCAGCACCATCGTACCTTGACAAAGCGTGTCGTCTTGGCCGAGTCATACATCGTTTCTGGCAGCCCGACAACCACGTGTTCCTTCGGTCCGGCCTCGGTAAAATCAGGATCATCTGAAATGGTATTCAGGCGCCGAAGGCTGGGCTTGGGGGTTGTTGAACGCGAAGAAGATGGCGTCGCGGCCGCCGTCCCTGTACCACCGCCCTTCACCAGACGCCCCACGTCCCGCAGTGCTGGACAACGGGAGCGTGCCTCGCGTGCCAAACTGTAGACAGAGAAAACATGAACTCGAGAGATTGAGCGAGGCCCCGCAAAACCACGGACAAAGTAGCATCGACAGCCCGGCTTACAAGAAAAAAGGATTTCCTCAACTCACCCCAAAATGGATTTGCGCAATTGATCAAAGGTGGGCCGCTGACTGGGCTGGCGCTCCCAGCAGGAGCACATCAGCTCAAAAAATTCCGGATCACACCCCTCTGGCGCGGTCAAGCGCAAGCCCTCGCGCACCCGCTTTTGCACCTCGATGTTCTTGACGCCGGGATACGGAACCATACCATAAGCTGCGACCTCCCACCTATGACGGCATTACGCTTCTGTCAAGACACATTGGTCTGTGATGGACCCAAGCAGTGAAGCAAGCACGCACATTGTCACCCCCAGAGCCCAGCAGTCACTGGCCGGCGAAAATATCTTCTCGTCCATGCCTACCAACGACCAATTCACGGTCCCACATGCGTTGACGTGAGAAGAGCATGAGATGCAACGCCCAAGGTGCAAAGCACAAGCCCCTGCAAATGACCCACACTCTATCGCCATCCACTTGATGGGCAGCTTCAAGGACGTTGTCAAGACGAAGACATCTCGCTCCTCTGGCAATTTTCGCCTGATCCAGCCCAGCACCGACGAGTGGCGATATCAAACCAAAAGTCAGCAAGAGCGTCCATTCCATCGCATGCACTAGGTCTGGATCCATCCGTTGGCCTGCCTTCCCTGAACAACTCAATCGACGAGGTTCTTACGAGAGGCCGAAATCGGCGATCTTGACGAGATTCTTGCTGGACAGCAGGACATTGCGCGCGGCCAAGTCCATGTGGACGAAGCGATGCTTGGCCATGTAGTCCATACCTGTTTTGCAAAACAATGCGCAAGAGCATGGCACGTCAGTACCATGAAACACGTTGCTTGAAGCAGCAGTCCAGATGCAAATGCGCTGCTCAATCATTGCTTCAGAGTAACACGGAAGAGAGAAACATGAAACGAACCGGTGGCAATCTGCACTGCAAATTTAAGTTGCTCCAGCAATGTGAGGGTGATGTTTTTCTCATGCGCGGCTTTGACCACGGCTCGCAGATCGCCGTACTCCATGTACTCGAGCACGCAGAGCCAGGGCCGCTGCTGAACTGCCACCCCGACCAGCCGGACCAAGTTGACGTGATTAAAGTTGAGCATCAGCTCGGATTCACGCAAAAACTCTTCCTGCAAACATCACAGAGCATCAGTCGTCGCGTGGTCAGCGTGTGAAAGTGGGCCCTGACAAGTGCACCGACACCAACAACCGCCTCAAATTTCCTCGCCTTTCTTCACGAGGATGAAGATGAGCAGTATACGCATGCGGCACGTACGCGATCGGCAGGCGTGGCGCCGTCTTTCAGCAACTTGACGGCTCGATGGATCGTGTTGCTGCCATTTTCACCATGACCGGCTTTGACGGCTTGCAGACCGAGGTAGACCTCGCCAAACTGGCCCATGCCCAGGACGCGGATTGGCTTGAGATCGCGTCGGTGAATTTGTCTCTGAAAAAGGGGGCCCTTGACAGGATCGCGTTTCTGTGACACAGCCGAAAAGGCATGTTTCTTTCCCCTATTTTGCTTGGCTTCCTCCATGGCCACTTGGAAGGCTACGTTGACTGATTGGCACAGATCATATGCACGAGTGCCGGCTCGAAAGATCTCGCAGCTCAGGCGATCGAGCCGCTCGTCCTGCCAGCATACGTGACAAGACCATTAGATGATGTGAGAATAGCATGAGCTGCCCTCATGAAACGAGCTCGACTCAAACCTTGATGATAAAGGCAAATAACGCGTCATCTGTATTAATGCCCTTGCGTTTTTCGCGCCGAAGGATCCGCTTGTCCTCAATCACCGTGGTGAAGCTGCAAAACGAAATGTGCCCCCCAAGCAAGAGCAGGGCGTGAGGCCTGGTGCCTGAAAAGCACCTCTTAGCTAGCATTTGAGCCACGCAAGCACAGCAGCTATTCCGTCCGCCCGCAGCGTGTGCCAGTACGCACGCAATATTCTTGATGAAAGTGTTGCTAACAACTTCGGAGGTGAGGGCCTCCACTACCTTAATGCCGTCCCCGCTCACACTGATGGCTACGACCTGGGGTTGCGGCTTCATCAACTAGTCACGCAGACAGGGCGGAACGGGCGTCAAGTGAGAACAGAAAGTTGTGTGCGCATGAGTGGCACCATGGCCAAGTTGTGGCAGCAGCCGGATGAACGTACCAGGACGGATTCAGCTGCGGCATCACACGTGGCCTGTGATTTGTTGCGGTCAACGGGCACACTACCCAGATACTGGGCCTCAAAAAGGCCAAGAGGGCCCTGCCGGGCGTGGTTGCCGTTGGCCAGGGCCGAGTGGGTGAGGTGACGCGCATAAGCACGACCTTGCGTGCTGGGCTGGGCGCCGTCGTGCACGTGCTTGTGGGCGTTGGCGACCGTCACAAGGGCACGGCCGATGGCCTCGTTGGCGTCCGCGGCTTGTCGGCGCTTGCGCATGCGAAAACTATGACAAAAAGTCACTTGTTGGCTATCTTCCGTGATAAAGGCGAGCAGTTTCTTGCGGACATGGGTGAAGGTGATCTCAGAAACCAGAACGCGTTGGGGCTCGCCATCGGCTGGAACGAGGGAGATGACATCACCGGCCAGCTCAAACTGAACGGTTTGCGGTCGATTGAGGCGTCGGGTGAGGCGCACAGCCTCGAGGACCGTGTTGGCGCCACCGCTCTGCTTGACAGTCGTGTGACCGAGATACTTGCAGCGCAAGTGGAGGGGCGGGCCAAAATCGACGGAATCGGCCAGACTGGTGTGTGGCAGAGCCCCGCTACGCGAGCGGTTGAGCTTGTTTTTGTCCGTGGCAATGTCGCGAAACGCCTCGTTCACTTTGGCTGACACCTCCTTGCAAGTCTTCTTGGAGCGAAAGAGATGGCATTGCCGGATGCTGTTGGTGCGGTCTGTTTCTACATAGGCAATAAAGTTTTGCTTCTTGCCGAGAATGGAGATGTAGCTGAATGCGCGCATGGGGGTCATGGTCAGCTGCTGCCCGGTCTTCGAATCGGTCACCTCAAGACCCTGATAGGTAATTCGAAGAATAACCTAAGAGGGAAAGAGAACCAATTACAACCGCGACATGAGGATGATGATGCAGTTGTGCCAAGGCTATTGAATAGAGACCCGAAATGAAGCACAGGGCTGCCGGTGGAAATGCAAAGACGCGCGGGAGCGGTAGGAAGAGGGACCCAATGATACAAACCTTGCGCTTGGGATGGCGCGCGCTCTGAATACGGCCGGCCGCCTCCAGGACGGTGTTCTGATCCTTGGAACGGTTGACTGGACAGCTGCCCAGATACACAAGGGAGTAGGCGCCATACTCTTGGACCGCATTTGAGTCAACGTCATAGCGCTCGGCGGACTGCTTGTTGCCCATTGTGCTGATCGTTCAAAAGCGGGTCAGCCGGATGCAACCGCACCGAGCACGGCGAGGAGGACGAGACCGTTGGCAAAGTCTGAGCGCCCCGACAACACCGCCAGCGACCAAGGGGGTGGCGGAGGGTGGGTAAGAACTTGGCTGTATAAAGACGCCAGGCACTACCAGAGGGCTGTTGATTGGCTGGTCCCACGCACTCAGGCTGCACACTTTGATTGCAGGTCAAACGCCGGGCTGAACCTTAAAAAAAATCCTTAAATGTCTTAAGCGTCCATACCAGCCTCGGCGTGCGAGAAACGCCAGGGTCCAAAGGCTCAGCTCAAGAGTGAGACTCGTTCCAAGAGCTGCAACAGGCCGATTGCTCTGCTGAAAAGGAGTCAACCAATTGGTATTCATACAATGCACGCGACGTGCAAGCGGTGCCGTATGGCGGCGGAGCTAAAGGATCAAGAATCAGAGGCTTTGGCCAATCAAATTCTAATGCACTCGGCGACAGCAATGCAACTCATGTAGCAGCAAGCCTCGGCCTACAAAATGGTACGCTAATGGCTGAGAGCTGAGACCAATTGCGCCCTGGTTTCCAGGCACGAGCACGACGGCATTGAGGACCGGCAGGGACAGCAAGAAGGTCCGTGAGCGAGTTGACGCGCGGCACGTTCGCGCAAAACCCAAAACCAAGGAAATATCTGCATTAACCTTTCAAACGCCGACATGAAGTTGTTATGTACTGGTTATAAAAGATTCATATTCTCATGTACTAGCTTCTTTAACCCCTTTTTGCCTTCACGTCAACAAACGCTGTGCTGTGGGCAGCCAGTCTCACAAACCTCAGATTGTTCAACACTATTCAAACCACAACTATAAGCAGTTTATTGAGCAAAAACACCTGAAATCTGCAATAACCTTCTTTTCTACTGCATTAGATCCCAAACGGTCACGCCCCCCTTGAGTTCACTCCTCTCAATCATGAAATTCCGGCCTCTGTCACTGCGTTCGCTACTTTCAGACTGTTTGTCAGATGAATGCGGTGTCTGCTCACTGCTTTCGTGGGCTGTCATCCCGGGTGGCTCAATCAACGGCAAGCAACGGCAGCATGGCGGCGGCGACAGCGGCGCTGAGCGCGGCTGATTTGCCGGCCGGTGCCGTGCGACATGGCCCAGCTCTGGCGTTTCGTATCGTGGCCAAGTGCAGCCGCACCCCTGCGCGAGCCTCGGAGCTCTATCTGCCCCATAGCACCGTGCACACCCCCATCTTTATGCCCGTCGGCACCCAGGTTGGCGACTCTGCCTGATCGAGCACGTGGCCCGGTCTCAAAGAGCTCTTTGCATTCGAGGGGCCCGGTGTAGTCGCTGTAATAAAAGGCTGATGCGCTGTTATGCTGCAACCATCATCCCAGGGAACAATGAAGGGCCTCACACCTGCCCAATTGGAGAGCCTCAACTGCCAGATTATGCTCTCCAACACCTATCATCTTGGCTCACGTCCGGTCTGTTCTCCTCGCACATGACCTGGACGGGCGGCGTGCTCGTTTGAATGTATTCCTGATGCTGTGCCGTGTTTTGGTTCTTGCGCTGAATTGCAGGGACCAGAGATCATGAAGCAGGCCGGCGGGCTTCACAAATTTATGAACTGGAAGCGCTCTGTGCTCACGGTACGCTATCCCTTACACGAGCTGGTGTCCCTCTTCTATTTCCTCTGTTTCTTCCTCTTCCTGCTCGTGCTCCTCTTCCCCTGCCCCTGCCTCTCCCTCTGCCTCTGCCTTCCTGCTCAATTGGGTTGGCATGCAATCGCACAGCCGCCCTTTGCATGTTCGCTCACACCCGTCGGCACTCGTTTCGCCGTGTTCAGGACTCGGGTGGCTTTCAGATGGTGTCCCTGCTGCATCTGGCTGAAATCACCGAACATGGTGTCAGCTTTCAGTCACCCCACGACGGCTCCCAGATGATGCTGACCCCAGAACATAGCATAGGCTTGCAAAACACCATTGGCGCTGATATTATTATGCAGCTGGACGACGTTGTCAGCTCCCTCATTTCTGGTTTGTATCCACGCCCACCAAGCTTGTCAGACCATGCGCCCTCAGCGACATGCGCCGTGTGGGGACACGCGCCTACCCTACAAGAGAGCTGAACTCACTCGACATTTGCGCTGTACGCAGGCCCTCGGGTGGAAGAGGCCATGCACCGGTCCATTCGTTGGCTCGATCGATGCATTGCGGCCCATGCCCGACCAGAAGAACAAAACCTATTTGCCATCATTCAAGGAGGCCTAGACCTGGAGCTCCGTCGCCAGTGTGTGGACGCCATGGTTGAGCGCAACACGCCCGGATATGCCATTGGTGGCCTCTCCGGTGGCGAGGAAAAATCTAGTTTCTGGTGCGTTTTGCTGTGCGACATGTACACGCGGTATCGCGGCCTACAGCACGCACACTTGTCTTACACGACGAGCGTGAAACCCTGGTTGGCAGGCGTGTTGTGAAGGAAACGGCCCGTCTGCTGCCAGACGATAAGCCGCGCTACTGCATGGGCGTCGGGTACGTGCTCCCACCCACCACCCCCCGCCACTTTGTCTCCACCACCCCCCGCCACTTTGTCAACCCCCTCGGGCCTCTGACCTTTTGAATGGTGACTGCTCTTCGTCAGCTATGCCACGGACCTGATTGTGTGCGTGGCGCTCGGTGTGGACATGTTTGATTGCGTGTTTCCCACTCGCACTGCGGTAAGCAACCCAATGTTCAGGCCCCGCTCGGCTCCAGGAACCCAGCCCATTCTTTAATCTCAACACATCGTGTCTTTTGCTTTGTTTCCCGCCTG